CAAATTGCTCCACCTTGGGATCCATCAAGCCAAGCCTGCAAGTCAAATAATACTCCGGTATCTATGCCACCACCTTGATAGGTTCACAGCTCATTCATAAGAAATAAGAAGCCGCATGATCCATGCATCTTTTTGACCTCTGTTTGCACCTATCTTGACACTCTTTCATATCACATATTGCATCTTCTTCACTTGATTGGTATACAAAGTGCGCATTAAGCCACCTGGCTGTTACATAACTGTATTTAACACGCGTCCCATTGTCGTCCACACCTCAGCGTTTTCATCACTCACCGAGACTGTTCCCTAGTGTACAACCTCTCAATGCAGTATTCATCTGACAATATCGCAGCAGTGAAGAGCCTTCAATTCTCTATGGTGTGTCTTCTTGTCGATATGATGGTGAATGATGCTTGACAAGTTCTATCAGTACATATATGGTAAGTAGTACTGTCTGAGCCCCTTGTCCCTTGCCCTAACACAATTCAGTGTCGATAGCTACATTCTGCGTAGGTTTGTCCTCATCTGTTTACACTTGCTGTTAATCTCACTTATCCAGGTCTATGATTATGCATGTTCACTTCATGAAGAGGTAATACACACGCTCCGTAATATACCTTGGTTTTAATATTTCGATATCTACCATATGCTGTGCAAAGTGGACATTTTTGCTTTGATCGCACTGGAACAAGGTGAAAGGCCTGTATATTGCTACACGATACCTTCCCTTTATTCTTCTCACTACAAATCTATATAGTGTGTCCTGCTCCAGCAGACATGCCCTGATCATGAACTAATGCTTGTTCTTTAGTGAATTTATCCCCAAATGAGAATCCAGGTGTATGTGATGTTGTGCACTGAGCAGAGTTAATGAGAATGAACCACTTACTCCATGATTTCTCCAGAGATGCAAGGCATTGGTCAATATTGACTCAGGTACATGATTGGTACATTCATGTATGCTCATCCTTGCTGAGCGCTAATACTTCCCTCTCACAGGTATTGGTATGGTATCGGTCATTTTCTCAGAATGTATCTCTCGTTCATTTGTACTATATGTGTGTTTCTGATCTGATTCATCCAGGTTTTTTCATCCTCAGAACATATGCGCTCTGGAATAATAATAAAATCTTGCTCACAGCCATGATGTCCACCTTTTTTGTGAGTTCCCAATCCCCTCACCATACCCAAGCCAGTGATAGAGGCATCAGCCAGGCTTTTATCATAGCAGGCTTCACCATTGCCTTCACTATTACTGTCCCCACAGCATGTACTCGCTCTCACTTTCCCTATGGCATTCCACAACCACTGAAAAATTCTGTTCAGATGCAACTAGTGCGATCCCAGGCATTGCAGGGTGTTACCAGAGTTTGACCGGTTTCTGGCTCTTCATACCATTTATTCTCCTTTCCATGTTCGAACTGGGTGGGGATCCAGGAACATATGTATGTATGTAACATATGCTGACAGATATTCTCCCCAGGACTCATGATGCTCACGCTCATACATGCTGCACATAGCTGGCGGATAAACCCAACCCATCTGTACATTGTCCTGGTGAAACATAACATATTCTATTATACATGTGGTTTTTGTAAGTTAACACTCACACCTGCCGTTTTTCTGTGTTCATACATGATCATTTCTCTTTCCTAAAGTGTTCTCAGTGGTGAACATATTCACATCGCTGCTCCTCCATGTGCGTGAATCTCTCAGATGCCTTTTATGATCGAGTTGTTGATGTCCTGCACCCCAGTATTCCTACCAATACATGTTGCATGAGTATGCACCTCCACATCCTGCTGTGCATTCTTACTAACAATACCAAACTTACACCCACGTACAGCTTCCAGTTTGTGATCCTCGCAATCCTCGCCATGTGCATGCACCTCCATCTCTAGCAGGTGAACCGACATGCATACGGCTCTGGCGCCCTCATGCATATTCCAATGTCTGACATGCCATCTGTAAATTCCATGGCATGATATCTTATCCTGTGGCTTATTCGGTGTCATTTGTGGAGCAAGACTTGCACTGTACGCACAGGTTCCTGTCATTGTAATGCATTATTTGCTGTACTTGTAGCACACCTGTGATGCATTCTTGCTACAATTGTAGCACTCTCCCCTCCCCTGCTAATATATGGTGCATCACTTGTGCATCACCCAATGCATCTTTTGATGCATCCTACCACCGCATTTTTTAGACTGTGGGAAATTTGCACTACACCCAAAACATAGCCATTTCCAGTCATCTCCTGGATCTCAACATTTCCCACACTCCTCCTCAGCACATTCCTGCCCACCACCATACCATATCCACCTATCTACTGTAGAGAAGTATTAGTGTATGCTATGTATATATAATAGGCCATAATAGAACGCTTTTTGGTTTGTTTTTGTCCCAACACAAGCTCCAGAGACCTGTACATTTAATACAGGAAAAACATATCAAAAACACATCCGCATTTTTCCCCCTTCAATGATAGGATGTCTTAGCACACTAGATATGTGTTTCTGAGTATATATGAGTCGATTCCACCGTTCGTTTGGCCCTCCAAAGGTCCCTGCAGCACTAGATGTAGTATGCACACAAAAAATAACAAATAGCTTCGCTTTTTTTCAGTTTTAACTATATAGACTTGAAAATATGATCCACAACATCCTTTCAATAGTATACACAAGATATGAGCAGTATGGGATCATGGGTTCAGTCCCTGGGGTGCTGTATTGCTATCCTCCCCTGATGGTTCATCTCCTGGGAAAATTTTCCCTGGGGCTCCGACCTTCCAGAGATGTAGGGATTGTATTTCTAGGTGTATATGGAGTATATATATGTTATAAATATAAGCCAACAGTAGCAGGATCCTCCTTTATAAACCAATACTTCCTCCTGCTTGCATGGGTGTATATTTTCGCAATTTTGATGGTTATACTTATTCACCACTGGAATGATTACCTAGCAGGCTCATATATATTATATAGGGTGTATATAAAGGCTAACTATGGCCAAGATCAGTGAGAAACAGGGCGGATTATTGATATCATGTACATACTAGATATATTGAGTGATAAGGTATTTTACATGTCATCAGGGAGATATTTTATGATCAGACTGTTGTAGTACATCCTAAATACACTAGGAAGTATTGTCCCAGTGTTACAGGACGATCCACCTAGAATTGAGAGCAGGGAAAGCATATAGATAAGAATTGGACTGTGGGAAACCTAAAAGGGCAAAACATCGAAAATCAACACTTGGGTGCACATACAGTTAAGGCCTCCAAACAACCCACACTCACACAACAACCCTTCCACACCACCTCTACCCATAGAATAAAGTGCAGGAAAGGTTCTTTGAGCACTCTACTATGTAATATACTGACTTTTAAGAAAATCCTTACCCTGTATATGCATCAATTATGACATTTGTAGAGTATTTCTCGTGCAAAAATAATATTTCACTTGCCTATTCATCAATTGTGGGTGAGCGGCCCTGTGCTCCTGAGATATTGTGTATACTATTGAAAGGATGTTGGGGATCATATTTTCAAGTCTATATAGTTAAAACTGAAAAAAAGCGAAGCTATTTGTTATTTTTTGTGTGCATACTACATCTAGTGCTGCAGGGACCTTTGGAGGGCCAAACGAGCGGTGGAATCGACTCATATATACTCAGAAACACATATCTAGTGTGCTAAGACATCCTATCATTGAAGGGGGAAAAATGCGGATGTGTTTTTGATATGTTTTTCCTGTATTAAATGTACAGGTCTCTGGAGCTTGTGTTGGGACAAAAACAAACCAAAAAGCGTTCTATTATGGCCTATTATATATACATAGCATACACTAATACTTCTCTACAGTAGATAGGTGGATATGGTATGGTGGTGGGCAGGAATGTGCTGAGGAGAAGTGTGGGAAATGTTGAGATCCAGGAGATGACTGGAAATGGCTATGTTTTGGGTGTAGTGCAAATTTCCCACAGTCTAAAAAATGCGGTGCATCGAATGCATGACCAATGGCATCACAAACGCATCAACAGATGATGCATCGAATGCATGCATCACCCTATATTGCTGCTAATGCATCAGTATTGGCAGGCCTACAATTGTAGCATAAATGCATCACTACTAACGCTGCAATCACAGCAATTTCTTGCATTACTACGACAAGGACGCCTGCTGTACGAGATGACTGGTGGGGGCGTGTTTTGTAGAGAGATAATTTATTTATCTATATACTGCAACAAACTGAAACTTTAAGGACATGGTGCCCTGCGGGCTGTCTTTGGGTTATTGTACCAACTATAAGTTGGGGAATAATACGAATAGCTAGAGAGGTCCGCGTTTGTGGTGAAGTTGTTGGTTTGCACATGGGGATGCAGTTACACTACAATGTCTTGCTGGTCATGAAGTCGCAGTGTTGCAACCTTGTTGCGAATTCCTCATTGCAGTCTACATTTGAAGACATCCTTGCCTATGTATCAACAAATCAAATTTCTCTGAGCATGAATGAGCATGTTTAGTGGGGGCAAAATTATGATATTCTATAGTTCTCACGGCTACATTATCATGGACCCCTGGATTCAGTGGTCTTGTGAAGTCAAAGGTGGTCTGGTTAGTCATGATGACAGTCCTCTGAATAGGATCTGTTTAGGGCTGCTGCTACAAATCCGTACCTCTGTTTTGGACGTCAAATATCCCAAGAATTCTGCAAGTCATGTTTGTGTCCACTTAGCAACAGGGATACGTTTTACGTCGGGATCTCCAAGCAATCCCGCTCGAGTTAGTGTCCAACTCAAAAGTTGTTTCCGCAGTGATTGTAGAAGCAACGTTAGTTCGCGACTTTAGCAGCAATGGACCGACAGGGAGAACGCTCTCCTACTTTGGTGCATAGTAAATGATTTCAAACATCGGAGGTGGCACCCAGAAACCAATAAGGGAAGTAAATTCCACAAAGAAAATTAGAAACTGCTAGCCCACTAAAGTGGTCGGTTCCAGCCAGCTGCACGCACATACCTTGTTTTTGGGGTTTGGGGTTTGGAGATTTCACTCACCTGGCTCCACAGGGCCCCACTCATCTCACAAGATCTAGGGTTCGGGAGATTCAGTCATATCTTGACGCCGGGCTTGGGAGCACGTCAGCTGGGAAGTCTATTCTATATTGGTGATGTAACCTCCGAGTCAAAGCCTCCTGTTGGTAACTCTCACCTTTTCTGTTGGACTTCCACCCTCGAGGCCTTAATGCCCACGTCTATGATACGTATATATACGGTAAACCCAATTCTCGACCGTTTTCAGAAACATGGAAGCTGCATAGCGCCACACTTAGCTAACACAGCTTCAGAGTGTCGATGGCATTTTAAAGGTTCTTGGGACTCACTCAACAGTTGGGCGCTGTGCTTCACATTCCTTGCTGGAACCTGTCTACTGCACTTTATGCGATGACCTACCAATCCAAACCTACTTCCAATGGGGTGTATCGCATCAAAGTTCTCAATCAGGATCTTTTCATCGAAAGCGCTTCTGGTAATAACCCAGGGCTGAAGCTTGCTTTGCCTTCTCCAACCAGCAACACGCAAAAAGTACGTTAACTAATCACATTTTGTTTTACTACATGCTCAATTCGTGCAGTGGACCCTTACCCGAGTGTCAGGGCAAAACAACGTCTGGACGATAGTCAGCGTCGAGGATGGGTATGGTGTGACCCACAAGAAGACCGCAAAGACCTACTGGGGTTATGGATACCCTTATCCTCAGAATGGTCCTTCCTTGAATTGGTTTATATTGGAACGAACCAGTGATGGTCAAACCTTCTCGAAGTCCGTTGCCCTAACCTTATGTCGCTAAAAGTTGTACTTCACATGTGTCACAGGATAAAGCTGAGCGGCAAGTCGAGCTGCTTTGACTCCTGTGATCCAGGATCAGATGCTGTTTGTGCCCGGGTCTACTTTCCTGACATTTTCTCATGCCCTTTTCCTTCACAGGTCCACTTTTATTATGACCATACTCATGTCGTATGTCTTTTATACTCCTTTTGAGACTGTACTCCTACATGATCATCATCTAAAGTACGATTTTCCCAAACAATGCTTCGTTTTTGAGTTAGTTCCAAACCCTTCTGTGCCACTGTGAGGCTCACTTCATTTTGTGAAAACTGCATGGCGCTGATCGTAAATTCGACCCAGGGATATCATGTTCCTTCAAGACGCTACAGGGAGTCAACAACCATATATCAACACCGCGCGCAGTGGGATCACCCAGATTTGCAACACTCTTTTAGCTGGGGGAAAATTCACTCCGCAAGATCTCAGATTTGGTCTTATTGCCTTCCGCGACCATCCTCCTCAAGATCTGAGCTTCATCATCCAGGAATACCCTTTCACGTCCGATGTTGGAAGTTTTACTTCTAATTTAGGCGGCTTAACAGCGATGGGCGGTGGAGATGAACCTGAATCTCAAAGTGATGCTTTGTCCGCTGCCTACAAGGCTGACTGGAAGGACGAAGCGACAAAGGTTGTGGTGTTGATTACCGATTCACCCCCGCATGGAATTGGAGAAGATGGAGATAACTTTCCTGACGGGTGTCCACTTCGTAAATCATACTTTTGTTCCTCAGTTGTAATGAATCAGCGACTAATTCCAAAACAGAAATTGACCCGCTCCGTGTTGCAACGCAAATGGGAAAGGCTGGCATCACTCTGGTATGTCGATCGCTCCAGATCTCGTGCTAGAATTTAATGTCAACACAGTATGTGATTGCGTGCGAGCCTTCTCTGGGTCAGGCTTACAAGGTGAGACCTTCTTCATGCTCCCGCGTCAGATGTGTTATTTATTACGCAGAGAGCGCGTGATTTCTACCAAGGGTTGGTCAAGAAAACCGGGTAAAACGATCACAGCTTCGACCATATATTCATAAGTTAACTGTTTGTGATAGAGGGAAAGTGGTCAACCTCGGCGATCTCAGCGTGCTACCCACTCTCATTGCTGGTTCCGCTCTAGAAGCAGTCGACAGCGAGATTTACGTTGCCAAGTATCAGGCTGAAGTTCGCAGTATGGCGAACGATCAGAAGATGAGCGCCAGCGAAATTCTTCTGAAGCTACACAAGAACTTTGCGGCTGCAGGCATCCAACACACCACCCTCGTCGTCGATAATATGTACAAACAGCGTACACAAGGAGATCGGAATGCCGACATATGGTTCAATGCTGAGAATCTCAACGAAGCGAAGCATAATATTCAGGAGGTAAAATATCGAGAAATCTTGTGTTTTTATTTCTTATAACTCCGTCAAGGTTGAAGGCAGTCGTATTATCGAAAAGTACCAGACCCCTGGGGCAGAACAATCCGCTACTGTAGAGATGCAGCCGATCAGCTTGGCTCAGGTGATTTTTGCCTCACTTGTATCAAATTTTGTAGTGACCCCTTTTATAAGGTTGAGACTGTCGTTCAGAAGTGTCTTATGAGAGAATTGTAAGTTTGAAGACCATGTTGTTTTCGCGGATATCGGCATGTATTAGTATTACCCGGTTCGAGTTATGTAACGCCATAGCAAGTCTCATTGAATTGAAAGATCAAGGTCTGCGGAGCTATGGTGCTGTTCACTTGTGTACTTTGTGCGGACGCCAAACCGACCTCAAATTTTTCATTAGCTATAAAACCCGAAATCTTCGGGTCCTCGAGTCTCGATGCTCACTCGCACACAGGTGAATGGTTGTGTACGTACGTGAAACACATTAGAGTCCAAATCATCATCGGATAAACCTGGAAACCCACCACACAATAACACGCAGGGGAGCATTTCGGTGTATATTATTTATCGCAAGCCTCGTGGCGGAGGACAAGATTCAGGAAGCTGTTATCTCTCGTCAATCTAACACGTGTTGAGGACATAGGACTGAAATAAATAATCGACATACCACCAGGTTGCTCACATCCCACTCGCATTATAAAAAGCTTTGAAGGCAAATAGATTTGGGCACAATCACCAAACATATCAGACTATCGTTTTTAACGCTATTCCCGTCAGTAACGTTTCAACATCGTCTGGTACAAGTAGAAAGCCGCCCGTTACTCACATGCCTACTAAAATCTACCCTCCATCATCTGTTGAAGCAACGTCAGACTCATGCATTGAAGGTACGCAAACACCATGAAACCCGCCAGAGAAGCAATTTTCTCGACACACCTCTAATTTTCTTGCATCCCTCTTGAATATTGTATCCGTGGCTAGTTCCAGAATCGTAGTGGCGCTTCAAGTACCTAAGAAACAAAATATGACGGGGTGCTCAAATGTCATCATCCGTGAGCGGTTGAGATAAGCCTAAGAACGAACGAAGGCAAACTTCCTCCTTGAAGTCCTGGTATATCTTACGGTTACTCTTGCGCTGATGCAAGTCCCAATATCAAGAGTTGTTGACTACGAGAGAAGAATAGGTACCTCGAGTTTTCGCGCTTCCTCCTCGTATGGGTGACTCTGGTGCACGAGGAAGTGATCTGCAAGGATATAAACAACATGCTGGAGAGGTACATCTCGTAGAGACAATCAGCCTTGTTTCCTCTATATACAACAAGAGTTCATCGCACCTGGAAAGATTGCATTAGACAGAACAAAACAGATTCCTGACTCGGATTTAGTTGGCACCATGGTGACCCTTCCTTTTTGAAGATCACGTGAGGCTCGTATGCGGGGGCGACGGATTATAATCGTGGATAATCGGTGTCGTTACGTCAGGCGATGGAACATGTCGATCTTTTTCGCCGTGACCAGCAATAGTACTATTCAACGACTGCTCGTCATCTAGGCCTGCTCATCGCGGGAATTTTTTTTTGGATCAGGCCATCTGAGCGGTATGTCCCTCCTTGAGAATTCGGCCAATCTTAGCATCTAGACTAACCCTGACAGCAGAACGGAAGTTGGTGCAAATGGCAAAGTCAACATCAAGCATCATGACAAATTGGATGCGAGGTGGGGAGACGTGCGGCATTCCGGCAAGTATTCAATTGACTGGTCGAAGGGTGTGAGAATGAGGTGTATGTCGATGTAAATTGACATCAGCGGGCAGTTGACGTCTATAGGTCATACAAAATATCCAAAAGGGCGTGTGTTGCACTAGGTTTTACATGGGTGGTTGCAGAAATTGGACCTTTGAGAAAAATAAGTCAAGGAAAGATTGAAAACACAAACGATCGCAAGACCGGAGCAGACCTATCGATGTGACGAGAGTGGTGATGGTAACACCGTTCCGTTCAAATTTGAAGTCCTGTAGTCGCAAATGTCCGTGGTGGTCTAGGATAAGATTTGTTGTGTATAGGACCGCGATTAAAGAAGCTGCCAGACGGATAAACTGAGGTTACGACTAAAATGTGACGTGTCCAAAGCAATGGAATATAAGTGTGGCTAGTCACCGAGTCCCTTGCGTGCAGATTGCAGTGAGTCAAGGTAACCGACTAGTACTAATACTAGTAGTACTTTCTGACTCCGACCAAGTACACTTCCCAATTAGTGCAACGGTAGCAAGTCCTGCAAGTTGCAACGCTAGCTAGATAAGGTTGGCGTTCTGCTTCTTTCGGGTCCTTGTTCCACGTCGGCTCTGGCAACCAGGTGAGCTCGTCTCGATCTATTTCAGTCAGGCGGCCTTCACTCCAAGAATTGGTACGTCTCAATATCGCTCTGAACCAAGGTAAAGGCCCTTTCTATTTCCGCGCGGTGTATCCGTTCATCCAAAAAGGTCGAATCTCACTACAAGGCCACAAAGTCCCTCCAAAGTTGCTTCGCGTTCCAATGCATCAAACTCCGAGGTGTGTTCTACCCTTAATTACTGCCTCGACGTTGCAACTATATCGAGTCACTCCCCGGCGGTGCAGTGAACTGCGAATCGCTCCACCTTGGCATCCATCAAGCCAAGCCATTGGATTCACAGCTCATTCATAAGAAATTAGAAGCCGCATGATCCATGCATCTTTTTGGCCTCTGTTTGCACCTATCTTGACGCTCTTCTTCACTTAATTGGTATACAAAGTGCGCATTAAGCCACCTCACCGTTACATAACCGTATTTAACACGCGTCCCATCGTCGTCCGTACCTCAGCGTTTTCTCATCACTCGCTGAGACTGTTCCCTAGTGTACAACCTCTCGATGCAGTATTCGTCTGACGATATCGCAGCAGCGAAGAGCTTTCAGTTCGCTACGGTGTGTCTCCTTGTCGATACGCGAATAATACTTGACGATTCATGTTCCATCAGCACATGTATGGTGCGTACTGTCGGACAGATCTGAACCCCTTATTCTTTGCCCTAACACAATTCAGCGTCAATGGCTACATTCTGGGTAGGCTTATCCCCATCTATTTACATCCGTTGTTAATCTCGCTTATCCAGGTCTATGATTATGCATGTTCACTTCATGAAGAGGTAATACACCCGTTCCGCAATATACCTCGATTTCAATATTTTGATATTCACCGCACGCTGTGCAAAGTGGACATTTTTGCTTCGATCGCCCTGGAACAAGGTGAAAGGCCTGTATATTGCTACACGATACCTCCCTTTATTCTTCTCACTACAAATCTATATAGTGCGTCCCGCTCCAGCAGACATACCCTGATCATGAACTAATGCTTGTTCTTCAGTGAATTTATCCCCAAATGAGAATCCAGGTGTATGTGATGTTGTGCACTGTGCAGAGTTAATGAGAACGAACCACTTACTCCATGATTTCACCAGAGATGCCGGACGTTGGCCAATATTGACTCAGGTACGTGATTGGTACATTCATGTATGCACGTCCTTGCTGAGCGCTAATACTTTCCTCTCACAGGTATTGGTATGGTATCGGTTATTTGCTCCGAATGTATCTCTCGTTCATTTGTACTATATGTGTGTTTCTGATCTGATTCATCCAGGTTTTTTCATCCTCAGAACATATGCGCTCTGGAATAATAATAAAATCTTGCTCGCAGCCATGATGTCCACCTTTTTGTGAGTTCCCGATCCCCTCACCATACTCAAGCTAGTGATAGATGCATCAGCCAGGCTTTTATCGTAGCATGCTTCACCATTACCTTCGCCATTACTGTCCCCGCAGCATGTACTCGCTCTTACCTTCCATCTGGCGTTCCACGACCACTGACACATTCTGTTCACTTTAACAGATGCGACTAGCGCGATCCCGGGCATCACAGGGTGCTACCAGAGTTCGACTAGTTTTCAGCTCTTCATACCATTTCTTCTCCTTTTCGCGTTCGAACTGGGTGGGTGACCAGGAGCATATGTATGTATGTAACACGCGCTGACAGATGTTCTCCCCAGGACTCCTTATACTCACGCTCATACGCGCCATACAGAGCTGGCGGACGAATACAAATCGTCTGTATGTTGCCCTTGTGAGCCATAACATATCCTATTATGCATGCGGTCTTCGTGAGTTAACACTCGTACGCGCCGTTTCTCCGTACTCATCCATGATCATTCTCTTTTTGAAGTGTTCTCAGTGGTAAACATATGCACATCGCTGCTTCTCCCGGTGCGTGAACCTCCCAAATGCCTTGTATAATCCAGTCGTTGATGTTCTGCGCCGCAGTACTCCTACCATTCCATGTTGCACGAGTATGCACCTTCGCATCTTGCTGCGCATTCTTACTAACAACACCCAAACTTACACCCACGTACAGTTTCCAGTTCATGATCCTCGCCGTCCTCGCCACGCGCATGCACCTCCATCTCTGGCAGATGAACCAACGTGCACACTGCCCTGGCACCTTTGTGGATATTCCAATGTCCGATATATCATTTGTACATTCTATGCCGTGATGTCTTACCCTGCAGCTTATTCGGTGTCGTTCATGGAGCGAGGCTTGGACTGTGCGAGATGACTGGTGGGTGGGTTTGGCGGTGTTCGTTTCGTGCTTAACTTATAGGACGTGTTTATTGCGGGGCAGGAGGAGCTCCCCTTTGGTTGACTCTTCGACGACATTCTCGTCCTTTGTTCGTCTTTGCGGATATTTAGTGTATCTCTTCGCGTTCTTAGGCTCGCCCTCGGTAGGGCTGTTTACGATTGACTGTGAGCAAAGGGATCCGTCCGGAGGTTCGACGAGCGCGGTTCGTGTTAGCGCCAACCATTAAATATAATTGCATGCGCAGGTTGCAGAAGAAACTTTCTTCTAGTCACTGTCCATGACGAACGGTTTGGATGGAACACAAATTTAGTCGTTGTGAGGGATGCAGTGGCTTTCAAATGTATTGAGAAGCTGGACTTTGACGAACCGACTATACAGCGCAATCACGCGCACGCGCGCGTTTATAATTAATCCCTTCTCTACCGAAATTTCGCTGAATAGCGCGCATGCAGATTTGTTCGAGATTCAGATGATGTGCCAAAGTCCGTTTGCGATACTTACGAAAATCGCCCGGCAATTTGTCTAGAATTTTGTTGTTGAATTTATCGACAGACATTGAGACGGGAAATGAACGCACGATGAAGATAGGTGTCAGCGTCTTCGAGAGTATGTACACGGTGAGAAGAGCAAGTCAATGATGTTGTCAAAGCTGGTGGTCGCTGCTGTGAGTGCAAGAATCTGTCGATGGACCTGCAAGGTATTACGAGATAAGAGACTCGGACTAGAAACGAGAGAAGAACTACGTATCGTTAGGTACATGTGGGTAGACGTGAAATAAGTATGCTCACCTTGATCAGTCTTAGTTGGAAAGACTGGCAAACACGAAGAGACTATTATAATGAGTTGAAACGGAGAACGAAAAGAAAACGTGTATCGATAAGTGATTCTGTATGTAAGGTAGGGACGTACGATGGAGTCTGGACGTACCGTGATGCGAGACTGCCCATATTAAATCCATTTCCTGTTTGACTGGAAGGTACTGCGTGAAAGTAAGTTTACCTGTTATGATGACTGTTGGAAAGACGCGAGCGCCATTGAGAAAGGGAAGTTGTAATAAAGAGATGAAGGAAATGTGCAGACTTGCCTCCATTCGAAAAATCTTTTTGTAAATCTGATACCTAGCCTGAAGACCAACGTTAACGCCGTAGAAGTTGCCATGCATATGGTAGTGAGGAAAGGACTGCTTCTCATATTTACAGTTCTAGCAACACAGCATGACTGTATTACACCCGATCACCGTACTAGCAGTTGATCTCTCAAATTAGAGTTGCTTAAGTTCCTCCAGGTAGCTTCGTGTTTCAAGTGACTGATAATGCATCAACCTTCAGAAGTTTTAATCAGGTACATGTTTTGACTTCTGTTCGCTTCCACTTACCTATCTTAGCGCTCTTCTATGTCTTGCACTTTTTTCACCTCATTTACTGTATAGTGTACTTTACACCTGTCCGGTCGTCGTCCATACACCAGCGTTTCTCATCACTTACTTCCAGTGTACAACCTCTCGATGGAGTATTCGACTGAAGATGTCGCAGCAGCGAGGAGCTTGCAGTTTGCTGCGGTGTGTCTCCTCGATATTATAGCAAATAATTCTTGACAATTCATATTTCACTAGTACATATATGGTGCGTTCATCGTACTATATGAACCCCTTTTCCCTTGTCCTAACACAGTTCAGCGTCGATGGCTACATTTTGGGTAGGCTTATCCTGATATTTACGTCCGCCGTTAATCTCGCTTTTCCAGGTCTATGATTATGCATGTTCACTTCATGAAGAGGTAACGCACCCATTCTGTGATACATCTCGGTCTTGATATTCACCATATCTATGCAAAGTGGACATTTTTGCTTCAATCGCACTGGAGCAAGGTAAAAGGCTTGTATATCGCCACACGATACCTCCCCTTTATTATTCTCACTACGAGTCTATATCGTACGTCCCGCTCCAGTACATATTGCTTCGATGATGAATTAACACCTGTTCTTCAGTGGGCTTTACCCCGGGTGGGAATCCAGGCGTATGTGATGCTGTGGAGAGTTATTGATGATAAATGACTTACTGCATGACTTTCCCAGAAATGCCGAGTGTTTTACAATATTAACACGGGTACGTAATCGTACATTCATGTATGCACGTCCTTGCTGAGCGCTACCACTTTCCTCACAGGTCTTTGTATAGTATCAGTCATTTGCTCCGAATGTATCTCTCGTTCCTCCGTGAGATATGCGTGTTTCTGATCTGATTCATCCAGGTTTTTTCATCATCAGAACATATGTGCTCTGGAACAATAATAGAATCTTACTAACAACCATGCTGTCCATCTTTTTCGTGAGTTCCCAATCTACTCATCATAACCAACCTAGTGGTAAATGCATCAGCTAGATTTTTCTCGCAGCATCCTTCAGCATTACCTTCGACACTATCGCCCCCGCAGCATGTACTCACTCTCACCTCCCCTGGCGTTCGATTACTGAAACATTATGTTCATTTTCACAGATGCGACTAGCGCGATCCCGAGCATCACAGGGTGCTACCAGAGCTCAACTAGTTTCCAGCTCTTCATACCATTTCTTCTCCTTTTCGCGTTCGAACTGGGTGGGTAACCAGGAGCACATGTGTGTATGTAAAACGCGCTGACAGATGTTCTCCCCAGGACTCATGATACTCACGCTCATACGTGCCATACAGAGCTGGCGGATAAGCCCAACCCGTCTGTACGTTGCCCTGGTGAAACATAACATATTCTATTATATTTGTGGTTTTTGTGAGTTGACACTTGCTCGCGCCGTTTTTCCGTGCTCATTCATGATCAATTCTCTTTCCTACAGTGTTCTCGGTGATGAATATATTCGCATCGATGCTCCTCCATGTGCGTATATTTCCTGAATACCTTTTACGATAGAGTTGTTGATGTTCCGCACACCTAGTATTCCTACTCCACCATGTTGCATGAGTATGCACTTCCACATCCTGTTACGCATTCTTACTAACAATACCCAAACTTACACCCACATACAGTTTCCAGTTCGTGATCCTCGCAGTCCTCGCCACGCGCATGCACCTCCATCTCTGGCAGATCAGCCAACGTGCGCACGGCTCTGGCGCCCTTGTGTATATTCCAATGTCCGACTTGTCATCTGTCAATTCTACGGCGTGATGTCTTTGTCCAGTGGTTGATTCAATGTTGTTTGTGGGGTGAGGCTTGGACTGTAGGAGATGACTTGTGGTGGTAGAGTTCACTACGTACTACCTTATAGGACGAGTCTGTTTGGTCTTGCCATTAGATTCTGTCATTTAGAGGCCAGGAGGGATTTGGCATGAACAACAGGTATATTTGACCTTCCTCATATGCCCTAGAAGTACATTAACGTTGGTTCGCGACCGAGGTCTTTAGCACTATTCGTACCTTGCGGCTTATTGATAAAAGTCCATATGTACGGTTGGTTTTGAGAGGTTTAGATAGCACAGAATAGCATGTCGACTGCGTTTTCTAGGGAGATGTTTGGATGAAGACTAGTAGAGTCTTTTGTCTTTTGGGTATTTGAGTACGTGAGCCTCTTCTTTAGCTGGAATGCCGTTCTGTGGATTTTAAAGCTGTTGCCAAACAAACAGTCACGTGTGGCTCTAGTCTCTAAACTCACGACTCCGACTATCATACATTGATAGAGTTAGTCGGGGGGCTCTATCTATCGAGGACCGACTACGCGACACACCACAGGACTACCTACGAGCCAGGACTCCTCCTGCGCCAGGACCCCTGGCACTCCTGTCCTGATCTGTCCTGCCAGAGCGCCCTGCTCCAACATTCCGAGATCTTGGGTCAGCGAGCCCTGCAGCTTTAATGGTATCCGCAATACCCACGGTTGCATCTTGATGGGTTCCTATAGATAAGGTACATGATGAGCATTCCCCGTGCATGACATTTGACCACGTTTCCAGTGAGTGCAGACGGAGTATTTTGACAATGTGCAGTGTTTTACGGTATGTCACGTTCTTGTTGGTATGTGGCCGCTATCAAGAGAATACTTCATGAATGTTTTGCTTTTTCCGGGTGCTTATTCCAACACAGCTCAGCGTCGATGGCTATAATCTGGTGAGCTCGTCCCAATCTATTTCAGTCAGCCATTAAATATTTTCCGGATCTATGATCATGCCTGTTCACTGCAAGAATTGGTAATGTAGTTGTTTGTGACACACATCGGTATTGACACATTAATAGTTGATGGATCCGATGCTGTTCAAAGTTGGCATTCCCGCTTCAATCTGATCCCTCTGCACCAAGGTAAAAGCCCTTTCCATCGACACATGATGTATCCGTTCATCCAAAGAGGTCGAGCTTCCTTGTACGGCAGCGAGGTCCTTCTAGCGTAGTTTTACGTTTCAAGTGACGATAACGCATCAACCTTCGAGCTTCAGAAACTTTATTAGGTATGTTCTACGTCTATTATGTAGTCTGACCGAAGACTTGACATACAACATATGTGCCTCAGAATAGAGCATGGCTATCAGTGAAACTACTGCCTCAGGCACTGGAGGCGCAACTGTATCTTTTATCAAGTCACTCCCCGGCCGATGCATCCAGTGAACTTTGAAACGCTCCATCATGACCATCAAGCTAAGCCTGAAACTCGAATGATATCGCAGTATTAACACCGCGACTTTTTTGGGTTCATAACTCATTCATAAGATATAAGAAGCCGAATGCCAATATGTGCATGATACGCATTTTTTTGACCTCTGCTATTCGCATCTATCTTACCTATCGACACCCTTCTATATCTTGCACCTTCTTCACCTTTCTGTATATATTGGTACTGCCCAGCGTGCATCGAGCCACCTAATCGTTACATAACCGTACGTAGTACATCTTGTCCTGTCGTCGTCCATCCCTCAGCGTTTTCTCATCACTCTTCCAGTGTACAACCTCTCGATGGAGTATTCGTCTGATGATATCGCAGCAGCGAGGAGCTTGCAGCTCGCTGCGGTGAGTCCTCTTGTCGATGTGATGACGAATAATACTTGACATATCATGTTCCATCAGTACATATATGGTGCGTCGCAGTACTGTCAGAACCCCTTATTCTTTGCCCTAACACAGTTCAGCGTCGATGGCTACATTTTGGGTAGGCTTATCCTGATATTTACGTCCGCCGTTAATCTCGTTTTTCCAGGTCTATGATTATACATGTTCACTTCATGAAGAGGTAACACACTCATTCCGTGATACACCTCGATCTTGATATTCGCCATATCCTGTGCAAAGTGGACATTTTTACTTCGATCGCACTGGAGCAAGGTAAAAGGCTTGTATGTTGTTACGCGATACCTCCCCTTTATCATTCTCACCACGAGTCTATATCGTATGTCCCACTCCAGTACACATCGCCTGATGAATTAACACCGTTCTTCAGTGGGCTTTACGCCGGATGGGAACCAAGGTGTATGTGATGCGGTGGAGAGTTCATAAGAACAATTGACTCACTGCATGAATTTGCCAGAAATGCCGAGTGTTTTACAATATTAACACAGGTATGTGCATGGTACATTCATGTATGCATGTCCTTGCTGAGGGTTACTACTTTCCTCTCGCAGGCTTTTGTATAGTATCAGTCATTTGCTCCGAATGTATCTCTTGTTCCTCCGTAAGATATGTGCATTTCTGATCTGATTCATCTAGGCTTTTTCATCATCAGAACATATGCGCTTTGGAACAAGAATAAAATCTTACTAGCAGCCGTGCTGTCTGCCTTTTGCGTGAGTTCTCAATCCACTCACCATAACCAAGCTGGTGGTAGATGGATCAGCCAGATTTTTCTCGCAGCATCCTTCAGCATTAGCTTCGCCACCTAGTGTCCCCGCAACATGTATTCGCTCTCACCTTCCCTCTGGTGTTCCATCACCACTGAAATATTACGTTCATTTTCACAGATGCAACTAGCGCGGTCCTGGGCATCACAGGGTGCTACCACAGCTCGACTAGTTTTCGGCTCTTCATACCATTTCTCCTCCTTGCCTGGTTCGAACTGGGTGGGTATTCAGGAGCATATATATGTACAAGCACACGCTGACAGATGTTCTCCCCAGGACTCATGATACTCACACTCATACGCGCCATACAGACCTGGCGGATAAGCCCAACCCGTCTGTACGTTGTCCTGGTGAAACATAACATATTCTATTATACATGTGGTTTTTGTGAGTCAATACTCGCACGCACCGTTTTTCCGTGCTCATTCATGATCAATTCTCTTTCCTACAGTGTTCTCGGTAACGAACATATTCGCATCGATGCACCTCCATGTGCGTATATTTCCTGAACACCTTTTACGATAGAGCTGTTGATGTTCCGCGCACCTAGTATTCCTACCACGCCTTGTTGTATGAGTATGTACCTCCACATCATGTTGTGTATTCCTACTAACAATACCCAAACTCACCCACGTACAGTTTCCAGTTCATGATCCTCGCCGCGACGCGCATGCACCTCCATCTCTGGGTGGTGAACCGACATGCACACAGCTCTGGCGCCCCTGTGTGTATTCCAATATCTGACATGTCATCTCTGAATTTCACAGCGTGATGTCTCATCTTGTGGCTTATTCGGTGTCGTTCGTGGAGCGAGGCTTGCGCTGTACGAGATGACTGGTGGGGGTTGATTTGGTAGAGTTCGCTACGTGCTTAACTTATAGAACGAGTCTCTTGTGGGGTGGAAGGAGCATTTGGATGGCATTGGTCTATTTAATTCCCATGGTTTCTACTATAAGCGGCGGCGGATTCAGGATTCAGGATTTGAGTGTGCTAAGGCCGGATGCACAGCCCGACAGCAATGAGCACTATGTTACAGGTTCATTAAGATACAGCGAGGTTCACGAATTAACGAAACGTCCCTGAAATGACAGGACGTCATCTGGAATCACCTACGCTGCCGATGTATTTATCTCACTCGAGTAGATAAGCTATTCGCACATTGTAACTTGTCAATGAAAGACTACCTGTAGGGTGGGGGGGTCAGGGCTTCCTGCCTTAATGGGGACTTGAAACACTATTTGACCCACCCTATCGCTTATGACATTATAGAAAGCCCAGCAAATGATTATGGCATAGTGAGTAGTGTCTGATGGAACTGTTCACGAACGATATCTGAAGTGCAGGAAATGTAGTGCGGTGACAGGCTGCATATTGCAGAACGCACGATGTGCTAGTGAAAAATGTAGGAATTCACAGATTTGAAGTATGCAGAAGTAGTAGACGGGCCTTACTAGTAGGCTAGTTGGGGGTGATCACTTTTGCAGGGACGATAACGTTGGCGCATGCGCCAGCGGCTGTCTTGGGAGTTGAGTATGAAGCCACATTTGACTTCCGCGACCTCCAAATACTGGGAAGAAATTACCGTGATTGATATATCATTGTGGGGGGAGAAGGAACAAAAGGTGTATTTGACTTGTCGTAGGAGCATACAAATCTTAGTTCGATTGAGGTATTTAGGTTTACTTTACTGATAGCTTGCCGAGGCGCTTTTGCCAGACAAATGTGTCACGTCACAAGTTATTAGTCACGAACGTTCGAACTTCGAACAGTGAACATGGCTGAACGACTTTTGTAACATCGATCATTCAGTGAATGTTTTTAACCTCCGAGTCGTCTATGAAAGGAAGGGTGAACTCACGACTCCAATTGTCTGTTTACTGACTTCGGGCAGTACAACGCTCCAGAATTCGCAGATAATTGCAGTTCTAATAGATTAGAAGCCACACAACATGAGCTCGTGTACGAAACACGTTCGATTACCTGTCATTGTGTCGAACGGAGTGGAAATCGGCTGATTGCTGTTGGCCCGTGCGAGCTAGTGTGTAAGTACTGTCTGTACTGTGACATCTCGCTTATAACTTGACAGCTCAGCGCTCAGCGTCAGAGTCATGGCTCCCTTCACACCCTCCCAAAAAAACCAACGAGGGCCAAATAAGTATTAATACTGGAGAGTCGATCTCACGGATTAGAGCTTTGAAAGCCCCTCCCTGGAACGTCCCTCCAACGTGGCTGCTTCAGAAGCAGGGACAAGTACAATGAGCACACCCAAGCCCAATCAAACCTAGGTTGTATTGCCAGAGTTACCTAATTGCATAGCATATGCGTCATTATAAGAGTTCAGAAGGAGGTAAATCCGTTAGTTGTTACTTCTTGAACGACCAGAAATGCAGACGGAATATTCGGCTGACGATATCGAGGCAGCGACGAGTTTGCAGTTCTTCGCGGTGCGTTTCTTTCTTGTTAATACGAGGGCGAGCAATATTAAGCAATCCATTTGCGCATCAGTACTTTTACAGTGCGTACTGCCTGAACACTATCTTTATCGTCCTACTAACGCAGCTTAGTTTCGATAACTACATTCTGGGTGGGCTTATCCTGATGAATTCTCTTCCGCTGTTAAACTCCCTCATCCAGACTTACGATTATGTTTGTTCGATTCACGAAGAGGTAATGTACTTGTTCCGTGATAAACCTCGGTTTTGATGTTCATACAAGTCTGTTCGAAGTGGAGATTCCTGCTTGTCTCGCACTGGAACACGATGAAAGGCCTTTATATCGTTACGCGATATCTCCCCTTTCTCCTCCTCGCCACAAATCTATATTGTGCGTTCAGCTCCAGCGCACCTCGTCCGAGATAGATTAACACATTGTCATGTAGTGAGTTTTATCCCAAATGAAACCCCAGGTGTACGTGGACATGCGGTGGGGACTTAATGAGACGAATATCACTTACTGCATGACTTCGCCAGAAATGCCGGGTATTGGATAATATTTGCTTAGGTGTGTGCATGGTACATCGATCTATGCACAACCACGATGAAGACAACCCACTTTCTCTCACAGGTTTCGGCATACTATCAGTCATTTGCTCCGAGGGTATTTCCTTCCTCCCTAGGACGTATGTTCCTGATCTAATTCATCCAGGATATTTCGCCCTCAGAACATGTGCGCTCTGGAACAACAATAGAATCTTACTCGCAGCAGTGCTTTCTACCTATCTCGTGAGTTCTCAATCCACTCATCACACCAAAGCTAGTGGTAGATGCATCAGCTAGACTTTTGCCGGAGCATCCGTCAGCATTGCCTTCACCACCACTGCTCCCGCAGCATGTATGTGCTCTCACCTCCACATGGCGTTCCACTATCATTCAACAATTGTGTTCGTTTTCGCAGATGCGACTAGCGCGATCCCGGGCATCACAGGGTGCTACCAGAGTTCGACCAGTTTCCGACTCTTCATACCGTTTATTCTCCTTTCCGTATTCGAATTGGGTGGGTGACCAGGAGCATACACGTGTACAAGAACACGCTGACAGATACCCCCCCAGGACTCATGACCCTCACGCTCATATGCGCTATACAGAACTGGCGGACAAACCAAGGCCCTCTGTACGTTGTCCTGGTGAAACATAACATATTTTATTATACGTGTGGTTTTTGTGAGTTAATAGTCGCACGCGCAGTTTTTCCGTACTCATCCATGATCATTCTTTTTCTTGCAGTGTTCTCAGTAGCGAACATATTCACATCACTGCTCCTCCATGTGCGTATGTCTCCCGAATACATTTTACGATGGAGCTGATGTTTTGCGCATCTAGTACTCCTACCACGCTATATTGGATGAGTATGTACCTCCACAACCTTCTGTGCAATTCCACTAACGATGCACACCTACGTACAGTTTCCAGTTCGTGATCCTCGCGACTCTCGCCACGCGCATGCACCGCCGTCTTTGGCAGATGAAGCCACAGACATACAGCTCTGACGCCCTCATGCCAATTCCTATGTCCGAAATGTCACCTGTTGAGCATACGGCGTGACGTGACACCTTACCTGGCGGCGTCGTTCGTCGAGCGAGGTGTACATGCTTAACCTTCACGACTATGTTCTCTGTCGTGGGGCAAAAGATGCGTGAGTGGATGAGACCAGGATTCTGGATTTGAACATGCTAGAGCGAGAAGCACGGCCTAACAAATACTTACGCCCACCTTCTTGGTCGTGCAACCAGGATGTGAATCTGCCTGTACACTATGGACCTCGTCACCTGCGTTGATGATATGATGGATAAGGGAGAAGACCTGGTGCACAAGCTATCGTTTACATCTCTCAATTTAGCGGTGGAGTTCGTACTTGAATTATTTTATCTATTAAATGTCCATATTATCGAAGCGGCAGCAGAAATGCGATGAAGTGCGCAGATACTGCCAGGGGAACGTTCAGGGAACAATCACTGAACGAACATGAGAAGCTCGAGTGAAAATCTCCTGCAGAGCAGCTTTCACATTGTCCATGTTCCTCATATCAACTTCATCAACCTCCTTCGGCCCCTCTAGCAGCCCACTATCGATTTTCTTCGCGAGATCGTCTAGTACCTCCTTGACCTCCAATGGGCCCAGGATACTCGACTTCATGCCCTTTAACGTAAGGGCCTTTGCATAAAATGTTCGCAGGTTGACGGGGAATAGTCCGTCCTTTGCATGCACAGCCATGACCACGACACGACTGGTGCCGTTTGGTGTCATCGTGACAATCGCGTCATTGAATGGCTGGTCATAGCTGGCGCAGTCTAGCAAAACGTCAATTTTGTTCTGCACTCCGGCCTTGGCGATGGCCTCGCGGATGGCATTTTTAGAGCCCAATTCGATGGGCGTGACATATGATGGGGGAATCAGTTTGGCGAGCAAGGTGTACGTGCCGAATATGCGTGCCCCGCGCTCTTTGCAGAGCTGTGCTGCTGCGGAGCCAATGCTGCCTCGAGCACCTAGAGGACTGGGGTTAAGGATGATAAATGCAGTAGGTCAAGTGATGTGTACCAATGATAATAACATTGTCTCCCTCCTTCACGTTCGCAAGAGTGTCAACTGTAATCCAGGCACATAACCATGGCAGGGTCATGCTACCAGCCCTAGAGTGGTTGAGAGATGCCGGCTTCCGGCTCAATGCGGTGATAGGGACAGTGACGTATCTGAAGAGGCGTCCATCTGGAAAACAAGAGACGAACGCATGTAAAATACGTACTGAGAAAATGTTCCATCCGAAGTGAAGCCCCTCTCGCTTACTGTTCCCCAGACCTCTGCTCCGATCCACTCTTGACTTGAGGCGCCAGATGCGTCGAGCGCTTCGACGACTTCCCCAGAGAAATCTCTGCCAGGAATGCGTGGCGTGGTCACAAATGGAAGCATGCCTATGATAGCTGCAGCATCGGACTAATGAGAGGTCAGAATACTACTGAAGCGTGGTATGACCCAAGTTGTAGGCTTACCCCGTTGATGCCGGCAGCTCTGACGCGTACGAGAGCCTCACCGGGACATAACATGGGTTTGTCGATGTTAACCAGAGACAACTTGTCGAAGGACCCAGTCTTCTGGAACTTAAGAGCTTGCATGGCGATTTGACGACTAGACTCGGAAAGACGTAGATGTTGAACAATAAATTATTAAATCAGTATAGGCAAACCGCGACAAACTCACTAGAGGCAACAGCAAATTCGCCTTGTTCCGGAAGACACAGGGGGATTAATAAGATGCAGGATCATGCAGCTTGCAGTGAACGTTTGAACCATTGTAATTGAATCTACATCAAATCAAGACCGTTAGTCAACTGATTAGGCATAGATCATCTGATTGAATCGACCCATTGGTGTCAGATAGCCATCTAGATCAGAAAGGGTTCACGGAAGATGCTTACCATGTGTTAACGAGGTAAAGCCGAGCTAGATACAGTCTGAGTGGTATTGAGTGATCTTGATCTTTTGTGACAGACTAGCGGAAATTGCAAGAGTAAACTGTGACTTCAAGGTCACCGTCCACTGAGTTCCTGGACACTCGGACGTGCACGGTAATGAAGAGGCCGACTCCGAACACGCGAAAAAAGCAGCGGAAGGTCGTCACATATAAAATTAAAAAAAGTGATCTTGATATTGAAACGGATACCGAATCCCAATCGGAGAACGTTCTTGATATTAATTGGAAAACATATGGGAACGTTGAAGATGTACCGCGTGGAGGGGCACAAATGCAGTGAATAGCTTGTGGAGCGGATCAAGTTGAACCGAGAGAGATACTAGCAAGGCTTGACGCCGAGAGTGTACACATGCTTACTAAGCTTGTTGACGCTTAGACCTGTGTAAGTGACACATGATCGATTTCATACAGAACTCCTCGATTTATGCAAGTACAACAAGAACATCCCGAAAATGATGTCGGAAATGAGCTACCAACATTATCAACGAGTGGAAGTTTCCTGATGGTGTATTCATGTCCGTGATACTGGCTTGCAAATAAAAATTTAATCTAGGACTTCCACGTTTGCTTGATCTCGCATCGCAATACTTACTTCAACCAATCAAGGGTATTGAAGCAGGAACAAATATCCATTACCATCATACCGATTTCGGCGGTGCAAGCGCTGAACGGTTGTATATCTAGCATGGACACTAGGTCGTCATAACCCCCAACATCCCCCACTCGCTCATACGAGTCATACCCATCCCTCGAATATGACCCTAGTCTCAAATGATCCAAATTGGTGGCCGATAATCAGTTGGAATATTGTGGCAAGCCGTTGGACAGGTTCGTCGTATCAGTCAGTAATGTCTCGATCCAACATTGGCTTGCGGTTTCGCAGTTGCTGCCGGTGTCGTGGTGGTATACGATTGGGGTGAGCAGGACAGTGTTCGAAAACTGCTGATATTCTCATGATATTTCCAGTCCTAACATTCGGACAAGAGGTACGTCGGTATTTCTGGAGCACCCAACTTGCTAAGGATGGTGTCATAGATTGAACTGATCTGGGTGAGTGACAGAGTCGTACATCAGAAGAAAAACAGCAGAATACAATGAATTCACGACAGAGGCAACGCTGGTCTTTCATGACTGTGCTGTATCTCGCTGTTCGTACTACCACAGTCATGTCATGCTATAGCGTTGTGCTGACCCGAAAATGTTCTAGATACGCTATATTGGAATACTATATTCAGTGTATGTTTTTGAGGCTAAAAAGTTGGTGCTGTACTAATAGCTCATCTCTGACAATTAGTACCAGTATTCTGTGTATGTCTCATATGGGCTGTGTTCGATTCTTCTGAACCAGCACCACACAGATTCTATGCCATTGGTCTCGCTGACAGATGCAGTGAGTATTCTGCAACTATCTTATTCCCATCTACTGAATGCACTCATATGTAGGGGTGAGTGAGATTCTCAATATTGAATGTGGCTCAAAATAATGATTCAATAGGTGTGAGTCGGAGCGTCTAATCCTAGTACGAGGTGATTACTAATTGGGTGCTTCAGGCAATATTGTGGACTACGCAACGAACGGGACAGATGTGGTCATAACTGCCACGTTGGGCGGTGAGCTCCATTATCTCAGCGATATTGACTCAACTGAAATACGATGCAAGTCATCATGATTGTTCGATTATATGCCATGTATCAGAGATCTAGAAAAATGCTTATATTCCTTGTCATTGCCTTCTCAGTCGTTAACATCGCCTGTGGAGTACTCGTAGCAATAACACTCAAGGATATTGCAGGGGGTAAGCTTTACTTGTTGACTTAAAGAACGCAGCTCATTGGACGAACACCAGAGGAGTTGATACTCTCTGGTATACATATATGCGACTTAGAATATGAGGGGGATACCCTGCTGCTGACCACAATGGTTTGGGTGCTCAACACTGCTTGGGAGGTCCTCGCACTGTGTCTTTCAGTCTGGATTGCCGTGAAACACTTTCGTGACCTGCGACGATTCGGCCCGTCGACAAGATCGACCGTCAAGGATTGTTTCAGAGTGCTGATAAAATCTCACATGCTTTATTTTGCAAGGTGAGCTTGCAATGTAGATGTATTTCTCTGTTTCTGCTCAAGTTCCGCACGTACTAGCTTTGTTTGTGTCTCTTGCCTTGAGTTAGTCGAGAATCTTTCTCCAGGGCTCACGGTGCGCCAATCTGTCGCTGACATCTGCTTGTAAACACTGCTCATCATTCCTGCAGAGTTCATATTCTGTGGGGGTTGAGATATTCTATGGTGTTCTTCAAATTTTATTTAGCATGCAGATGTTCGTGCTGGGACCGCGCCTCATCTTTAGCGTTCGAGAATATCATGCAAAACTCGTGGCCAACTCCGACGCAGACATTAGCATGACTTCGATTGTCTTCCAGGAGCGTGTACATGTACCAACTAGCAGTGTTGTGTAGCAAAATGCTTGCCGGGTGTTCTGCATGCAGGAGATATTGATCCGTCGTAGTATGTATTTTAGTTATGGTATTTCAAAGTATATCTAAGACGAGGTTTACGTAGATAAACCCATTTCTTATTGTATCACTACTGGAAGTCAGTGAACCGCCCGCTCACACTTGTACCCAGTGGCAAGCTGAACTTATCCAGAATGTCTACATGGAGTTCAAATCATGAATATACTTGGTGATTTGTTTTATTAAATATCCATAATGATATCGAAGCGGCAGCAGAAATGCTATGAAGTGCGCAGATGCTGGGGAACGTTCAGGGGGAAATGACTAAACGAACATGAGAAGCTCGAGTTAGAATCGCCTGTGGAGCACCTTTCACGTTGTCCATGTTCCTCATATCAATTTCATTGACCTCCTTCGGCCCCTCTAGCAGCCCACCATCAATTTTCTTCGCAAGGTCGTCCAGTACCTCTTTGACCTCCAATGAGCTCACTTCATGCCCTGTAGCGTAAGGGCCTTTGTATAAAATGTCCGCAGGTTGACGGGGAATAGTCCATCCTTTGCATGGACAGCCATGACCACGACACGACCGGTGCCGTATGGTGTCACTGTGAAATCGTGTTGTCGAACGGCCGGTTGTACCAGTGATAATAATATTGTCTCCCTCCTTGACGTTCGCAAGTGTGTCAACTGTAATACAGGCACATAACCACGGCAGGGTTATGGCACCAGCCCTAGAGTAGTCGAGAGATGCCGGCTTCCGGTTCAGTGCAGCGATAAGGACAGTAACGTATCTGAAGAGCCATCCGTCCGGAAAACAAGAGACAAATGCATGTAAAATACGTACCGAGAAAATGTTCCATCCGAAGTGAAGCTTATCTCGCTTCCTGTCCCCCACACCTCTGCTTCAATCCACTCTTGACTCGAGGCACCAGATGCGTCGAGTGCTTCGACAACTTCCTGGAGAAATCTGCGCCGGAAATGCGCGGTGTGGTCACAAATGGAAGCATGCCTATGATGCCTGCAGCATCGGACTAATGATGGGTCAGAATACTATTGTACTAGCGTGATATGACCCAGGTTGTGGGCTTACCCCATTGATACCGGTAGCTCTGACGCGTACGAGGGTCTCACCGGGACATAATATGGGTTAACCAGAGACAATTCATCGAAGGACCCAGTCTTCTGGAACTTAAGAGCTTGCATGGTGATTTGACGACTAGACTCGGAAAGACGTAGATATTGAACAAGAAATTATTAAACCAGTACAGGCAAGCCGCGACAAACTCACTGGAGGCAATAACCAGTATGCCTTGACTCGGAAGACACGGAGGGATTGATAAGACGGAAGATCATACAGCTCGTGAACCACCGGAGTGAATAAACGATAACATCGCATCCGATGATGTAGGGTAGATGACAAGGTAGAGCTCACAGCGCTTACAGCTCATCGAACCAGCGTGCAAATGCGTTAGGTTACATTTCAACACGCCGCTTTACCACAGTCAATGCCAACATTTGATGCTGTTGTGTCTCAACGAACTATACTAGTACTGGAAATTAATTTGGACTGTCTCGAACCGTGGTAAACTAGTCTGGAAGAAAAAGTAACATGGCCGTATATAATCATTTAAGCCATCTCAATAAATCAGCGTCGTTTGAAGCATGTGCATGGTCACTCGTACATGTCAAACTTGCACCTTCATGCAAATTCGAAGAGTACCCCTACTATCATTCCGTATATACCGTAAATTTGGAAAGGGTCCTGGCCTAATTTGGCTATCCATCCGAAATCTCAGTCTTTCTGAATTTATTTACGGAACTTCGATTTTCGCCACAGGGCAGCACAACGCTCAAGCCTGAGGCTGGATGCTGCTCATCATTGTTCGTCATGTTTGTGCAAACAAATTATCAATCTGATTCCTTTGGGCGCTGCTCACCTTGACATGCAATTTCATGTACTTTGGATCACTGTGGTCTTCTCCAGTAGTACCCGCCAGCACACCAGAAGTGCCCAACTTCCACTGTTAGCAGTATGTTTCAGTGTGATCACTGTTGACAGATGACCTGGATGATGTGGGTGAGGTGGACAGATGGGACAGAATGGACGGGACGGGCAGAACCTTCAAACTTTCCTGAATTCAGGTTCCCTCAATCATTCCCTGTAATATTTCAACAAAGTTCATGAAACGTTGACATTGGGGTCAATGCGCATCAAAAAAAATTCAGGCATCATAATGCAGACCTGGAGTACCTAGAAATGATGGTTTGTACAAGATACTGTAGAGATACGCACCTAACTTCGATGTGATTTGAGTGTGACCAACTGAGCATTAGCTTCAAAGCTTTGAAGATGGGTGTGATGTGTGATGTCCCCCAATTAGCTTCGTTTTGGCTGATGCATGTGTGACACTGTGGACTCCATTGTCCTTCACTACCTTCACTCCCATCTGACTTGGAGGATGTGGCGTCTTCTCTCTATGTTTCTGCAAAGTCATGGTGATGCAAATCCCCCAATGTTCGAGTCTGATGAGCACCTTGCAATGCATCAAAGTCTAAGTATTTTGCCTCAAAGTTCCCTTTCACCATCATGCCTTTGAATTTATGCAACCAAACACAAGATCTCTTGTCTATCCCTGCGCAGTTTAGCACAATTGTTCCTTCCCACAGCCCCTCTGTTGCTGAGTTGCTTGTCCTTGACCTACCCACAGTGCTAGAACCCGACACATCATCTGCCAGCTTTGTTTTTTATAAAGCACTCCCTATGGTGCAGCTCCCTATGGTCCTGGATGGTCAAGGAAAATGCAGATGCACTGCAAATTCTCAATACAACAACTTTTGGCAACATTGATAATATCCTACACATTTTTTTTGTATTTTGACGATGTGTCACAAATTACCTTCAATGACCTTGAATTCATGTGACAGTTACTTGAAATAGCTTCGATTCATTGGGCCTGTGACAGTGTGATGAAGTTAGGTGCATATCTCTACAGTATTAGAACTTTCTTGGATGTTGCAGCTGCAAGGTAAAACAGTTAGTGCTTGTGAGCTGAACCTCTGACAAATAGGGTTTGAAACATGGCCAGCAGGAATGGTGGACTGACAAACTACTGGTATTTCAGATAGTCAGTGTCACTGGTAACTTATCATTACCGACCTAACTGTATAAGTACCAGGTATATTCCAACCATTTGCTCACCAAATATTCTTGCAATGACAAGTAACAGCCTAACCACACCCACTCTTAGCAATGATGAGGTACATTTCCCTCCCTGCTTCTGTGTCTGGACCTTATTCTCTTGAATCTATGTCAGGCTAGCGAGCATCCTCCAGGCCATCGCCAATTTCCTCTGGCACTGTGGCCTGTCATATGTGAACATTGTGAACATCACTATTGATGAAGTGTTATACTCTGAATGCTACCAGGAGGCTATCAACTGTGGCTTTCTGATGGATGGAAAATATTCCCTCTGCCCATACATGGCTGTTGGTGTGGCCATGTTCAATACTTACACCTACCTTCCTGACTGTGCAACCAGGATGTGGATCTGCCTGATCACTGTCCTCATCACCTGCATTGACGATATGATGGATAAGGGAGAAGACTTAGTGCACATGCATAGTTTCTACAGGCAGTTTGTGAGCAATCAGTCACAAGGCAATCCAGTCCTAAATGTGATTGATGCACTCTTGTGGGACATTGTTTTCCATTATTCTTCACCTGTGTCAAATTTGATTGTTGCATCTGTATTCAATTTTATGTCTTCTATTATGCTTGATAACGAAACCAAAGACATGCAGGCATGGTATTTCTCTCAATGAAGCCAGCTGGGATTGCTGACCCTTTGTATTGACAGATTTTGACAGAGGCTCAATCCTACCCTGTTTATATGAGGATGATATTGGGTGTGCAAACTGCATACTTGCTCTTTATTTTCCCTTCCATGCTCCCACTCTGGGAATATGTTCAATGCATGCTGGATCTAGCCATTGTCATCAATTACATGAAGTAAATACACCAATTATGTCCTATTGGACCTCTTGCTGACCTGCTGTTCTTCAGCAATATACTACCATACTACAAAGAAGAAATTGAAGGTGACACCACAAACTACCTGTCATGTGTGGCAGCCTCTCATGCACTGACCAACAGGATGCTCTGCATGAAATCATTGAGAAAACTGTGCAAGCACATCATAATATCCTTGAATGCCTAAGACCTCATACTGAGGCCTGTGATGCCTACATCAGTTTTTTTGATGGGTATGCTCAATTCCATGCTGTCTTAAAGAGGTACAAGATGGGGGGGATTATGGCAGAGATGTCCTCTTGATGGATGTTACAACTTATCCATGTTCATGTGTTGCTCACTAGCTTATTTGTCTTTGTCACTCATGACCCTGCTTCTTGACTTGCTTTTTTCATTTATGTTCCTGAATGAGAATTTTTATTTCTATGTACACATCTTGGCTACTATACACTTGGAACTTGGTTACTTGGTCGCTTTGCGGGAATTTCTCTAGATCTTGGAAACACTGGTTGCGATTTTCTTTGAAATACATAAATAGAAATTGATATTATGGATAGGGCAGCGAAATATTCAGTCTAGCATCAAGAAAACCCTCCTGTTTTAACTTAGAGAAATTTAGAAAAATTAGCATTAGTTTGACCTAAGCTTGCTAGGCTGGCAAAAATTTACTAAAGTTTGACCTAGGCTCTCTAGTTTATCAAAAATTGTGCATAGCTAGCGCAAAGTCACAAAAGTGTGTCTATCCAAGTATAAATTAAGGAAAAATGATTTGCACTTGTCAAGGACATTAGCAGAAGTCCAGTCACAAGGAGCAACATGACCTAAATGCAGAATTAAATGAGCACTATGATGTACATTGTTAATAGGTATGACACTAGCCAAGCATTGCTCATTCATGATGATGCATGAGACTTTGTATAGGCTGTGGTTATGTTCAGGTGCATGAAAGGCAGAGAACCACTCAACATAAGCTAGATGCTTTGGAGGGCAGAATGTTGATGGAAACAGCATGGAGATGGCCTTGGGAGTAGTGTTTTAAAGTCTGGTTGCAAGACTGAAAAAAAACTGGCAACTGAATTGGACTGCCAATGGTTGCAACCGGACTGAGGTTGTGGTTGCCTTACATTTTGCTAAACTTTGGTTCTGGTTGCCTGACATTGATCAGAAATTCAAGACCAATAAAAACTGGTTGCAACTGGTCACAAGTGAAACTGGTTGCACAATGATACAATAAACTTCTAATTCTAAGATATGTAAGGAAAGCAAACTATGCAGTGACCATATTGTCTGGCTCAGATTGATCCCACTCAACCATATTCTCATCAAGGGACAGCAGCTCTTTGAATTCCTCCAGAAAGACTTCCTGTGTAGTGAAAGAGTTGGAAGCAGCCCTATCTGCAATGGAATCTTGCCATGTACACTTGAGGATCTGGAGTTGCTCAAATTTGTCTGCACCAAATATTGAGCAGTGATCTGTTGCAATCTCTGCACCTGCAGAAAACAATTGTTCACATGGGACTGAAGATGCTGGTATGGCACAAATGTCCATTGTGATTCTTGCAAGGGTAGGATAGATAGATGCATGTCTCTGTGTGATATGAGATAAAAAATATGTTAGAACATATTAGATAGACTCACTGACCACCACTGAACAATGTCTGTCTCTTTTGTAACATCCTCCAGCATATCCTTGAGGTAATGACGAAGCTTGGCTGCCCATCCAGTGTTGTGCTTGTAGACTGCCTGCTGAACCAACATGTGGCGATGATGATCATATTCAGACTCCATGGTTTTGACAGTTGAGACTGTTCAGTCATTGTCAATGGTGTTGGTGGTGGCACATCCTGAGTCTACAAGTGCTTTATGTGAGGTCCAATACTCCTCCATAGTTTTTTCAACTACCTTGAGAGCTTCATTGTACCAATCCTTGGCATTCAGATTCCCAGCAGCTCGTTCCTTGGCTTGTTCTTCAGGACTGCCTTACACCATTTTGATGTATGCAAGTTTGTAGTATGGGTGTAGTACTGCGCATTTAATTAGTCAAAAACACAATACAACATGATAGACATACCAAGCACAAGAATGTAGACTGGTTTGTCATTAAATTTGCCATAGTATTTTCCAATCTTTGCAATACCCCACTGGATAGCCTCCTTGTACAGCATGAACTGTAAATCCTCACTCTTTGATTCCCAAGCTGTCTGTAGCTCCTCCATAGCAGGTATTGCATTGAAGGTTCAACAGCTCTGCTAGGCTTGCAGAGCTAAAGAAAGAAAGATGCCTCTACCTCTGGGGTGAGAGGAAGGCCACCGACTCTCTAGATGTTGGTCAAAGTGTGCCAGGCAATATGTTCAACCCTTAGGGGAAGCAAGGAAAGCAAGATCCACTGGGTGATACCAGGTCAACTCTGGTGAAGCATGTGCACAGGAATGTTGAGCATGTAGGAGCGCGAAGCATGGGAATAGGGTGCACACAGTGCACGAACATATAAATGACTGAAAGATGATGTGAAGACGTTGAAGTGAGGCTGGTGATGAAGATACTGATGCTAATGGACTGCTGCTGAGGACTAGGGCGACGACTAATGCATGCTGGCTGAAGACAATAAATTCTGACTCTAGAGACTAAGTGACATGATGGTGGTTGATCTATCAAAACTTTCTATGCAACAGGTAAGCTGTGCCTAGGTGCGCTCCCAGGGCTCAGAAGCGAACAGGGAGCACTCTAAGTATGTAAATGATGTAAGAAAGGGTCCATAATGAAATGATATATTGTACGATGCTAGAAATGGTCTGATAATGAAAATAAATGGAAAGGGATGCACTAGGGGACTGGTTGGATGATAGATGAAGGCTCCAGGATGCTGCACAACAAAGTGCGACCAAGCGCATGCATGGGAATGTGTCACATGGTGCGGGAAAGCATTGCACCTCTGGCGCATTTTGTGTGAAAGTCATAGCTAGTGAGTCGTGCGCTATACCAATTGTTGTGAGTTGTAATATGCGCAATCTAAGCCTAGAGGAATCTCATTCTCTACAGCGTGCCATAGTGTTGGTTGTTGTTCAGAGGAGAAGTATTGTTGGATATCATTAGCATCCTAAAAATGTCAGTCAAAATTGCTGAAGAGAGACTAGTTGTGACCTACTGACATTATGATTTGTGTATGGTTCACGCACTCCCAGTCTGATGTCTTGAGTGCAAATGCAGTCCATGGGATGTGCTTTGTGACCCGTCCATGGCATTAAATGAATGTGATCGGCCCAAAAAGTTTGTCGGTGGAGGAGACAAAGAGATTGATAGCCTGTCATAGGTGATAGGCGCATCCAAGCATTCCATGAGCTGTTCCCCAGCATACATTACTGTGCAGGGGGATTTTGAGTGGTATCGCAATCCCACACTTGACTTGCAAGGTCTCAAAATATTCAATGCATTGACCTGAGGACTGAATCTGTAAGATATGTTAGATGATAGAACTTATGGGCAGCAGTGAAAATGTACCTTAATGGCAAGTGTATGCACCACTATGAAGAAGACATATGTACTAGGCTGTTAGCAACTAGCACATACTTATCCTAAGAGGTGCAAGTTAGTAGATCGGCCCAAGAGGACTGCTATTGAAGCACTTCCTTCAAATATATGCAAGGGAAGCAAGTGAGCAAAGGAGTTGTAATCTATAGTGGCCTAAGAAAATAGAGCACAGGCTGTATGTATACCTTCGAATTCCTATGTCAAAGAATCAACCATGAGCACAGGCAGAAATCAACTGGTGTTAGTGTCACAAGCACGAGATGAATACTAGAGGATATGTGCAAGTGCAGTGAATGCCGGATACTGGTGTGGTAGATATAACACATGCGAAATCAACCATGCTTGATAGAGTGGCTGGACACAAGAGAAATAGCACAAGAGAAGGATCGCTGTAGAGAATGAGATTGCTCTAGGCTTAGATCACCCATATTATGACTCATGACAATTGGTACAGTGCACAACTTACCCTCTATGGCTTTCCTGCAAAACACACCAGAGGCACGACACTTTCCCACACTACGCGACACATTCCCACGCTCTTCCTGCGCTTGGTTGCACTTTGTTGTGCAGCATCCTGGAGCATCCATCCATCGTCCAACCAGTTCCCTAGTGAGTCCTTCCTCATTTATTCTCATTATCAGACCATATTTAGTATTTGTATGGCATTATTTCATCATCGACCCTGTCCTTATCTCACTTACATACATAGAGTGCTCCCTATTTGCTTCCAAGCCCTGGGAGCGCACCTAGGCACAGCTTACCTGTTGCCTAGAAAAGTTTTTCATACACCAACCACTATCATGTCAGTTAGCATCTAGCAGTCAGAACTATCATGAGTTAGCGTCCATCAGAGTCATCGCCCTAGCCCTCAGTAGCAGTCCATTATCATCAGTCTCTTCATCACCAGCCTCAGATCACATCTTCATGATATTCACCAGTTTCTTATACATTTGTGCACTCCTTGCACATTATTCCCATGCTTCATGCCCTTACATGCTCAACATTCCTGCGCACGTGCTTTCAGTATGCTTCACCAGAGTTGACCTGGTGTCACTTTGTGGATATTTGCTTTCCTTGCTTCCCCTAAGGGTCAAACATATTGCTCGGTGCACTTCAACCAACATTTAGAGAGTCAGAAGGCCTTCCTCTCACCCCAGAGTGAGAGCCTTCTTTCTTTCTATAGCTCTGCAAGCCTAGCAGAGTAGTTGAACCTTCAACTGGAGCCCACTGCAAGGGGAACAGTCAGCTTATCCATGTACCCTTTCAACTCTCTCCCACCTTTTTCGCACTTTTCACCTTTTCCACCTTTCCGCCTTTCCACCTTTCCACCTTTCCACCTTTCCGCCTTTCCGCCTTTCTGCCTTTCTGCCTTTCTGCCTTTCTGCCTTTCTGCCTTTCCACACTTTTTCGCACTTTCCTGCACTTCTCTCACACATTCATGTGCCATGAGCGACCTGGTCAACAGAGATGGAATGCCCTGGCCCAGGTACCCAAATGTGCCATGCTTCACAGGAGACCCATTTGCGGTCCTCACACACTTACAGCATGTAGATCGACTTGGCTAGAAGAACAACCTATCTGGCACCCAGTGCATTAAGTATGTTCTCAAGTATACTCATGATGCAGACTCCAGAGAGCTGTGGCAGGGATTGCCTGAGTATAAACAAGGTAACTTCGAACATTTTGCTAATGAGATTATGTCTATGTATCCAGAGACTGGAGCAAATGCATACACACAACCCACCATCCAAGCGCCCATTATGTGCGCACCTCAGGAGCCAGAATGCACCTTAGAGCTACCAGAGATTGTGCCTATAGCGCCTCAATGCACCCCAAGTATTGCTAATCTCATTCCAGTCATCCCAGGAGTACCAGTCATCAAACTTGCCCAACTACCAGCTGTCATTGAAGTGCCCATTGTATGCACACCTCAGCAACCAGAATGTGCTCCAGTGCACCCCTATACTGCGCCTATAGCGCCTCAAAGCGCTTCAAGTATCACTAACCCCATCCTCATCTCTGTCTCCCAAGAAGTGCCCTTTGATGAAATCACATCATCACCAATTCATATCAAAGCGCCCATTATGTGTGCACCTCCAGAACCCATACCTGAACCAGAGAACCCAGTAGCTGAAGGTATCCTGCCCCAGCTCAAAATATGCAAGCCTATCATCACTGCCTGTCATATCCCACAATCTGGACCCATGTTCCATCATATTCCCACACCTTCTGAGCCTACGTCCAGACCACACTTCATATCTAACTCATTCCCAGATCCCCTTCCACTGTGTGCTCCACACCTCAGCAGGATCGACTATGCTCTGGATTTACCCCTGAGCTCCGGACCATCGGATCTCCACTGCTAGCCTGAACCATAACCCCCTGTCCCATCCACCCTATGTACACTCCATCCAGCAAGACATCCGGACTTCACCTCATCTTGGATTCTGGACTCTATCCACCTTCTCATATCCTGGTCCTGTATCCACCTTGTCTTCCGGATCCCCAGATCTCTGGACCTATTCCCACCCTCTGTCTGAGATCCTGCGCCTATCCCCATTTAGGCATTCTCTGCTTTCCAGCTTTCGGTTACCTCTTCTTCTGTCTTGCTTATTGATCCTTGTACGAGTCTTCATCTCTGAGTTCATTTACTTATGTTCTGTCTTACTTACTAATGTGTTTCCACATGCTCATACATAGCCTTGCTCCTTTGCTTACTGATCCCCTCAGATACTGTTCAGTATATAACCCCTGTAGATACTCCTGTAGTTCCTTAGTTTGAATATCAACTTAGACTTGCCCAATCCTCTCTTGGACTTTGGTCCACTAAGTCTGTCCTACTCATCAGGCCTAGGGATTGATTCCCTAGGCCGGAGCTCCACCTTTCCAGCACTTACCCTCTTTCCAGACTTAGGTCCAATCCTTGTCTCTCTGACTCTACCTTAGGGTAGTCTACCTCTGTTTGCTTCTACATCAGATGAAGTCCGATGTAGCCCCTATTCCTTCTGGACCTCCGGACCTCCTGTCCCTTGTACCTCCAGGCATCCTGTCCTTTGGACATTCCGCCCTCTGTACCTTCAGACGTTCCATCCTCCTAACCCTCGGACATCCTATCCTCCTGTCCTTTGGACATCCTGCCCTCTGTACCTTTGGACATCCTGCCCTCTGTACCTTCGGACATCCTGCCCTCTGTACCTTCGGACATCCTGCCCTCTGTACCTTCGGACATCCTGCCCTCTGTACCTTCGGACATCCTGCCCTCTGTACCTTCGGACATCCTGCCCTCTGTACCTTCGGACATCCTGCCCTCTGTACCTTCGGACATCCTGCCCTCTGTACCTTCGGACATCCTGCCCTCTGTACCTTCGGACATCCTGCCCTCTGTACCTTCGGACATCCTGCCCTCTGTACCTTCGGACATCCTGTCCTTCTGTCCTCCATCATCCTGCCCTCCTGTCCTCCTGTCCTCCTGTCCTCCTGTCCTCCTGTCCTCCTGTCCTCCTGTCCTCTGGACCTTCAGACCTCCTATCCTTCCATCCTGTTTCCTGTAGAAGTATTACCTTGCAGTGGGAACTCTCCTGAGCACTTCCTGCGTTCCTCTGGAACTCTCCTGCGCTCCTCCGGACATTTCCCACGCTCCTCTGGAAGTCCTCTAGCACTCTCCAGCAGAGTAGCCAGCCTCCGGAAGTCCTCCGGACTTTGTCGGACCATCATCAGACTTCCTCTGAAATGAAGGGCACATACTCGGGTAAGGGGCACAGCGTACGAGCTGAGGCCAAGCCCCTCTGAGTCAGTCTCTCTCCCCCTTGAGCAACATGGTTCTTAACACTGCCCCAAGTCTTCCAGAAGCACCTCTGGAAGAGATCTCATTACCTTTAGTCAGGGATGACTCTAAACATCTATTGCATATTACTGTGCCAATCCTGGAGTCTCCTGCAGTGTCAGAGACTCATTACATGATGCTATCCGACCAGAGTATGTCTCTGGTAACCCCACGTGTTACTGAAGATTTCGCACATTTCGCGTTTTCAGCATACAGTGACTATCATCTGCCAGTGAAACATCTGTGCATCACATTGCCTATCCACCAAGTAGAGTATGTCTCAGGCGACCCTGAGGCGCCTTCAGAGTGCTGTATTGTGCCTGAGGTTGCGCAGGTTGTGTGCTTAGAGGCACTGTATATTCATCCTCACCTACCATCACATTTCTCATTCATTTCACATCTTACACTCTCAAGGAGCCATTCACCCATCACAAATATCTTGCCTTCATCTTCACATCACTTTGTTCTTAGTTTGTCATTCATGTGCTGCATTTGCACGCCATGTGCCTATATTCCTGTGCTATATGCGCCTATCATTGCAGAAGAGTCTTCCTGCTATTGCATTTTTACTGCTTCATCAATTTCAAGTCACTTTTCTTGGACCTCATATTGGTCTCACCTTAATCTGACGCCTAGGTGCGACTTACACACTTGCCTTGCGCATATTCACGTGCCTATCACATTTACTATCATCTTTGATTTCGCATATTTTGCCTTTATTTGCATTTTCTGCTCATCTGCCTATGATGTTAATATTGTCTTCGCAAGCCCTATCAAGGGCTATCCATTTATGTCTTGGTGCCAATTGGCCCTTGACAAAGAGTCTATCAGATGCAGTCGCGCAATATTTGTGCCTAATTTCGCTTATCATTCATCTCATGTTAATATTCTAACCACATATCAGCCAATCCTCACATTAGAGGATATAGAGAACAATACGCCAAAATGCGATTGTGTGCGCAGCTCAAGCGCACATTACTTGACCCTAGAGCACCTCCATGTGCCTCGCATCGCCCCATTAGGGCGCGCCTTCAACTTGTACTGCAAGGTGCAAGAATTCATTCCACTGGTTACCAGTCCACCACCAGGTTGCATTTGAAGAAGATCCAGATTATACCTGGTAGGAGAGGATGTTGCACAGTCAGAAGATGAAGATACCACCACCACCAGATACAACAACCACCATCATGTCAGTAGTCATCTAGAGTCAGAATTTATTGTCTTCAGCCAGCATGCATTAGTCATTGCTCTAGCCCTCAGCAACAGTCCATTATCATCAGTCTCCATTCAGCAGTCTTAGTTCATGCCTTCACGCCATCTATCAGTCTTTTATACGTTCACACACTGCGTGCACCTTATTCCCACGCTTCGCGCTCTTACGCGCTCAACATTCCCGCATGTGCACTGTAAGGAATGAGATTCCTCCAGGTGTAGATTGCCCATATTTCAACTCACAACAATTGGTACAGTGCACAACTTACCCTCTATGACTTTCCTGCAAAATGCACCAGAGGTGCGACACTTTCCCACACTATGCGATGCATTCCTGTGCATGCACTTGGTCACCTTATGTCACGCAGCATCTGGGAGCATCCATCCATCATCCAACCAGTTCCCTAGTGAGTCCTTTCCCATTTATTCTCATTATCAGACTATATTTGGCATCATATGATATCTTATTTCATCATGGACCCTTTATTTACATCATTTTACATACATAGAGCGCTCCCTATTTGCTTCTGAGCCCTGGGAGCATGCCTAGGCATAGCTTACCTGTTGCCTAGGAAGTTTTTTATATACAAATACACCTACAACCACCATCATGTCAGTAGTCATTGTCTAGTAGTCAGAATTGATCATCATGAGTTAGCATCCATCAGAGTCGTCGCCCTAGTCCTCAGTAGCAGTCAATTATCATCAGTCTCCACTCAGCAGCCTCAGTTCAAGCCTTTACACCATCTTTCAGTCATTTATGTTCATGCACTGTGTGCGCCCTATTCTCATGCTTCATGCTCCTACGTGCTCAACATTCCTGCACACATGCTTTCAGCACATTTCACCAGAGTTGACCTGGTGTCACCTTCATGGATCCTGCTTTCTTTGCTTCCCTTAAGGGCCAAACATATCACCTGGTGCATTTCAACCAACACCTAGAGAGTCAACAGCCTTTCTCTCACCCCAGAGGTAGAGGCCTCTTTCTTTCTTTTGCTCTGCAGCATAGCAGAGTAGTTGAACCTTCAGCACTCCCAGCGTGCTTCACCAGAGTTGACCTGGTGTCACCTTCATGGATTTTGCTTTCTTCGCTTCCCTTAAGGGTCGAACACATCGCTTGGTGCACTTCGACCAACATCTAGAGAGTCAGTAGCCTTCCTCTCACCCCAGAGGTAGAGGCTTTCTTTCTTTCTTTAGCTCTGCAAGCCAGCAGAGCTGTTGAACCTTCACCATACTAAGTTACCAGTTGCAGGTCAGGTGTTCTTGCAAGAGCCTAAGTATAAGGTCCTAGCAGTACAGAACTTCAGAGCAGTCAAATTGCGCAAGATTGTCAAGTATGAGCAAACAGAATGAATTGCACAAGGTCTACAAAAATAACACAAGAGCAACTCTCCTATAGAGCTGAGTCCAGGGGAAAGGGAACTAACTCAATCATATGTACTGCGGTCATTTGATCATAGTGCATGAAGGTCTGGAATGTGTAGGTGAGAATTGTAGCGTAGTTAGCAAGTGTGCAATGAGTCTATATGTAATAAGACATTATGTGCTGCGGAACATGAGTAATGTGTAATAAGACCTGCAGCTTGTTTAGCAATGACATTTGGGAATGCACCAGCAGAGATAGGTGGACATGGATAGGACATGGGAGGATGGTGTGATGATCATGTTCAGGCTGGCCTGCTAGGACCCCATTCTGCAATCCCCATCCAGTCTACACATCTCCTACTCATCTCCGACACTTTCCTGCCATCTCTACATCTCCAATGCATCAGACCCACTCAGAGATCCTGTGCACTTGTCCTACCATGTCCAGTCCAGTCCCGCTTAACCCCACTGGTGTGTAGTCAGTTATTTCCCATTACTGATTGAGTAGACAGCATTATTACATGGATTCCCACTGGCCACAGTACCTCATGGCCTTTTACCTACATATTATTGGACCCATGTTTTTGCTACTACTTTCGCCTATGGACTCTGGATTTTCATGTAGTTAGTTATATAGGGTTGAGCGACCAGAATTACAATCACCACTTAGTAGGAGAGAGAAATCCCCAATACTGGTCACCCCATACCTGTCCTTAGAGTTACCCTTTGCCAATATACCTGTTTACCCACTCTCCTTGACCCAACATGAGTGTCACTTGTTCACTTGACCTTCCCTAACATCTCCAAGCTAGTCCTGATGCTTTTCCTTCCCTCCCCTTACTCTCCTGCCATCTCCACATCTCCACACCTGCGGACCTGATTTCCCACACATCGGACTTCATCCCATACCTTCAGACTTGATCTCTGACCTTCGGACTTTTGACCCTTTGTGTAGTACTGATTATTGGACTTGACTAGACAGCAGATCCCTCGGGTTGAATGTTCTTGCTTGCAAGTGTAGCAGCTAGGTGGGACTAGTAGACATATATTGGCTAGGTATTCTACCAAGTATCTAGCCAAGTTGTGTTATCCACAACAGATTCCCAGGACCAGACCAAAGCTAAATGGGAGTGTGGGTCGCAGGAGGAGTGCACACCTGTTTTCAAGGGAGCATACTAACAGCGGATGAGTTGATATATATGGATTAATGATCAGTGCTTTATCTCCTTTCCTGGTAGTGAGAAGAACTGTGCTGGTGATCATATGTGCCTAGCGCCAGTATGATCGTCACACCACAGCTACAACATCAAGTGAGTTTCTGAGAATGCGGTTATTAGGGAGCAATGGGTCAAACTCCCATATTGCAGTTGTGGTCTCAACATTGGTGATACATGTGATAACTGACATAATGTCAGTGACAGTGAGGTTGACCACATGGGCAAGACAGGAAAGACATTGTTGAGTGGCATTGAAGTTGTATATATGGCAGTGGTGAAATAGCATCTCAATGATGTTGCAAGTGGTGTCATTGTTGCTAGTAGTGTTGGCAGTAATGCAGAAAAGCTATTGCAGAACTCAGCACACAAAAATTGAGACATGGATGGTAGAGTACATACCTTGCTTGATTGCCCATTGATAATTCCTGCACACTCAAACAATCCAAAAAGATAGCATGCAAGATTGTGCCCACTGTGCACTCTGGATATACCTCTGAAAGCGATGACCTGTGAAACAAGCATCCATATACCAGAGGCATTAGCCTTGATCCAGTGAGCTGTTAAGCCTAAAAATGCGGCCTTCATCTGATCAACAGACCACAAGTCTGTAGTCATCTGGTTGTTGTAGCCTGTAAACATTTTGTAAGATATTTCAGAGGAATATGGAGCAGTACTAGTACTCACCTGCATTTGGACCTTGAGACCCTTGATGAATTCAATGAATGCATTGTGGATGTAAGCCGACACATCATGAGTTGAAGGTATGTCTGCCAGTATAGCATTTAGCTGCATTGCCACCAAACAATTTCTAAATGCAGGTTTGTCTGCCACTACAAGGCTCTGCACAACAACACCGTTTCAGCATTTTCCCAATCTCATGGATCATCGATATCATCACTCACCTGATTATCACAGACCACAAATTCAGCAACTGTGCACAGCATGTCCTCCCTTGAATACTCTGTGTTTTGCAACTTCTGGAACATCTGGCCTAGATTTTGTTGGACATCCTTCTCTTGTTTCTTCCTATTTGCTTGCAGCTTCACTATATCATGTGGTATCACATGGTGATTTTCCTTCAGGCCTAGTTCTTTGCATTTGCTCTTGTATACTTCATAATGACTTCAGATGTGTTGCTGACATGAAGAATTACTTCCGACATGGAATGTCTTGTGTTTTCCATGCTTTGCAACAAAATCTGTATCATCTCTACAGATGCAATGTAAGTACTCATCAATATTAGTATTCAATCTGATATACTGACTTGCATATGTTGCACCAGTGCCCCTTTGATGTTTCTACATTTCCATTAGTCTGGCAAAACTTCACTGTACAATGATCCAAGAACACAGTGAGTAAATCAGCTGTGCTTTGTTTGTTTGTTTTTAGCACATCAGGTAGGGTAGCATGGTGCTGTTCCTGCAAGCCATTGTTGTCCTATCTGGTGATGTTGAGCTGATATCCAACACACAGATGACAATAATACAAGTCATGATTACCTCTTCAACTTCAGTATCCTCAATGAAAGGCTCAATTTCTATTTCTTCTTCACTGGCCTGGCTCTCATGGACAACCTCATCAATAGTGTTTCAATGCACATGCTTAGATTTTGGAGGACCTGGAGGTTTCTTTTTCAAAGTATGTTTTGGTTCAGCCTCACTCTCACTGGTTTCTGATTCACTGTTGCTTGATACAGCTTTCTGTTTGTGATTCTTCCTTTTTGGTGACACTTGCTTCATCTTTGGAAGCTGTGAGTGCTTGGCTTTGGCAGATGCCATTGTGGTGACCTTTTCTGTGGGTCATTGCACATGGGTTGACTTCATGGTCAGGTTGAAGAGAAGATTGAGGCAGTGGGGAGATGCAAAGTATTGATTAGTTGGTAGTGTCTTACAGAATCATTCAAATATAACAATGTGTAGAACACATTCCTCTAGTATGACAAAGTCTAGACCAGTTACAACCAGTCTTGGACTGGTTTTTGAAAGACCGGTTGCAGCCTACTGTAGTGTGATCTGGCAGCTGAAGGCAACCAGTTTTTCAGAGTTCAGTCCAGTCTTGTGGAACTACAGTTAAAATTAGGACCAGTCCAGGTCTGGTTGTGCCAAAAAAACCGAATGCTTGGATGCGCCTATCACCTATGACAGGCTATCAATCTCTTTGTCTCCTCCACCGACAAACTTTTTGGGCCGATCACATTCATTTAATGCCATGGACGGGTCACAAAGCACATCCCATGGACTGCATTTGCACTCAAGACATCAGACTGGGAGTGCGTGAACCATACACAAATCATAATGTCAGTAGGTCACAACTAGTCTCTCTTCAGCAATTTTGACTGACATTTTTAGGATGCTAATGATATCCAACAATACTTCTCCTCTGAACAACAACCAACACTATGGCACGCTGTAGAGAATGAGATTCCTCTAGGCTTAGATTGCGCATATTACAACTCACAACAATTGGTATAGCGCACGACTCACTAGCTATGACTTTCACACAAAATGCGCCAGAGGTGCAATGCTTTCCCGCACCATGTGACACATTCCCATGCATGCGCTTGGTCGCACTTTGTTGTGCAGCATCCTGGAGCCTTCATCTATCATCCAACCAGTCCCCTAGTGCATCCCTTTCCATTTATTTTCATTATCAGACCATTTCTAGCATCGTACAATATATCATTTCATTATGGACCCTTTCTTACATCATTTACATACTTAGAGTGCTCCCTGTTCGCTTCTGAGCCCTGGGAGCGCACCTAGGCACAGCTTACCTGTTGCATAGAAAGTTTTGATAGATCAACCACCATCATGTCACTTAGTCTCTAGAGTCAGAATTTATTGTCTTCAGCCAGCATGCATTAGTCGTCGCCCTAGTCCTCAGCAGCAGTCCATTAGCATCAGTATCTTCATCACCAGCCTCACTTCAACGTCTTCACATCATCTTTCAGTCATTTATATGTTCGTGCACTGTGTGCACCCTATTCCCATGCTTCGCGCTCCTACATGCTCAACATTCCTGTGCACATGCTTCACCAGAGTTGACCTGGTATCACCCAGTGGATCTTGCTTTCCTTGCTTCCCCTAAGGGTTGAACATATTGCCTGGCACACTTTGACCAACATCTAGAGAGTCGGTGGCCTTCCTCTCACCCCAGAGGTAGAGGCATCTTTCTTTCTTTAGCTCTGCAAGCCTAGCAGAGCTGTTGAACCTTCAATGCAATACCTGCTATGGAGGAGCTACAGACAGCTTGGGAATCAAAGAGTGAGGATTTACAGTTCATGCTGTACAAGGAGGCTATCCAGTGGGGTATTGCAAAGATTGGAAAATACTATGGCAAATTTAATGACAAACCAGTCTACATTCTTGTGCTTGGTATGTCTATCATGTTGTATTGTGTTTTTGACTAATTAAATGCGCAGTACTACACCCATACTACAAACTTGCATACATCAAAATGGTGTAAGGCAGTCCTGAAGAACAAGCCAAGGAACGAGCTGCTGGGAATCTGAATGCCAAGGATTGGTACAATGAAGCTCTCAAGGTAGTTGAAAAAACTATGGAGGAGTATTGGACCTCACATAAAGCACTTGTAGACTCAGGATGTGCCACCACCAACACCATTGACAATGACTGAACAGTCTCAACTGTCAAAACCATGGAGTCTGAATATGATCATCATCGCCACATGTTGGTTCAGCAGGCAGTCTACAAGCACAACACTGGATGGGCAGCCAAGCTTCGTCATTACCTCAAGGATATGCTGGAGGATGTTACAAAAGAGACAGACATTGTTCAGTGGTGGTCAGTGAGTCTATCTAATATGTTCTAACATATTTTTTATCTCATATCACACAGAGACATGCATCTATCTATCCTACCCTTGCAAGAATCACAATGGACATTTGTGCCATACCAGCATCTTCAGTCCCATGTGAACAATTGTTTTCTGCAGGTGCAGAGATTGCAACAGATCACTGCTCAATATTTGGTGCAGACAAATTTGAGCAACTCCAGATCCTCAAGTGTACATGGCAAGATTCCATTGCAGATAGGGCTGCTTCCAACTCTTTCACTACACAGGAAGTCTTTCTGGAGGAATTCAAAGAGCTGCTGTCCCTTGATGAGAATATGGTTGAGTGGGATCAATCTGAGCCAGACAATATGGTCACTGCATAGTTTGCTTTCCTTACATATCTTAGAATTAGAAGTTTATTGTATCATTGTGCAACCAGTTTCACTTGTGACCAGTTGCAACCAGTTTTTATTGGTCTTGAATTTCTGATCAATGTCAGGCAACCAGAACCAAAGTTTAGCAAAATGTAAGGCAACCACAACCTCAGTCCGGTTGCAACCATTGGTGGTCCCACCCTTGGCACCACTTTCCTCCTGTTCCCAGGGTCTAAGAGACCAGGTTTCCTTGTAGAGTGCAACTTGTCATATCCGCATATCCAGATCTCAGATCTGACCCTTATCTCATCTCAGATCCGACCCTTATCTCATCTCAGATCCACATCTTATCCCCCTCCAACATCTCGTCATTCAATCTGTCCACTCGTCCAGTCTGGTCCACAACTCATCCGAATCCACAACCAGTGCTTGTCTCTTTTCGGTAACCCCCTAACTCCAGTATTTCAGTTATCTGTATATCCATCCTGCTCCCTTATCCGCTACCTATGCTTCATTTCTGTTTCATGATTTGTGATCTGTTTCTACTTACCAATAGACTATCCACATGCTTCGTACATAGCCTCAGACTCTGCTGATTGATCATTCCATTAGATACCTATAGTATATAACCTCCTGTAACTTTCTGTAGTACCCCAGTTTGAATATCATCTTAGTTCTGCTCATTCCTGTCCTCTGGACTTGAGTACCTCTACTCTCATTACCCTCCGAGACTTAGGATTGATTCCTATAGTCTATCCATATCCACCTCTGTCCCCAACAGTCCATTACCGTTAGTTTCTAGTCTGGACTCATCCGGATTAGCCCTACGATACTTATCCCTCATCTGGAAGTCATCCGGATCCGTTACGCTACTCGTCTGACCTTCCAGACACGTTAGCCTTGCCTTCCTGAAATAAGGGGCAATACTCAGGTAAGGGGCACAGCGCATGAGCTGAGGCCGAAGCCCTTCGGATCCAGTTATCCTTTGAGTACGACCTTAACAAACTGGTCTGTGAGACCCCCCCTCTTGTGAGGTCACGAGACCTCTCTGAGGATAGTAGTACCTCTCTCCTCCTGTGAGATCTCTGAGACCTAACCTCTTGTGTGAGCACGAGTCCTCTCTCAGGATTGTGAGTACCTCTCCCCTTGTGTAACCTCTGTTGTCAGTCTCAGTGCTCCCACTCCTCCTCTTGGCACTCCCCTAGTAGAGGCTTCTGTGTGACCTCTACATAGCCTCCTCACCCTCCTCCACCCTCATCTGCACCTCTAAGTGCTCCTTGATAGTAGATACTTGTGTTTATGTTTTTTTTACTATATTCATATGTCATAATACAAACCATTTATTCCCTGCACAATGCACCCAACAATTGAGCACTTATATTTGACTCATTTCACCAAAGGAGATCACTCATGTAAGTCACCAAACAATGTGTTTATTTTCAGCAGCACAAAAGAGATGTAGCAAGTGATGGAACATTGTATGGTACAAGGGAAAGATAGCGAACACAGCATTAGACAAGAAGACATACAAGATTTTTGCAGCAAGACAACAGACACCTCACAATTACCTTTGAATGGTGGCTCCTTCACGTTGTTCTTGTTCTGTCACCTGACTAGGTAAGGTGAGTGGCATATTGGCAATGGGACTTTGGGTGTTGTGGCATCCATCTCCTTGAGGAGGCTGGCGCTGATATGCATGCTCATAGCTAGCATGACCCTTGCGACTTGTGGGATGCATGTATTCTCCATGAATATCCAGCGGGGGAGGTCCATGCAAGCAGTCATCAAGAAATTAACAGTCTGGGTACCACGCATCACGATAGTATGATCACCCATACCCAGTGGCATCATGATAGCCTGTGCTCTGGTCACTGTAATATGGATACTCCCTGTGATAAGGGTAGTCTCCTCCTGGTTGTGGTTGCCTGGTATATGCATGTCAGTCTAAGTCCTCATGGTACATGTACACACCATGTGGACCATCATTGGGGTGGTGATGGTCATCATGTAGTGCAGGAGAGTTGTCTCAGTGAGGGTGCAGGTTGTGGCCATCATTGAGTGGGAGGTCATGGACGTCATTTGCATTATGAGCCTCCCATGATTGACTGCGATTGTGAGAATGCCAATTGTCATGAGGCTCGCACAAGTGTGTGTTGTCTGCCCCACATGAGTCAGCATAGTGAGAGTCTGGTACATTGTGGCCAGAAAGTGAGGGGCTGAGATGTGTGTTCTCCAATGAAGATTGCAGCAGATTTTGAGGTAGTGGGAGAGGGGCATCTGGGACAAGGACAGACTGCCCATCATCTGGTGCAAGCTCTGCAGGGTGATCTGAGCTGTGTGTGGGAGACAGAACTGCCAGAAGAGTAGGTGTTTCCATGACTTGTGCAGATGATGGATGATCAGCAGAGGTCTTGGAGTGTGCAGCTCCATTGTTGTTCCGCAAGTCTTTGTCTTCTTGCAGGAGATGCATGGACTTGGTCAGAACAGGTTGCCTTCCCTTAGGCACAGGACATGCATGTGGCACTAGGCTCATGTTAGTATGTTTTAACATGTATGAGTAGCAAATACCTTTTTGAACATCAGGAGGTCCATCACAAATGCACTTTGCTGCATTGTCTGTATAATCATAAGTCAGGATCACAGCTGAACTGCAATGATCATAGAAGACTCACCTATAGTAGGATGTGATTGTTGTTCGTCCCCTGATGATTCCACCATGACAGGAGATGAGTGCCCTCCTTTGGCATGAGCTTTGCCAGCAGCCTTCACACTTGGCTTCTTCCTAATGACCATCTTCCCTTCTAACTCCTCAATTGATCGTACACATTTCTTTGTAGCTTGTGCACCACCTCTAGCCTTCAACTTCCACTTCCATGAGTGTGAAAAATCATCATAGTCCTTGTCATCCTCACTGGGGATCTCATGACCAGAACCATTGAGAGGCTCCTCCTCCTCCTCCTCCTCCTCCTCATCATCATCATCATCATCATCATCACCATCACCATCATGAGGCTCATCAACACCATCTGGACTAGACTGAACTTCTATCACAACCAGTTTGGTAGGGGGGGTGCTTCGCAAGCTTGAATGGACATGATGGAGGTATAACTACTTCAGGACACAATTTGGTGTTGCAGTGGATGGCAGTTGTAGAGTCCATAGCTGTGATATCTGTGTTACCATCAGTCTGTGTACTAGATGAGGGGACCTTCGGCTTCTTCTTCCTAGTTGTGGCAGAGCTGGGTTGAAGGCATGCAGGGCCTTTATAATCAAAAGTCCTGTTAACAAACATGCACCTCGTGTTTGGAAAGGGAGAGTCTGCAGGAGGTGCCTTGCCAATGATGATGGGCTCCTTGGAGGCTATCACAGCAACTGTCAAGGGCTCAAGTGATTTCAAAAGGCTATAGCATGTACCTCCAATGGCTTTTGTTACTTTGACAACACACATTGTCTTTGCCTTCAATGTGAGTGTGAGTTCATTGACCTCGCATTGCATGAGCCCTGCAACACCTTTACTCCATGAATTACTATTGTGAGACTCTCCTGGCATCAAACTTAAGTACATGGGGTACCCCTCAATACGTAGATGATCATTAGCAAGTGAGCTAGGCATCAATATCTATGGGAAGGGTCTATCTGCAAACTTGCTACTGAGGTCCGCTGGGGAAAATTGTCAGGATCTCACTGTGAGATGTGATGTGCTATGAACCAACTTGTTTGATTAGCCCTGCCTTGAGCGACTTTAATGTGTCCTTCTCTTCACCTACATCAGATGAGCTCATGTCCAAGACCTCTATCGGTGCCTGCTCCTGATCCCCTTCAGTGGCCTTGAAGGTCTGTTCCACGGTAGCAAGTGACATAGTATTGTATACATGGGCTTTCATGTGCCCGATGATGACATGGTCACTGGCTTGGCAGTGCCTCTCAAAGAACTACAGAGAGTATTAAAAATTGTGAGAAGAATTTTGAGGTTGGTGACACTTACACCACTAGCACCAGGTGTCATGTGAACATGGCCAAGTGATGCATCTTCATTGACAATATTGCCACACATGACCAGGGCAGCCTCAAAACCTTGCCTGGTAGCAGCTCGGTCAAGCTGCAGGCAGGACATTCAGCTCGTCAACAAAATATTACAACATGAGATCACTCATGATGCTTCCTACCCTCCTGGTAAGCTTCTGAAATGTTTGTGTGTGCTGTGTGATGGTTTGAGGAGCATCTGACAGCATGTCAAGTTCTTTGTAGGTATTGAGGATATCCTGATAAGAATCTGGGTAGGTGATTTTGAAGTGCTTGTAGCACTGACGGAAAACACCAGTGCCTATAAAATCAATAATCAGCATGGAGTGAATAGTGTGCAGAAAAACAGATCATTTACTTGGTGTCATTGAACCATCCTGGGGAGGAGCATCTTCACCAAGCCTTGCAAGTTCCTGGTGCATGCAGTCCTCAAAGTACCCCACATAAAGGTTCCAGTAGTTAGTGTTACTGATCACTCAACCTTGACTCTTCATCCACAGGCTGATTACCTGGTGAGAGGGCATGTTCATATTCTTTGCAGTGTCAATGACAATGGCATCCAATGCAGTGAAACCTTCTTCAAGTGCAGAGTTTGTCTCTATTGAACATCGACCAGCAACAGGTGCACTGTCATTATCCATTGCAAAATCAGACTCAACATAAGATCCAGTGGTTGACAGACTGAATGTCACCATGCAGTGATGTGGCCTACTGGCAGCAGGTGGAGCCAAAAATTCTCCAGGCTTGATGGGAGTTGGCAGGATGATATGTGTTGTTGGTAAGGAGTTCACCAGTGCTATGGACGTAAAATTCCAGGGCCCATCTTGCAGACCTCCCTGAGAGCTTTGACCTGCAGGCATGAGAAAAGGTGATGTTGGTAACTGAGAATACAAAGCCAGCGGGCTAGGTGAGAGTCTGGGAATTTCCGCAGACCACAAAGACCAGGCTTTGGACAGCATTGGGAGGAGGTTAAAAGGACCCATGGAGCATACTGGGGCTGCTGGTGCTGCTGGTGCTGCTGCTGGCCAGTGGGTGCCAAAGTGTCAGCAAATAGATCTTCCACCCACACAGGGTGCTGAGCAGGCACATCCTCAACCAGAAAAGAGTTGTGGTGGCTATTTAAAATAGAGTGCATGGAATCTAGCAGCAAAGGTAAAGTCAGACATCTGGTAGAAAAGTTTTGATGAAAAATTACCAGAAATGAAGCTATTAGTAGTCTGGTAACTGGGAGCACATGCTGCTTGATGTTGAATAGCAGCATCCCTCGCAATACCAATGTCCCATGATGTTGGCTTGATTGTGCTCTGCAGTCTTGATGGAATGAGCTCTGCTGGCATGTCCTTGTATCAACCACCTCCAAACTGTTCTTGGACATATCCTTCCTGCACATATCCAGAGCCTGTAGTAGCAGGCGATGATGCAGGAAGGTATGTGGGAGGTGAGGATGCCTGGTCATCTGGAGGGTCAGAGTAGTATTCTGATAGCTTATGCAACATGGCCTTTGTGCAAAATCAGAAAAAATTGACATGTAACAATAAAATCCCTTACCTGACTTGCTGATGCAACTGGGAATCCTGAAGGTAAGTGAAAAAAAGGATGCCAGGCCTCATACTTATGGTAAATGTTACTGTGTGTGAAGTCCTTAATTTCATTCAGACAAATCAAGTAAGAACAACCGGCAGGAGTATGAAAGCAAATATCAACGCACAAGACATCATGGAGGTCCACCAAGGAGGGTGCAGAGGGTGATTTGGTAGGCCTATTGGAGGCTTCAGAGGCTCCAGAGCAGTCTCACAATGGAATGACTACTAAAGACTGTGCTGAGGAAGCAATAAGATTGAAACTTTATTTCATATCCAAGACAATGGAATGTCAGAATTGGGTTTGAAATTCAAGCATGAACTACATACGTGTGCTATTTACATTTGGTGTTAGGATAGACTCTTGATCAATGCCTAAGGAGCTTCACAGGGTGACTATCAATCTCACTAACTTGGGACTCCTCATCTTCACCATCACCATTGTTAGCACTGCTGTCATATTCAGAGCTGGACGATCCACCCTTGACTGAAGCAATGGGAGGGATAAGGTTACTGGTGCGGGTGACAGATGGTTTGTGGACCACTCAAGAAGCTGGGTGGGGTGGCAGCCATGTGATTTCCACAACAACTTGGGCATGACAATGGGAGGAAGGTAGAGAAGGAGGCAGATGAAGACAGGGAAGACAGGGAAGACCCTTTTGGTCAATGCAGCCACCAGCAAATGTGCTGTAAGGAATGAGATTCCTCCAGGTGTAGATTGCCCATATTTCAACTCACAATGATTGGTACAGCGCATGACTCACTAGCTATGACTTTCCTGTGAAACATGCCAGAGGCGCAACACTTTCCCACACTATGCGACGCATTCCCACACATGCACTTAGCATGCTCTTCCCATGCCCAGTCGCCTTATGTCACGCAGCATCCTGGAGCCTTCATCCATTGTCCAACTAGTCCCCTGGTGTGTCCCTTTCCATTTATTTTCATTATCAGACCATTTCTGGCATCATACAATATCTTATTTCATCATGGACCCTTTATTTACATCATTTTACATACATAGAGCACTCCCGATTTACTTCTGAGCCCTGGGAGCACGCCTAGGCACAGCTTACCTGTTGCCTAGGAAGTTTTTCATACATCAACTACCACCACAGATACAACAACCACCATCATGTCAGTTAGTCTCTAGAGTGAGAATCTATCATCTTCAGCCAGCATGCAAGAGCCATTGCCCTAGTCCTCAGCAACAGTCCATCATCATCAGTCTCCATTCAGCAGTCTTAGTTCACACCTTCATGCCTTCTACCAGTCATTTATACATTCATGCACTGTGTGTGCCCTATTCCCACACTTTGCACTCCTACATGCTCAACATTTCCACATGCACGCTCCCAGCATGCTTCACCAGAGTTGACCTGGTGTCACTCTGTGGATTTGCTTTCCTTGCTTCCCCTAAGGGTCGAACATATTGCTCGGTGCATTTCAACCAACACATAGAGAGTTAGTAGGCTTTTCTCTTCCCCCAGAGTCAGAGCTCTCTTTCTTTCTTTTGCTCTGCAAGCCAGCAGAGTTGTTGAACCTTCAGCGCATTGCCCACAGGAGTGCATGGAGCAAGCTGAGGGGGCCTCTCCAATGACAACAGGGTCTTTTGAGGTGGTGAGACACATATGGGCAGCATCACTCATAACTGCTTGGATGGTTAAGGTGCCTGTCTTGAGGTGATTGATGATATTGGCACGATGGTGTTGGCTCAGATTGTGGATGCCTGTGGTGCAACAGAAAGTGGTTCACAGCTCACCAGGCATCAAGGTCTCATCAGGGTAATTGACAAGAACATACCCAAGGTGAGCTAGTTCTTTCAGGAGTGTTTTCCAGGGGAAGTCAGTACCTGTGCACCCATGCAGTGCCCTGCCAAGTGATGCTGAAATAATGTTAAGATTAGTGCAGATGTATGGTGATTGTTCTTACCAACAAGCGACCTTATTCCACCCATGATACAAGGTATCCCTTTGAGGCTCTTCCAAAGTTCTTCTTCAGGGAGTTGGGAGCCTTTACTGCCTTCATTAAGTTCAGCATCCTCTGTCAACACAGAGGCATCCACAAACTAGAAACAGGTCAGCAAAATCTGAACATCTAACTACCAGTACTCACAATCCAAGTGACAGAAACATGTTGCAAGTCCATGAGCATGGCAGCATCGATGAGGTACAATGATCTTGATGTACCATGTTGCAAGTCCATGAGTGTGGCAGCATTGACAAGGTGCAATGATCTTGATGTAGTACTGCTGGATGCAGCCATTTCACAGGAGGTGGTGTCATGATAAATGAAGTATGAAAGTACCAGCTGTAGACACTAGTTAGTGATCAATGAGTAATGTGCAAACCATGGGTGAAAGAAAACTGTCAAATCAGGCTGATTACAGTAAGTTTGAAGAAGCTCAGTATTGCCAAACATTGAAATTTGAACCTTGAAGAAGCACAGGGTCAGTGTCAATGTTTTATGAGAACTGTTACTATGACAGCCTGTTCTAGTGCCTGCTCATTTCTGGAGGCCAAAGAGGGCTGCAAGAGCCTCTGGCAAGACCTATCATGACAAGGCTTGGTGGCATTTCAAATACAAAGAGCTGGGGGGAGCGTCAATACTGAGAGTGAATTGCATGCATTTAATAGTTCTGGGGTGGGCATTCTGGACCATGACAAGGGTGGTGTTGAAATTGAGCTACACTACTAGTGAACAATGCCTATCTATACTATGCTGAGATCAAGATCAAGGCAATATAGCAAATGCCAGAAGCCCTCCATATCATCCTTGTGCAGGCCTGTAGAATGAAAACCTCATAAGACTGCCATAATTGCAGCTAGTACCCAAACTCCACAGTCAAAGCCATTTGTCTACAGAGGTTTGAGCTAGAAAATGTAGTTAGTGAGGACTCAGATTTCATGACAGATCTATTTACAATAAGGGGATGAGGGACCCATCCTGGAAGATCAAATGATACTGCAGGGTGGCATTGATGTGCAATAGATAGTAGATGAGACACAAGTGTCATAATAGCCTATATGGATGATGTCAGTGTTTCTGCTTGTGTCATGATAGCTGAGCCTCACCTTGACATCATGTTGCCATGGCTGCTTTTCAGCAAAACTGTTGAAAAGATGAAGCTCCTTGGAGGATTGGTGAATAACACAGAGTACCCAATGACCAACAGGTGCTGGCCAATGAATAGGGAGAATCCAAATGTCCTTCTCCCAATAACGTGTCCATGAACTTTGACACCAGAGCATCTCATCAGCTGTATTGTATCTGATGTGTGGGAGGTCATGAGTAGAGAGAATGGCAATGCGCTGCGCTACAGGGATGGAAATCTGGGAATCATGCAGCAAGATTGCGCAGCCATTGAGGCATACATCATTGAGATGGGCAGTCAAGGAACCAAGGAAGGAGATATCCCTTGGATCAAATATTTGTTGTGGGAAGCCATGGTGAGAGGGCCATATCCTAGTTGCTGCACCTGGCTCTTGCACAGTGATGCACAGATCCTTGTGGGGCACAGGTGTTTCATCAATTTGAAGTACCTGTCAAGGGTGTCAAAATGGTAAGGAAGGTGGCAAATGGTAATGTACCTCTGGAACAGCCCAACAGATGGTGACATCAGCTTTTTCCACTTTGTCAATGTCTTCTATGTCCTCATCGGCAATAGCATCTTCCTTGAGGAAATTAGAGAATGTGATTTGATGTGCATCAATACTTGATACTGGCCCTGCTTCAAAGTCTGGGATATCATCTTCTTGGTGATCAATTGCCAGTATTGGAGGATCATGTATCCAACTAAGGGAGGCTTTGGTTGCACCTCGTGGGAGTGTCTTTGTGAGATCTGTAGCTTCTTTGGTGCAGTCAGAAAAGTGAGCCACAGAGGTAAACAGATTTTCCCAGCATGATCAAAGTTGAAGAAGGTGGTCTTGATGGGTTCACAGTGAGAATATGAAAAGTTCATCTATTGACATCATCAAAAAATGGCAGAATAAAGCACTAGACTCACTTACTTGCATCAGAGGAAAGAGCAAGCTCTAAAGCAATGAGCTCATCTCCAAAATATCAGCACAAGTTGTCAGCTTCAATGCTGAGCCATTGCTGCTCCTCTTGACATCAATCATGCTTGAGGAGGGCACAGATTCCATCTCTCACATCTGAATCATCTAACCAGCATGGTATGTCTCCTGCAGATGGCACAATCCAAACATCCTCCATTAGAGCTTGGTCATTGCATAAATCCACTACTTTAGTTGGAAGTGCCATTGGGAGAGGTATCCCCCATGAAGGGTCATAGAGTGTGTCTAGGCACTCACAATAAGAGTTAAATTTATGAATTGCTGTCATCAGGGCTGGTTGTCTCTTGGCTATTGCTTTACAAGTTTGCTGGTGAAGCTTGGTGCCTAATATGTTGAGATTAGTTCAATGTGCCAATTTGATCTGGTTCAGTCTTGCCTAATGCTTGCTGAGCACCACCAACTGCCCTATTGAGCTTATCCCACTTGAAGAAACTACTGATTGCCCATTTGCATATGTTGATCTTGAGGTCATGGGCCATCAGGAGGATGCAGACAAAATCTAGGTTGATGCCCTGAAGCTTGGGAAACCTGTCATGGACATTCAGTGAAGTGTATAGCACTTTGACCTTGTCCATGAGATGTTGATGGCCCCTCTCAAGACCTTTGAGAGCACTCAGGGTATCATCTGAAGGTGCCTCCTTTTCAAGCATGGTGCAGGTAGCCTGCAATGCCCGATCTGAAGTATCCATATCAGATTGTAGCACAAGCACTGTATCCAGTTCTTTTTTGAGATGTGCAAGAGCATCTAATGAAAAAGTAATCAGTTAAACTAACACAAGAATAGTATGTGCCAGTACTTATGAGCACACACAGAGAGTTGCGCATGCTGCTGATCAGCCCACAGTGACTGTAAGTCTTCAATCAAGACACCACAGTGAGTAAGAATGTCCTTGGTGGTATTGACTTGAGTCTTGATGCCACAAAATCATCGCTTGATCCAGTCACCAAAGTCTGTGTGCATCTCAACTCCGATGGAGGCTGCCTGATGGTCTATAAGCCACAGACACCATTGGCACTGAAATATGCCAGAATACATTTAGATATATATGTGAGATTGAGAATGGAGATGTGCTTACTGATGATGACCACTCAATACCGATTAGACGAATGAGTTGCAACCAAAGTCACTCGGTGCCTTCTCTGTCTGATAGACCCAGTCCACAGCACATCCAGGGATTATAGACAAGCTGATATCCCCACTCATGGCCATACATGTGCATGGCAGTCGTTGTGAAGTGGAGGCATGAAGTAATAGAAACATCTAGAATATGATACTGCAGGATGTTAGGGATACACATCACTCATGTTACAAAACATACCTGTGAAAGTGAGTGAGCTAGTACGCAGCCAACATTGTATAGAGCAATAACTGTTGCCTGTGTGGGGAGAAGTGAGAACAGATGTTCTAGTAAGGCAACAGAGTACTTCTGCTGTTCACTGGGTGTATCGATGTTTGTAAAGAATAGGGGAATGTCATGACAGCAAATGAGTGCCATCAAACCAGTGTCGTCAAAGCTTTCCATGGCAGTCTTCTGCTTTTCCCATCAGCAGCTTCATAGGACTGCTTGCACTGGTCAATGGCCTCATTAGGTACAATAGGAGTATGTGTTGTAGCAGGGTGCTTCTGATTCTTATGTATTTGAGAGCTAATTTGATTGATGTACATCTTTGGTAGGAAATATAATGGATCGTAGAATTGAGGGCAGTCACCCACTGAGCGGCAGTGACGATGATGAAAGTTGCTGTCTGTGGCAACATGAATGTCACCTCCTTGATCAAGGGGTCTGCCAAACAACACTCCTGCAAAACAAGCATGACAATGCTCAACCAGGATTGATGCACAGCATTCTCTGTGTAAGTGGGACTTGGAAGATCGAGGCTCTTGGGAGGTATCAAGGATGTTAGAGGGCATGAGGACAGGATGTACCTCATGGACCTCTTGAGAAGGATGTACCTTGTGGACCTCTTGAGAGTTTCTTGCAGGATGACAAATGGGTGGTGAGGGCTCACAGGAGGCTTGGATTCAGTCATGAGCTTGTTGGATTGCTTCTTCAATTGTCCACTCCACCTTGACATGCAGAATGTTGTACCACTGAACTGCATGTCCAAGACTTCTTCTGAATGGTTCCTGGATGATGTTTCTCTGTGTGGTTTAGAGTTAGGGTTATTCTTGGACTTGAATATATACAGTCTTAAACAGGCACTTGAGCCAGCAAAATTTTGTTGGTCTCCTGTTGCACAACAAAGAGGTACCATTCAGATCTGTCTGTTACAAACTTTTAGGGTGTGTTCATAAATGTATAAAATAAATTGTTGAGTCCATCAATCGATGTATGAATATGCTGCAAATGCATCAGTGTTTTTGGTCTTTATCACTAGTCCAAGGTCACTTGAGCCAGCACCAAAAGAAGTAAGTCAGAAGTGATTAGTGTTATCTTTACAATTGGTAACATTAATGACCAACTATTCACTCCCACCATCAGACTCTTCATTGTCATTCTCATCAGCATCTTCCTCATCACTGCCAAGCTGCTTTTTCTCAGTCTAAGAATATGGGCGACACATCTTCTGGAGGAGAATGGGCGAGTGGCACATTGGACACCTTTTCCAGTCTCAGCAGCAAATTGAAGGGTCCAAACCATATACAGCTTATCATATGTCATTGATAAACTGCTAAGATATGATAGTGTACATTTTGCAACCTTCCACCAGCATCACACTGGCAGATGATTATATGCAGTATTCATACTTTCTCTTTGATGAAGTTGTTGGCAGGGGTTGTGTCTATTAATTTCACAAACTTGGGGGATGAGAATAATTCAACATGGTCTTGTGGTGCCAAAATAGTGAAATTTCTGCCACATTACAACACACAGCACAAGATCATAAAACATATTTAGGCCAAGCAGGATTGTATATAGAAGATTACTGCAAGGCAATGAAATGTTAGCCTGCATTTTGACCAAATATTGCATGAGTGTTGTGCTATGAGCATTTGGTTCAAGTGACAGTGGTGGCTCAAGTGCCTGTTTTAGACTGTAAACTTACATATGTGTCAGTTGACTGGAAACCCCACTGAGCATAATGAGTCTTCAATGCAGCTGTAAGTGCATTGACTGCATCACATGAACGCTCAAATAGCGCTCAATAAAAGGAAAGAAGTTCAATGGAAACCACTATCCTTGGAAGCAAGGGTGTGGTTGGGAATAATCCATGGAGTATAAGGACTTCAGAAAGCATTGAGCAATTACAGCTCAGGACCTCAATTGAGACAAATCCTAAAGTTGAATTAGTAAGGCCAGTGAATGATAAGAAGCCTAACTACACTTATGATCAAAAAAGAGATAAATGATGGATGAGTGCTTTTGAGCACATGAATTAACTGTGCATGCAGATATGATAGAAGGTAACTTCTTGAGTGGCTGACCAACCGTTCTCACAAGATAATTGAGGAGAGGTTTGATTAAGGTGGGGATCACTCCTTGCCAATTTCCATAGAGTGTTCGTGACACCTTGTCAGGGAGGGTGCACCACTGGAGCTGAATGAGCTGTGTGTTCGCTTGTAGTATATCATGAGGGGGTGGATGTTGAAGCTTGGGCACTGGACAGTCCAATTCATACACCCATTCATCGTCATTTGAACTGCTTATAATTGCGGTCAGATCCATGTTTGAACTGCTGGGATTGAATACAGCAGCAGCCTCTGGTAATGTTGGATTCATAAGAGCTTGCATGCATAGGGTGAGCTGGTGGCATTTGACATCTGTGCCAGGGATATCAACAATTGTTTGTGTTTTTTTCTTGTCTTGGGACTTGCATGGACTAACAAAGTGTTTGCCAAGTCCCCATCCAGAGGATGACACTTGCTCTGCATGGTGTTATGAACTAGGATGGTTGTAACAACAGCAGCTCAATAAGAGCAACAGCTGAAGTTATAGTCAAGACCTTGCAAATACAAGGGTCGTAAGACAAAACAAAGAGAATGTCTTTGGCTTGAATATTGGTTCAGACAACTTTAGGATTGGGGGTCCTAAGTGAGAGAATGTTCAGGCGAAAACCTAGTAAGATTAAAGTAAAGAACTACTAAGTACATTGTCAACTATATATACAACTATAGACGATTTAGGGCAGGCATAAGTCAACAATGAGTCAGAGATAAGAGATGAGTCATCTAGCGATGGCAGCAGCGATTGTGATGTAATACAAATATAGAAGACAGGTCTAGCGGCGGCATCATGCAGCTCATGGCGTAATACAAGGATAGTAAAGAGAAAATGAATAGGGGCACATGTGACTGTAACATTACCCCTCAGTTAGGAACGAAGTCACTGACTTCAGATATCCTGATTGGCCCAGTAGATTGGGTCAGTGTCATAGTTAGAGTCCAGAAAGTCGTTTTGCTCCTCTGTAATGGTAAACGATTTATCAGCCATCTCAGCAGCATGATAAATAGCATCCTGCTTGATCTCCCAGCAAGCAAGGGCTTCATAGTAACCAGCATCAGTCCAAACCAATGGGATGACCACTTCACCCTTTAAGTCTTTACAAAAGACTGATAGATGTCTGGGTGCATGCTCATTGCAAACTCGGCAATAGTACACTGGGCAATTCTTATGGCAATGCCCAGCAGTGTGACAATTACGACACACTACATTATTGATCATTGCCGTTTTTATGGTGATGATGGTGGATGATTGTGCCAGTGGGGAAGGGGATCTGGATCATTGTTTTTGGTTTCTGTGTGGGGAGGCTGACGCCATTCATTTGGCAATATGGGCGGATCTGCGCCTAGTAGGGTACTGACATGTAGTGGGTGCAATGGGGATAGGAGAAGGAGAAGCTGGTATGTCAAGTACAGCAATAGGAGGGATATCATTATCCGAATGCTCAGTGGTAGTTGCCAGAAGAACTGGCAGTGGGATTGGAATGGCAATGTGTGGGGAAGGGGGTCGCGCGACTGGGTTGGTAACAATTCATTCCGTGACAATGTGGATAGCCTCTCTGATAGCTCCCTTAGTAGTAGAAGGCAGCAGGTGGATTGCAGTATTACGAATACATATATGAAGGTGGCAGAAGATGGTTTTGTGACGTTCGTCATCAAGAAGGTTGGCAGTGCGCTCAATGAGGCTAGCATCTCTGATGATTCTGACAAGGAGTCCACTAGGGATTGCTCCATTTTCTCCTAGGATACAATCTATTTCAATCGTGTATTGCAGGGATGTGATAGCAGATTCAAACAGAGTGTTATTTTCGATTTTGTCAAGGATCGTGAAGTAGTTGGAGAGACTAGAGTCATTGGAGAGAGTGGTATCGGATAAGGGTGGAGATGCGATGGTAGGAGTGGTATTCTCAGCAGCAGTGAGATTAGCAATGGTGGCGGTTTGATAGTCAGCGAGGGATAATGGGTGAGTGATGCTTTTGGATACAGAGTTCATAGCAGCAGTTAGTTCTTCAATGCATTGTATGCAGAGGCATAAGCATTCAAGAGACATTGTTCTGAGGTTACAATTGATGGGTCTTTTTATATGCAGAAAGAATGTCAGCGGCATTGCTGAGGTTCTCTTCTGGGATCCATTCATTACTGGTGGAGGAGTATCCTTTCCAAGATATTAGATAGCATCTTCATTTACCCATGCCTTTATGCAATAAGATTGCATCAATCTCGTATTCTTCTTCATTATCAATGACATCTAGGGGAGGGTCATGGAAGTTTGGGCCGTGGACTTCTGTCTCATGATAGGATGATAGTTCAGAAGCATGGAATGTGGGGTGAACTTTCCACTGTGGTGGCAACTGGAGTGTGAAGGTGATAGGGGATAGTATGGCAATGATGGAAAAGGGGCCATATCACTTTGGTGTGAGTTTCCATGATGGTAGCTGTGTGATCAAATTCTTTCCTGATAACCAAACCTTATCTCCTATCTTCCATGGATGGTATTTCTGTCCATGAGTTCATTCTGCCATTTGTTGCATAGCGAGATTATGACAGGACAGTGCTTCTTCTCTAGATTTCTGAAGTGAGTAAAGTCTATCTTCTGCGGTGGAGACGGTAGAGTTGGGAAGTATGTGAGGAAGGGCTCTTGGTTCATATCCCATTATCAGGAAGAATGGTGAAGCATTACAGGAGTCATGTTTTCAATGGTTGTGAACAAATTCTGCCATTGGGAGATGTTCTACCCAATCTTCAGGGTGATTACAGCAGTAGATATGGAGGTAGGTTTCAAGTTCTTGATTAAGATGTTCAGTCTGACCATCAGTCTGGGGACGATAAGCGGTTGATGCAGCTATGTTGTATTTCAAAAGCTTGGCGAGGGCTTTGGAGAACTTTGATACAAATTGCGGTCTGCAATCAGAAATAACTTTCTCATGTAATCTGAATCAATGGTAGACATATTTGAAAAATTTCTTAGCAACACCTTCAGAAGTGACGGTTTTTGTGCAAGGGACCAGAATTACCCCCCTCATAAGGCCATGGTCAACCATGACCATAACAGAATCAAAACCGGCACATGGAGGGAGGTCAGTAATAAGGTCAACTGAGACCTGGGTAAATGGCACAGCAGTGGCAGAAGGAATCAGGACAAGAGGCAGTGTTGTTGGGTGGGTATCAGACTTCATTTGCTGACAAAGGGCACAACCCTCAATGTACTTTCAGATATAGGTGCCCATAGAGGGCCACCAAAAGTCCCATTTGACTAGTTCTTCCATTTTAAAATGACCAGGGTGTCTGGCAGTAGTGTGATCATGACAATGTTCCAGAATAAGATGCCGACCAGCAGATTGGACATAGGCATGATTTTTATAATAGAGGATATCATCCAATCAGCAAGTGCGGATTTCATTGGAGGAAGAGATAAGCCATCTAGGGTGTCAGAGGTGGCTTGGGAGATGGGGTTGGGGTCGGAGGGATCAGGGTTCACAAGGGAAGTCATAAGTTCTACATCAAGCAGGCAGACAAACATGGAGTTAGGAAGGAGGGTGACATCAGCATTATCATTATTGGTATTGGTACCATGATCAGGACAGCAGGAGAGTGCATCAGGGGCAGCAAGCTTGGTCCCCACGACATGATGAAGCTCTATGTTGTAGCAGGACAGGATTAATTGCCAATGGGCTTGCCAGTGGGTTAGTTTCTGGGCTGAACAGAAGTATAATAGGTTTTTATGATTGGTAAAGATGAGGACAGGATAGGGGTTTCCTTCCAAATAATGATGCCACTCAGTCAGGGTGTGAATAACAGCTAGGAGTTCTCAATTGAATATCTGGTAATTGCATTCTGCAGGGTTCAACATCTGTGACAGGTACCCACATGGGTGGTAAACTCCATTTTCATCAGTCTGCAGCAACACTGCGCCAGTAGTGACTAGTGAAGCATCAGTAGCTACAGCAAACTGTCGGCTCAGGTTGGGGTTTCAGAGGATGGGTTGCTTCAGAAAGCATTCTTTCAACATGGAGAATGTGGAGGCACAATGAGTTGACCACAGAAATATGGTGTCTTTCTTAGGAGATTGATCAGGGACCTGGCGATGTCGGAATAATGAGGGACAAAGTTTCAATAGAAGTTGCAAAACCCTAGAAATGACTGAACTTCTTTCACTGTTGTGGGGGTTGGCCAATCGCAGATACCATCGGTTTTTGCAATATCCATTGCAACACACCCGGGGCATATAATCATGCCCAAGTACTCCACTTCTTGTGCATCAAACATGCATTTCTCTGGTTTCAAGAACTTCTCTGCACGAATTCTTTCAAGGATGTGTCAGGTTTGATCATGATGAGAGGTGAGGTCATTGGAAAAGATCAGAATATCATCCATATAAATGACAAGCCATCCTTCATTGATTTCTTGTTGGAAGGTATGGTTCATATATGCTTGAAATGTGGCGGGAGAGTTGCAAAGGCCAAAGAACATGATGTTTGGTTTGAACAGTCCATATTCAGTAGTGAAGGCGGCTTTCCAATGATCATCGGGATGAATCCGGATATTGTTATAGCTGGAATGGACGTCCATCTTTGTGAAGTACTTTGCACTGTGTAGCCAAGCGACCAATGAGAGTGGTAGTGGGAGAGGTTAAGCATTCTTAACTGTCCAATTGTTGATGTATTGATAGTCCTGACATGGGTGAAGATCTCTGCTTTTCTTTCCTACAAAGAAGAAGCCACTTGCTTGTGGCAACTTCAATTCAGAGATAAAACCTTTCTTTATGTTTTCTTCAATAAAAGCTTTGACAGCAGTGCACTCTGTTTCTGATAATTGGTACACCTTTGATGTTTTAGGGATAAGACCAGGTTTGGTTTCAATGCGATGGTCAATGCCAGGTCATTCTGGTGGTAATTGGTTAAGACTGTCCTTAGCAAAGATGTTGGCAAAATCGTGGAGATAGGAGGGAATGAGTTCCTCAAATGATTTCTTCTTTTGTTCAAGTTCAGCTGCTAAAGCAAACTGCTGAGCCTTGTTACTGGTCTTGATGTATTCTGTAGGCCACGACAGGGGTGTAATTGTGGGTTTCTGTTCTGCAAGACTAGTGCCATCTTTGGTTAATAGAGTGTCCATGGAGATGTTAGTGAAGACTCAGAGCTCAGTGGCGTCAACGGGGTATTCAACTAAGTATTCATCATCGTCACAGTGGTAAGTTGCGAGTTCTCGCACAGGAGGTGCATAGTCCTGGATCCATACGACATCTTTTGTATCAAATGAATCATCATTATCATCAGGGATGGGGTCAAGGCTAGGCAATACCAGGGGTTCTTCTTTGTCTGGGATTTCTTTGATGGTAGCTTGGGGAGGCGGTTCAACTTCCACAGGAGGCGCCTCCGGCAGCACTACAACTGGAATTGGTTCTTTCTTAAGATGGGAATCTTTCCATGTCTTGCTAACAGGTTTCTGAAAGAGAGGTGGGAGACCATTCTTCTTTCATTCTATATCAACGTCTTCTTCAATCAGATTGCTCTTCTCAGTATGAGGAAGTTCCAATGTTTCTGCTTTCCATCAAATCATTGGATCCATAGTGTGTAGCCAGGGAATCCCAAGTAAAATCTGATCATGACGACCAAGTTGTGTGATATTGAATTTTCCAATCATGGATCATTTGTCTATCTTGATGATAAGGACACAATAGCGGGTGATGGCACCCCCTTTTGCATAACTTCCATCCACAGTAGTGACTTGGAATGGTTTCGTAAGTTTATGCATTCTGATGCCATGGAGCTTGACAAAGTCCTCAGAGATAAATGTTCCAGCAGCACCAGAGTCAACAACAGCTGTTGTTTTGACAGTTTTTAGACAGGTTTTCAAGATAAGGGAAATGGGAATGCGAAGTTCCTTTCTGATTCCAATACTTCATACAAGTCTGATAGTTACATTGGAAGGTACTGACATCGATCCAGTCTTCCACATCAAAAATCCTCAGCAAGGTGATGGATCGTTGTATCTTCATCTTCTTTGTCACTATCCTCTATTTCTTCACAACAGACGGGAGTCTTCCCTTTCTCCTTTTGCGGGCAAGCTCTAGTCATGTGTCCCTTCTGGTAACACGCAAAGCACAACCCCTTCTTCATATGATCACTCCTTTCAGTTTCAGTGAGTCAATCTACCTCCATGGCATTTGGGTCATGCCGATCAATGGAGGGTCTAGGTACATATCGCTGTCTGGTTGGTTTAGTGGTGGCACGGTTGTTCTGACAGAACATGGCACCCCTTTGCCAATTACTGTCAAGCCTAATGGCTGCGGCAACATATTTGTCGAAATCTATAGGAATGGTTTCCATTTGGTGAATGGTGTTACTGATCCCCTTCTTAAGCCCATCATTGAAGAATGTGATCAAGATGGCATCTTGCTTTACAGCAGCTTGTGCAGCAAGGGTCTTGAAGCTGGCAATATAGGAAGTGAGATCACCTGTCTGTTTCAAAGTACAGAGCTTATTCATGGCCATGCCAATAGCATCAGCTGGTATGAAGGCTTCTTTGAACTTTGTTTCAAAGTTTGCGAAGGTTCCATAAGACTTGGAGGTGGAGTTATCAACTTCAGTGTAAAATGTGAGCACCCATCCCATAGCGCTGTCTTCAGTCATGTACGTGAGGGCTGTGATGACTTTCTTTTCATTGGTGTTATAGATTGTAGTATTAAGGGCAAAGTATGCCTTAATCGCAAACAACCATTGTAAAGCCTGCTGAGGGCTTCTGTCATACATCATTGGAGCTCTGGCTTTAAGTTCTTGAGTAGTTGCTGACATCCTGATCTTTCTGGTCTAGTGATGTTTCTGCTTGCAGGGGATGTTACATCTCTCTCTGTCTGTTTCTGATTTCTGGGACCTCCCTGGTGGAGAGGGTTGGTGTTATACTTTAATCTTTTGTTACAAACTAGGATGGTCGTAACAACAGCAGCTCAATAAGAGCAACAGCTGAAGTTATAGTCAAGACCTTGCAAATACAAGGGTCATAAGACAAAACAAAGAGAATGTCTTTGACTTGAATATTGGTTCAGACAACTTTAGGATTGGGGGTCCTAAGTGAGAGAATGTTCAGGTGAAAACCTAGTAAGATTAAAGTAAAGAACTACTAAGTACATTGTCAACTATATATACAACTATAGACAATTTAGGGCAGGCGTAAGTCAACAATGAGTCAGAGATAAGAGATGAGTCATCTAGTGATGGCAGCGGCGATCATGATGTAATACAATATAGAAGACAGGTCTAGCAGCGGCATCATGTGGCTCGTGATGTAATACAAGGATAGTAAAGAGAAAATGAATAGGGGCACATGTGACTGTAACACATGGCACATTCTGATTCAAGAGTGGTGGATGAGCTATTGCTACAATAAAACTACTAAGTACCAGTAGAACAGAAGACTATGCATATGCAGCATGGTACTTACCCACAACCCAGCATGGAAGTGCCTCTATTAAGTGGAAAGACCTACTGAGAGGTGCGGGTAGCTATCAAGAGCACTTCTGAGTGGGTGAGAGCGGTGTTGGGAGCAGGTGAAAACAATATTGAGTAGGACTAGAGGCCTATTGGAAGGTATGGGTAGCTATTGGGAGGAGTATTGAGAGGCACCATGTAGGTACATATTTGATTTCTCATATGATCTAAAATTAGAAGGCAGGAGGGGGGGTCTCAGAGACTAATTGCATCAGCAAATCACTTTGCCTCTGTGGCCTCTGTACAGCTCTGTACAGAAGGGACCAAGCTGTGGCCAGCCATTTTTTGGTGGTGGGAAAAAAAGTGTTTTACTGATGTGCCACCAACATAGAAACTGGGTCTCTTAGACCCTTTATAGGCACCGAGAGGTGCTGCCTGAGGTGGGTGGTCCGGTTTGGTTGCCAGTTTTTTTTCAGTCTGGCAACCGGACTTTAAAACACTAACCGTATCACTCGCTATTGTTAATTCATGAGCGCTGTGCTCCTTTCTGCGCTCTATTTTTCACTCAGAACTCACGCCGTCACAGGAACCTGGTCATGTGCCAGCGAGGTCAGCAAATCCCGACTAAAAAAGGGAATTGATCGAAGTCACATGCGCTTGCGTGTCGTTTTGGCTGAGCGCCACCGTAAATTTCTCGACATAAGTAATACCGGTACAATCTCTGTGCACGTGATACTTATACACTTGGTCTTGTCAACTCCCCAATTGATGCCACAACGCCTTGCAGCCCTCCGAGATCTTGGGTTAGCAAGCACTGCAACTTGAATGGTGTCCGCGGAATCCACGGTCGCATCTTGATGGGTTCTTATAGACAAGGTCGTGCACGAAACTTGACCACGTTTCCGAATGCAGATGGAGTGTTTTGATGATGTGCAGTCTTTTGCGGTGTGTCGCGTTCTTGTTGGTATGCAGCCGTTATCAATATAATATTTAATGAATGTTCTGCTTTTTCCGGGTCCTTGTTCTAACGCAACTCAACGTCGATGGCTACGATCTCCTCCGAGCCTCAGAAGCTTTTAATAGGTACTTTTTTTTTACTTCTGTTTGTATCTATCTTAATCTTGGTGCTCTTGTGCACCTGCACCTTATTGGTATCTATTGTTGCTGTACAGTGCGCCTCAGGCCACCTGACCGTTACATAACGTGGTATACATAACGCGCGTCCCGTCGTCGTCCATACTTCAATGTTTTCCCATCACTCGCTGAGGTATGTCACACTCGCAGCTCATATTACACAGTAACTAACTAGAGTATTCTAGGTAGATACTAACATTTCTCGTCACTCGCTAAGACTGTTCCAGTGTACAACCTCTAGATGGAGTATTCGACTGACGATGTCGCAGCAGCGAGGAGCTTGCAGATTGCGACGGTGTGTCTCCTTGTCGATATGAGGGCAAATGATACTTGACAATTCATGTTCCATTTTGAAGTATATATACGGTGTGTACCGTCTGAATCCATTGTTCTTTGCCCTGACACAGTTCAGCGTCTATGACTGCATTCTGGGTGGGCTTATCTTGATCTATTACGCACGCTGTTAAACTCGCCTGTCCAGATTTATGATTATGCATGTTCACTCTATGAAGAGGTAATACACCCGTTCCGTGATACACCTCGGTTTTGATATGTTGTGCAAAGTGGACATTTTTGCTTCTATCGCACTGGCGCAAGGTAAAAGGCCTGTACATTGTTACACGATACCTCCCCTTTGTTCTTCTCACCGCGAAACTATATAGTGCGTTCCACTTCAGCACACGTCTCCCCGATATTGAATTAACGCTTGTTCTTCAGTGAGCTTTACCCTCAATGAGAACACAGGCGTACGTGATGCTGTGGAGAGTTAATGGGAACAAGTGATTTATTGTATGACTTCGCTAGAAATGCCGGGTGTTAGACAATATTAATACAGGTACGTGCATGGTACTTTCATGTATGCACGCTCTCGCCAAGGGCTGCTACTACTTCCTATCACAGGTCTTGGTATAGTATCAGCCGTTTGCTCCGAGTGTATGTCCTTGCTCCCTAAGATATGTGTTGTGTGTTCCTGATCTAATTCGTCCAGGCTTTTTCGTCCTCAGGACATACGCACTCTGGAACAACAATAGAATCTTGCTCGCAGCCATGCTGGTTATCATTCCTGTGAGAGCCAAATCCACTCGTCCACACCAAAACTAGCTGTAGACGCATCAACCAGACTTTTGTCGGAGTATCCATCGGCATTGCCTTCACCACTAATGCACCTGCGGCATGTACGCACTCTCACCTCGCCCCTGGCGTTCCACTAACATTCAACAATTCTGTTCACTTTCACAGATGCGACTAGCGCGATCCCGGGTATCGTAGGGTGCTACCAGAGTTCGACCAGTTTCCGACTCTTCATACCATTTCTTCTCCTTTCCGCATTCGAACTTGGTGGGCAACCAGGAGCACATATATACAAACGCGCTGACAGATGTTCTCCCCAGGACTCATGATGCTCACGCTCATACGCGCCTTACAGAACTGGCGGAGACACCCAAGCCGTCTGTATGTTGTCCTGGTGAAACATAATGTATTCTATTATACATGTGGCTTTCGTAAGTTTGAGTTAATACTCACACGCAGTTTTTCCGTGCTCATCCATGGTCATTCTCTTTCCTGAAGTGTTCTCAGTGGCGAACATATTCACATCAATGCTCCTCCAGGTGTGTGAATCTCCCAAATGCCTTTTATAATCGAGCTGTTGATGTTTTGGTATTCCGCGCCCCAGTATTCCTACCACACCATGTTGTATGAGTATGCACCTCCACATCCCGCTGCGTATTCCTACTGACATTACCCAAACTTACACCCACGTACAGTTTCCAGTTCATGGTCCTCGCAATCCTCGCCACGCGCATGCACCGCAATCTCTGGCAGATGTCGATAAACCGACATGCACACAACTCTGACCCTCTTGTGGGTATTCTAATGTCGGACATGTCACTTCTAAACTCTACGGCGTAATATCTTATCCTATGGTTTATTCGGTGTCTTCGTGGAGCGTGGCTTGGACTATACAAGATGACTGACGGGGTGGATCTGGTAGAGTTCACTGCGTGCTTAACTAATAGGACGAGTCTTGTGTGGGGCGGGAGGAGTATTTGGATGGCCTTGGTCTATTTAACTTCCATGGTTTCCACCATAAGTGGTGGCGGATTCAGGATTTGAGTGTACTAGAGCCAAACGCACAGCCTGACGGCAATGAGCATCACGGTACAGGTCCACCGAGGCGCACCAAGCTCCACGAATTAGCGAAACGCAATTGACATAATAGGACCACATCTAGGACCACCTACGCTACCGACAAATTTGTCTCGCTTGACTAGATAAGTTATTCGTACATTCTGGCTTGTCTAGTTGTATGCTAGGAGTGTCAGGGCATCCTGCCTTGATGTGACACTTTTTGACCCGCCCTATCGCTCATGACATTATGGAAAGAACGCGCGATGGGCTAGTGAGGTAGGAATTCGCAGATTTGAGATTTGAGGTAGTGGATGGGCCTTACTAGTAGTTGGAGGTGACCGCCTTTGTGGAGACAGTAACGCTGGCGCATGTGCCATGCGGCTGTGTCTTGGGAGTCGGGTGTGAAGCCAAATTTTACTTCGGCGACTTCGAGATAGTGGGCAGAGGTTATTGTGGTTGATACATGGTTATGGAGAACCCATACCCGTGCACCACGTGAACAGATAGGGTATCAACTTTCTTAGTTTTTCCATCGGATGTCGTTGTTTCAGAGGCTGAGCAAGATTTTATATGAATAAAAGGTGCATTTGACCTGTCGTAGAAGCGATTCAATATTTTGAGGTATTTAAGGGCCTGGACAGCTGCCGTTTGTTTCTCAGTTTGTTTCTCAGTTAGTTTCATTTACCACAATATATACAAACAGCAGTGACATAGGGTTTAGTCACACATACTAAGGACTCAATGCCACCTCCACTGGCAGCAAGAGAGCAAATTCACCGGTTCTATGTCCTCCGAATGGCAGCAGCAATGGTTATCCAGCTCATAATAGGTGCTATAATTGTTTACATGACCCCATTTCTCAATAAAGAGCCTTACCATACCTTGATCCTCTCTGGGCATGCATGGGTGCAAGAGCTTGTCAACGGACATCCCAACCGGATCAAAAATGAGCTTGGGATGAGAAAGGTCGTATTTCATGCACTTGTACAGGAACTTCAGGCTTGTGGACTTTGTGATTCAAAGTATATTTCACTTGATGAACAGATTGCTATATTTCTCTACACCTGTGTGACTGGGTTATCGAGCCGTCATGTTGCAGAACGCTTCCAGCACTCTCACACGACAATACAAAAGTATGTTCACCTTGCAAAGATATTTGTACTACCAGTAGCCTCACACAGGCCTTATCAGATATTTCAAGAAAGTCCTACTTGCCATATCTTCAGCTCCATTCTACAACAAATTTGTATCCCTTCCGCACGACAATGCACCCATACCAAAGGAAATATTGGAAAATTCTAAATTCTTCCCGTACTTTTCAGGTGCACTCAGGGCAATTGATGGTACCCACATTGCATGCTGCCCGTCTGCAGCAGAACGGCAACTATCACGAAACTGCAAAGGTGGTGTCAGCCAAAATTGTCTCGCTTGCTGTTCCTTCGATCTCCAGTTCCAGTATGTCCTCAGTGGTTGGGATGGATCAACATCAGACTCAACACTCTACAATAATGCCCAGCTCACAGACCTATATATTCCAGAAGGGAGATATTATCTCGCAGATGCTGGGTTTGGGATATGCAACTCACTCCTTGTCCCGTACCGAGGTGTTTGGTACCATCTGGCTGAATGGGGGTGAGCTGCAGTTCAGTGAGTGATATACGACTCACTGTAGTGTCTTCTCAACGCTGTGACAGGCCAAAAACATCAAAAGAAATTTATAATCTCTGGCATGCTCAAGCTCGTAATGCTATTGAGAGAATATTCGGGGTGCTCAAGAGGCGGTTCATGATACTGGTACACCCACCAGAGTATAGTATGTCAATGCAAGCTCGCATCCCCCCAGCCCTATGTGCGATCCATAATTTTATTCGCATTCATGATCCGACAGAAATAGAAGAATTTGCCGATGAAGACATTGTTGACTGCGATCCAGGCAAGTCTAGAGGCAACCTTGCAGAGGGACCAGCTGACCGTGAAGAGAGGCAGCGGGCGACTGAAGACAGAGATCATATCACGGTCGCCATGTGGGAGGACTACCATAGGATTTGTTGCGCTCGTCAGAATATGTGAATAGAGACCTACAATACTAGTATTTGAATCTACAGAACCTGCTGGTTAATATGTTTGATTTTTCTATCAACAAAAGACTTCCTTGGACCGTCATCTGTCATGACCATATATGCATCAGCAGCGCTGACGTCCATCTGAAATGCTTCAATGAGCGCTGCCATACTATCATCGTCAAGATGCTTTTCTAGCTCCTGTGTGCATCGCATGGCCACCTGTTTGTGCTGAGGTGACAGTATAATAGATGGGCTTGAAGTGTGTGATTGCGACGAGGCTCGGAAGATGTTGCTGAATGCTGAAAATTGGTCATTGATTGCGTAGAGTGCCCCTGCTGATCCGCTAAACTGACGGTGTTTCGATGGTGGACCAGAGCTTGTAGTACCAGATCCAGAGGCATTGAGGGAGGGTGTTGAAGACCGGGTAGATACAAACTTGCGCTTGACCGTGGTTCTGACAGGAGTCACCTCCCAAGGAATAATATCGTCTTCGTCGTCATCCTCAGCCACTACCTCTCTCTCAGCAACCGTTTTCCCTTTGTCACTGACCATTCCTGCTACTCGCTCCTGGTCCTTGACATACTCATCAACTAACCGCTCTACCTCATCTTCCACAACAGGTTGAGTATCGTTTCCGTTGGCCTGGTCATCGTCAGGGGGTGCTTGTTCAGACTCGAACGTCTCATGTCCAGCATGGAAGGCGTTGGTGCCGCGAGGGCATTGTGTGCACATGAGTTCGTCCATCTCGTGGAAGTGTTCCCAGCCCTTGTTGCAAAACGGTTTGGTATCAGGACGTGTCTGCAAACTCATAATCATATCAGTACCCCTCTCATATCATAACTGAAGCGCACCTTTGCAAATGCCATCCAACGAGCGGCGTCAGCAGGACCAATATTCGCACTGAGTTCATCATCCCATGAAAAGCCTGATTGAGATTTGATATCAATAATAGTGGCATATTTTTTTTGCACTGTGCAAATTACAATCAGAATATAATCTTGCATGAGCAGAGAACGTACATTTAACCACTTGTTCTTGCATGATTGCCAGTCCCTGCCAGATCCCCCTACATGGTTTTCCTTCAAAACGCCATCTGGCGGCTCCTGCAAATGAGTTGATGCGCCAGTAAAAGTAGACTGTTTGAATCCTGTCCCATCTCCACCTTCAGCACAGTGAGCTATGAGGTATTCAAGAAGGCGAGATGTCTCTTCGACAGTCCAGCAAGCAACTGCTAAAGTCCCGGCATTGTTTGCTGAAGGTACAGTAGTCTTTTTCTTTGCCATAGCAGCGGTAAAGGGAGGTATGAGTGGGCATTTGAGACCATCACACAAAGGTCACTGTTGGTCACTGTTATGTCACAAGTGCCACGCCACATACAGAAACAAACTGAGAAACAAACTGAGAAACAAACGGCAGCTGTCCAGGCCCTAAGTTTACTTGAACATGTTTTGCTGATAGCTTGCCGAGGTGTTTGGTCTTACTGAGCTTCTATCAAACAAATGTGTCACGTACGGCTTGGCGTTCCGAAAGCAGTGATTCGACACGGCTTTTAATTTGGGGAACGTTTTTGATCGCATCGACCACTTGAACGTTCATGAACGTGTCTGTTAAACCTCCGGGTTGTCTATGAAAGGAAGGGTGTGTACAAACCCACGACTCCAATTGTCTGTGTTTACTGACTTCGGGCAGTACAACGCTCCAGAAATCGCGGATAATTGGAATTTATGCGTTCTGCTAGATCAGAAGCTATACAAAATGAAGGAACTCGTGTGTGAAACACGATTGTTTACCTGTCATTCTGTCGAACGGAGTGGAAATCGGTTGACTGATGCGGGCGTACTGTCTGCACTGCGACCGTATCTCGCTTACAACTTGACAGCTTAGCGTCAGAGTCATGACTCCCATCACACCTGGAGCTCAAAAAACCAGTAAGGGCCGAATAAGTATTGGTAGTGGGGGCAGTTGATCTCACGAATTAGAACTTCGAAAGCCCCTCCAGGTCCCTCGGACGTGGCTGCTTCGGAAGCAAGGACAAGTACAATGAACACACCCGAGTTTCCGAATCAAACTTTGTGTTGCCAAGAGTTACCTAATTTCGTAACTTATAAGAGTTCAGAAGGAGGCGGTAAACCCGTCAATTGTCACCTCTTGAACCACCAGGAATGCAGACGGACTATTCAGCTGACGATATCGCAGCGGCGACGAGTTTGCAGTTCTTCACGGTGCGTTCCTTTCTTGTCGATGTGAGGGCAGGTGATATTAAGCAATTCATGTGCGCATTAGTTCATTTACGGTGCGTACTGCCTGAATCCTATCCTTATTGTCTTACTAACGCAGCTTAGTTTCGATAACTACATTCTGGGTGGGCTTATCCTGACGAATTCTCTTCTGCTGTTAAACTCCCTTATGCAGACTTATGATTATGTTTGTTCGCTTCACGAAGAGGTAATGTACTTGTTCCGCGATACGCCTCGGTTTTGATGTTCATACGAGTCTGTTCGAAGTGGAGATTCCTGCTTGACTCCCACTGGACCAAGGTGAAAGGCCTTTATATCGTTACGCGATATCTCCCCTTTCTCCTCCTCGCCACAAATATGTATTGTGCGTTCGGTTCTAGCGCGCATCGTCCGAGATGAATTAACACATTGTCATGCAGTGAGTTTTATCCCGAATGAAACCCCAAGTGTACGTGAACATGCGGTAGAGGCTGAGAGACGAATATCGCTTACTGCATGACTTCTCCAGAAATGTCGGGTATTGGACAATATTTGTTCAGGTACGTGTATGGTACATCCATCTATGCGCAGCCATGCTGAGGGCAAACCACTTTCTCTCACAGGTTTCGGCATACTGTCAGCAGTTTGCTCCGAGGGTATGTCCTTCCTCCCTAAGGTATGTATGCTCCTGATCTAATTCATCCAGGCTTTTTCGTCCTCAGAACATGCGCGCTCTGGAACAACAATAGAATTTTGCTCGCAGCCGTGCTGGTTTCCGTTCTCGTGAGTCCCAAATCCACTCGTCCACACCAAAGCTAGCTGTAGATGCATTAGCCAGACTTGCGTCGGAGTATCTATTGGTATTACCTTCACCACTACTGCTCCCGCAACATGTACGCGCTCTCACCTTCCCTCTGGCACTCCACTACCATTCAACAATTCTGTCCACTTCCACAGATGCAATCAGTGCAATTCCGGGCATTACAGGGTGCTACCAGAGCTCGACTAGTCTCCGGATCTTCATACCGTTTCTTCTCCTTTCTGCATTTGAACTTGGTGGGTGACCAGGAGCATGCACATGTACAAGCATACGCTGACAGATAGTCCTTCAGGGCTCATGACCCTAACGCTCATACGCGCCATACAGCACTGGCGGACAACCCCAAGCCGTCTGTACGTTGTCCTGGTGAAACATAATATATTCTATTATACATGTGGTTTTTGTGAGTTTGAGTTAACACTCGCACGCACAGTTTGTCCGTGCTGATCCATGATCATTCTATTTCCTGAAGTGTTCTCAGTAGCGAACATATTCACATCACTGCTCCTTCATGTGCGTATATCTCCCGAATACCTTTTACGATAAAGATGTTGATGTTCGGCGCACCTAGTACTCCTACCACGCCATATTGCACGAGTATGCACTTCCACAACCTTCTGCAAAATTCTACTGACAATGCCCGAAATGCACACCCACGTACAGTTTCCAGTTCATGATCCTTGCGATTCTCGCCACGCGCATGCACCGCCATCTCTGGCAGATGAAGCGACAGACACACGGTTCTGACGCCCTCATGCAAGTTCCTATGTCCGATATGTCACCTGCTGAGTGTACGGCGTGACACCTTACTTGGTGGCTTACTCGCGTCGTTCGTCGAGCGAGGTGTGTATTGTACGACATTACTGGTAGGTTTGGTAGAGTTCGCCAGTTGCTTAATTTGTGGGACTACTTTTTGGGTAGTGAAAAGCGTTGGGTTATATTTAACCATGGCGGATAATAAAACAAGTAACGCCCCACTGACAGACAGGGTACAAGTGGCTAGGTCAAGATATGGTGACCAACGTAGAAAGTCGGAAAGTATCACGCTAAGAAGGGGTATTAACACCCAATAAGAAGAGGACGTCTTTGCCATGATCTCCTTCATCTTGTACCCTTTTAAGGCAGCATGGAATTTGACATACCCATCGAAAAAACTGACATAGGCATCATAGGCCTCGGTACGATCCGGTTAGGGTCTTTGATGGTCTGGAAATATTGATAATGTCAGGCGTATCGCCAAAGCAAGGCATGAGATGTAATCCTGAATGGTGACCGTACACAGGGACAGAACCGCGACCATTTAACTGGCTGCGATCTGGTTAGTCCTTGACGAATCATTTGAATTTCTCAACAAAGTGTTCGCAATGAAAAGAAGATAGTTGTGCGAATCGATTGGGACTATTAGATGGCCTGGCGTGAATAATAGCAGTGTCAGACCGATTCTACCCCTACGGTGATTGTCTTCGCAATAGGATTCAACCTCCAAACTAACCCGAAACTCACTTGTACGCGAATGCTTCAAACACCAAGAGCGGAACTCTCTGCTTGATCAGAAATGGATGTCACCGAGATCTGGTAGAGACCAGAGAGTATGTGATGTGGTGGTTTCGCTAGAGGATCAGTAGGGAACGAAGGCAGTAATGAAAGGGTACAGATTTCACAGAGAAGCCCAACTTAAAAAGATGTGTAAAGGAATGACATGAAGCAGTGTGGTGTAGATGCTATGTGGATCCAATCTGGTTGGTTTACTGGTACGCTGGGAGGAGCATTGCGGGAGTTCCATTTCTGTCAGGTGGGGAGCGGAAGAATGAGAAAATGAGTTCATCTGGATCTGAACTCGAGGGCGTTGAGGGTTGTTAAGGTTCGGTGACTCCGTTGAAATTGGGTTGAGAGCGGAACAAAAGTGAGAATAGGTGTCTGAGAAGCACTTGTAGATGTAGCCTTGAAAGCACGGGGAGTTGCGGGAAATCATTTGCTCCGTTGTTTTCGGGTGGAGAGCGGCGGACAATTGATAGCAGGAGCAAGCGAGGATGTAGCTCCCAAGTCGTTGGCGGTTGCGGAAGCTCAGTCGCTTCATCATTGTCAGGTCGAGAGCCGTGGAAAGGCGAGCTAGTAGCGCACTGACAGAGGACTGAGGGTGGGCACCACGCGTTGCCTAAGAATGCAGAGATTAGGACAAGACCTAATTGACAGAAATGCCGACGACGCACATGAACCTCCGCTTCCGTGCCTTCAAAAATTCTTGATGAGAGCTCGTTGACATCCACGAACTGGTCGTGACACCTGCGAGGAGCGGGGCGTGTTCTCTATTCCTAAAGCATCGTGAGCCTAACAGCAGACAATTTCAGCGAGAAAGTAAGTGATAGGTTGATCCTTACATTAGTATTGGGCATGCAGAAGTATTCGGCACGCATGTCGGTTAGTGCAACCAGCCTTGCATAGGCTGTGCAGCTCACGTCTAGGCTCGTGACCAGCCTGGCTTATACACCACGGACGAGTCGAGTGGCGAAGCCGAGACGTGAGACTCTAGTAAGAGTTACGCGAGTCTTGGTCTATAGGGCCGCCTAGTGTTTGTGGGCAGAACTACTCGAGGTTAGTTTGCCGGCAGAACCGGCAGAATAAGCGGTTCTGCCGAGTGGCATGACTCTAGCGGTGAGATTTTCCTATCTACAACATCAGTGACAGTCCTACCGAAGACATCAACGACGCCTCGTCTCATCCATCATCCTCACCATCATGATCCACGACATTAACTTCATCTACAGCAGCTTGGGGTACTATCCCTCGGTCAACTCGCTCCAATTCGGCAAAATCAAATGCCTTCCCTTCAAGGACCTTCGTGTTGTCAATTCTCCTGTGCTTCGAGGGCAACAAATGCTTCGGCGATTTCATCAGCTGATATGATCTCGGGACCTGCAAGGAGGTCGTCTACATCTTGTGGTTACGCTGCAAGTGGAGGCACCCATGCAAAATTGGCTTCCAGATCCCGACGTCAACACTGATTTCAACCTCCTCACGAGTGTGCATATGCATGTGCTGACGACGTGCAAGTTTTTCGTTGTCCTCCGCTCTTTTAGCTTGTCGAGATACTCAAAGTTACCGTTGATTAAGAATGGCACTGAGCAGCCACCAGCATGGACCATATTCTGGGACGAAGGATCAGCCGAGAGCGTCTGACTCTGTTTTCACATTCTTACAATTATACACAGTGTACATATTATTATGGACTAGTTCACTGCCAACCCTGAGTTCTGCTAAGTTCTGCTGGCGATTTTTCGCAAAGTTCTGCCATCTGCCAGGCACAACCAGTTCTGCCAAACCGGTTAGCAGAACTCGCCAGTTCTGCCCACAACACTACGAGTCTAGCTCACGTCAGCATCCTGTAGAGTTCCAGGGACAGACGCGTTCTATATACTTATCAGATGTATCCTAACTTCATTAGTCTGGCCCATCAGTTGAAACATAACATCTTTACTAGCTCTTTGTACATTTTTAAGTATGCAACGCGTGTCGACCTGCGTGAGTAATACGAGTGTGAATATACCCGCGGAGTGGGGTTAGCGGTATGATAACCGGTATGTGTCTTTATAATATATTGGCTTATAGTACTCCGAATTTCCGGTATACGTGGGCTGTCTTCTTTGTGCGGCACAACTTACTCAGAAAACTGACGCGTCTCTCTGGCATCATACAGTGATCACACGATGGTGCTGACGAGGTGCCAAGCTGGAAAACATGTATAAAATGTTGCCAGCCTTCCGATAAATTGCAGTTTAACAACACCAGCCTCACTCAACTTTACAATCATGTCTACTGCGCTCTGGGTGCCCATTCCAAAGCCATCATCTAGGCTAGCGCGATATCGCGCATTATCCCCTCATGCCGGCGTCCATGTCTCGCCCTTGCAGCTCGGTGCCATGAGCATCGGTGACAAATGGGAGAAGTTTGGGATGGGGAGTATGGACAAGACATCCTCATTCAAGCTCCTCGACGCCTTTTACGATGCTGGGGGTAATTTCATCGACACTGCTAATAACTAGTGGGTATCATGTCAGTCATCTTGAATTCGTTATTGTCGCTGACATATCTCGCAACCTCTCAGCCAAGACCAAAGCTCTGAAGAGATCATCGGAGAGTGGGCAGAGAAACGGGGGATCCGTGACCAGCTCGTGATCGCTACAAAGGTGACTTGAGGATTCGGTGAACATAGTTCGATGCTGATACATATATATTTAGTACACAACCAATTACCAGCGCGGCAACGACGCCATTCGCCAGAAGGTATCATATACCGGTAACAACATCAAGTCAATGCACCTCAGCGTTGAAGCCAGCTTGAAAAAGCTGAGGACTTCATACATCGACATTTTGTACGTGCACTGGTGGGATTGGGACACCTCCGTCGAGGAGGTCATGAACGGTCTGCATGTGCTGGTGCAACAAGGGAAAGTGTTGTATCTCGTGAGTGTCACTGCTTCTATGTTGACACCAACATTCGTTAAGACGTATCGCTGGCAGGGTATCTCAGACTCTCCTGCTTGGGTTGTGTCCAAAGCGAACCAGTATGCTCGGGATCATGGAAAAAACGCCGTTTGTGGTCTACCAAGGTGCTTGGAACGTCATGTCTCGGGACTTTGAACGAGATATCATACCAATGGCGCGTTCCGAAGGTAGATCAGCCTTGTTTCTTGCTATCTGGTGCCTCAATTCACGCTCACCCATACATAGGTCTTGCGCTTTCCCCTTTCAACGTCCTTGCCGGTGGAAAACTTCGAACCGACGAGGAAGAGGAGCGCCGCCGGCAGACGGGAGAGAAAGGCCGCACAATCACAGACCCCAGCTGGGAACGCAACGAGACGGAAAAGGCGGTGAGCGCAGCGCTCGAGAAGGTCGCCAAAGAAGTCGGTGCGAAGCACATCACAGCCGTGGCCATCGCATATCTTATGCAGAAGACGCCCTACGTATTCCCGATTATTGGTGGGCGAAAGGTGGAGCAATTGGAGGCCAACTTGGAGTCTCTGGCAATTTCGCTAACACCCGAGCATATGAAGTATTTGGAGAGCATCGTTCCCTTCGATCCTGGTTTCCCCTCCACATTCATCGTAAGTCAAATCAGCGCTCTCTTGTGTCAGATTATTGAAACATGATCCCATCCAGGGTGACTGGCAAGCAATATAATTTTCTAATGGGCAGTACTGCATATTTGGAAAAGCAGCCACAGGGGCGGCCCATAGTTCCAGACATTGATTAGTATGGCACAGCTTGTAACTTGCACATGTGTTGAGGCATACCGCGCCCCAGTATTCTAAGCTGATACAAAAGACACGATGCGCGTGTACCTTATTCCAAAGCCAACGACTCGATATACAACACTTCAGCAACTTATAAACTAGGAAGCCAAGCCATGCCATGCCCGGACGACCGGTCTTGCGGCCATCCCCGTAGATATTGCCACTTCTTGTGGAATGCCTTGGGAACATGTTACGGACTCTAACTTCATTCAGATTGTAGTTTATTGTAGGCGAGTTGTAGCACTAGATAAAGGCCGAAAGTGAGCACGATTGTCTGACTTTCCATACTCCTGGTCTTCCGCATTTAGCAGTACTCGCCTCGGCACTGCCAGTGAATGATGCACAAGGAGAACCTCACTTGGGTGGCTTGGCTCGAACCTACTGATACCATTGTCTAGCTTTAGCTATTATGCTTTGAGCCATGACATGGCTTTCATTTGGTTTTGGGTGGTGCCGCTGGTCAGTTTCTCTCCTTTCTACGTGATAAAATTGATGACATAGAATGGGATGAAGATATTGCAATGTAATGATCCAGGGTGCATGATATATCAGAGATAAGGAGAGGGCTGCGTGAGAAAGAGATTCAGAGTGCACTGGAGTTCTACAGCAAGTGCTTTAACCCCGCATCGATCGCATAGCCCGATCGCCTTGTATTCGGTTTAAAAGAAGGTCTTCCGACGATGCTTACGCCCCCCTTCTGGATCCGCCCGCTATTAAAGCATCGTTTCGAGCACGTGGATGCAAAGGCGATCAAAGCACGTCGGTGAATTTGCGGGGTGCGTTCTGGATCAAAGTAGTGACCGACGAATCGTGCTACACTGCACGGCGCAAGTGCACTATCAATATTAATGACCTCAAGATCATGAGGACGCTAATAGATTGAATAGATATCGTGGTCAAATTGAGGAGTGGACTCATCTCAAATTAATGCCCGCATGCACCGCAACCAAAAGTTGATTGACTGCCACCTGCAAGTTGGTGACGTTGATGAACACTGAGCGCTGAGCACGGAGACCTTGTATTCAGTCTGACCCCCTTGGAAGGGATAGAATGTATTTACCATCACGCACATGACGGTTGTTGTGTTGCAAAATGTTTGATCCAGGATGATCACCTACTATAAAATCTAGCCAATTAAAATCGTTCTGACCTTCGCTGAGTTACAAATGCATCACCCAGTCACGGTAGCCTTGGTAGCTCATAATAAACTTTACCCACATGACTGCTACCAAATCAGGATCACTAACTTGGCTTGTCAACGGGCTTGGTGATGGCACGGGATGGCACTAGGAGTTTCTTACGATCAACAAAAAATATTCGTAACTGTGCGTTGTCCAGCCCTGTTCAATGTTCAGTACTCAGTACAATTATGATCAAGCAGCGCGTGGGCAGCCCTCGATTACCGCATAAACTATGTGGCTGTATGAACATCGTGATAATCGGGCTTTCGGGACTCTGTTGCAGACATGACGTGCGTGCCACGTTAGGTCTCTGAGCCGCAATTCTTGAAATCATGAGTCAGACATGAGTGATTTCGAGATTCGTTCCCAGGGGCGATACCGGCCTTGTGTGTGGTTCTTCGTGGTGTGTTTTCAATTACACTGCTACGATTAGCTACAACGGGTCTGAAAAAGTATGGCCTTCATGCACATGCTTGTCATGTCGTGATCGGAGGACAAAGTTAGGATCCTCTGCAAGCTCCGTCTGATAGGCGAAACACTGTTCTTTGCACCGATTCTGGCCAGACCGTGGTAGGCAACGTACTCGATCATGATGGCGAACCGAAATATCATAACGCTTACAGTCCGGTAAATCCTCTGGGCGACTACTAAGCGGTCGTCGAAATAAACCTCTGGGCTCTCTGATTTCTATAGCAATGAATCATTTTCTGGTGACGACGTCGTGCAGCAATGTTGATTTCGGAGACCTCTCATCGATATCTCGTGACCCCCCTAGGATGGGACCGAAATACAGCAAGTCCCGCATCTTACCTGACTTGAGACTGTGTGTGTCGCATGGTTAAGTCGGAGGCCAGGACATATATAACGTCTTTGCATTGACGATTGAAGCCTCACTTCCAGTTAATCTCATTCCTTACCCAGTACCTTCAGATGTTTCCTTCTAAGACTCTCCTTTCTATTCTCCTTATTGCGCTGTCCGCTGTAGACGCATCCCCCATGCGTCGTGAAGCTGCGCTGACCCTCGCCTTCACCACTAGGATGAACGCCAGGGCTAATAATATCAACATCCTTGACGCTGACAGGGCTCATGCTCAGGCGATGCAGCATCCTAATATCAGCAAGCGTGCTAGCAGCTCCTCGTTCAGCATAGCTAGTGCTGTCACGTCATACACTGCCCAAGTTGGTATCGGCAGCCCTGCCACTCAGTGTAAGACTCACCATCAAGTGACCTCGGATATTTTCGACTAAAATAATTCTCAGACACACTCATCATTGATACGGGAAGCTCCAATACCTGGGTGGGCGCAAAAACTGCATACAAACGCACCAATACTAGTGTGGCTACTGGTAACTCTGTCGTATGTTTTTTCGCGCCCTCCGCTGAATAGTTGCTTATAATGACCCTTTAGTCCGTCTCTTATGGTTCCGGCAGTTTTTCCGGAGAGGAATACTTGGACACAGTCACTCTCAGTTCTAATTTGGTCATCACCGGACAATCTATTGGGGTCGCAAGCAGTGTACAAGACCTTGACAACGCTGATGGAATCCTTGGTGTCGGACCGACTGACCTGACGCAGGGCACCGTTTCCAATGTTGATTCAGTCCCCACTGTCACCGACAACCTCCACAGCAAGGGTAAAATTGGCACCGAGGCACTCGGAGTCTACTTTGCTCCTGGTGGCAGCGCTGGCGAGCTCACCTTTGGTGGCTTCGATAGCTCAAAGACAACGAGCTCAGTGAAATACGTTCCTCTCACAACCACGTCGCCTTCTAGCGAATACTGGGGTATCGATCAATCGATCACCTATGGTAGCTCTACCATTTTGTCCGCGACTGCTGGTATCGTCGACACTGGCACCACCCTCACTCTCATCGCCACTGGTATGACGAGTTACTTATAAACGGGGTCACTCTAACTAACTGGAGAACACTAGATGCATTTAAAAAGTATCAGTCTGCTACTGGTGCTGTGTTAGATAACAACACTGGTCTCTTGATGATCACCTCCGAGCAGTATTCTAAATTGCAAACCCTGAAGTTCAACATTGGTGGTACTTCCTACGGTCTCACCCCCAACGGCCAAATCTGGCCCCGCTCCCTTAACACTGACATCGGTGGTAGCAGCAACAACATCTACCTTGTCGTTAATGATATCGGTTCTAACTCTGGCACTGGTCTCGACTTCATCAACGGTTACTCATTCCTGTCTGTATTTTACGTGACTTTGATTGGTATAAAGCTGACTACCCGCCCTATAGTCAACGCTTCTACTCTGTCTACGACACCACTAACCACCGAGTCGGCTTCGCAACTACTTCGTCTACCTCTGCGGTCTCCAACTAAAATGATCATGTATTCATCTGATGCTCATACCCAGAGTGAATATTTATATTAGATGAGGTTTATATTTGGAGTCGATGGAGGTGTTGGTTGTTTGGGATAATAGGGTGTTGCGAGTAGGGTTTCGATGGCACGTCATTCGTTGAAATATATCCTACAATCATTACTTTTCGATATTTACAAGACTACTCATAATTGCATTTGAACAAACAACATTTTGTTCACGTGGAAACTTTGCACTTCTTCAAGATTACAAAAGAAATAGTGGTAATATGACATGTCGATGTTACTTGATGTGTCTGCATATTGCAGGAAAGTCGTATTTGGTCACTGTATGATTTCGACATCATCTACAGCTTCCATCTCGACCTACATACCACCCTGCGAGGGAGAACCTGTTTAGATGGCTGCAAAGCATGTCATAGAGAGACTTGCCTTGGCATAAGGTGTCGAGTGGTTTCTTGGCCTGAACCTCTCAATTGCCTGTCGACCGTCTTCCTCAGCTCACTACGCAGGTGGATGCATTAGGGGTTGGGGGACAGTGTAATTGCGAAAATTTTTGCAGCAAACGAATGAGAGCGAATCTTCAAGGCATGTTCCAATGGGAAAAAAAATGTTGATCAGCAAGTTTCGAACCTGCGCAGTCCAAGAGAAACAGATTTTGATTCTGTTATGGTAACCACTTAGCTAGCAAGACCAGTTATATGAACCTCCGACGAAACCATCCAAGGTGTGTTCCGAGATTGCTGTTGGGAGGTTTCAGCCTGCGCAGTCCAAGAGAAACAGATTTCGATTTCTGTTGTGATAATCACATTGGTCCATGGCGCTTCGCAAGTTGAAATGAACCTCCGGCCGATCGAAGTAGTGTCCATGAGCGAATGGCAACTTGAAGGTGTGATAAGACATTTGTCGGTACGTATTGAATCTGCAGGATTTCTAACCCGTTCTGGTGCCAGCTGGTTATGACTATAGACCTTGAGGGATCCGTCCATGAGCGAATGTTCAAGGCGTGATACAAGGAAAAAGATTGTTGAGTAGGTTTCGAACCTACAGCAGATTTTTGTCCTGTCATGCTTACCACTTGGCTAAGACTGGTCACAATGGACGTTTGTAGTACGAGTCAAAGAACAACATGCATTGACAGTAGAATCACATAGGATTAGCAGTCATTTGCCAACGCAGAATGAAATAAAAGACTAGTAGCTCGAACACAAAGGAATAAGCGAGTCGGGGCTGGCGCCGTTATTTGCTTTAATTCCCACGGGGTCATGCGTTGCAACCCTCGATGCATTCAAGAAACCAACACATATATTTTCTCTAGCCTGGGTACGTATGCCCCCAATATTTGAATGCAGTATATCCTGCATCGAACCGCACCCCGGCAACTTTAATTTTGGTATGTGTGCAAAATGGCGTGGCAGTGTCGAATATCCTAATTGGGCCATGTCATTTGTCAGGTATCTGACGTCCATGCCAAGCTCGAAACTTGTCCAGTATCGCTCCCCCCCATATTTTTATCTCTCTGTATCCTCCCGTTGCAATTTTTGATTTTCTGCAAATTTGTCGGGCGAATACATCGCCATGAACACCCACTCGTGCCCAGACTTGCTTGATTGGTCTAAAGACCGTTTTATCCGCTCTTCGCATCCCATACTCTTGCCGTCCCGTCTTCGAATCCGCTCGCCGGTCACTTACCGTTTGGGCTCCAGCACAATGTCCACGCAGTCCAAGTATGTCCAGTCCATTTAGCGGTGACTTCCATTGTCTCGACTTCCCACAACCTCACTCTCCCATCACGGCTCCCGCTGCCAACCGTCTTGCCGTTTGGAGACAATGCTACGGTGTACACTGCTGCTTCAATGCCTATGATATTTCGCCAGTCGTCTCCGACCTTTTCGCCGCTCTCTAAGTCCCATAGACGAAGTAAAGCATCATGAGTAATGGTGCGTCGTCCACCTGGTAGGTGCGTAAAACCTCGTACTAGGATGATATGGCCACGCATCGTCTTAGAGGGCACGAATACTAGCATCTGTTGCATCCCATTGGTCATGGAAGACATGGTTGAAGTTCGAGATCTATGTAGTAGACGAAGCTCGCCGAGATATCTGAATTAGAACAGGTTATCTGACGAGTTGGTGAGTCCACATGCAAATCCTGTTTTGTCGATACACGAGGCCTCGCTCACGGGAAAGCCTGCTACAGGAATGCAGGTCTGCCTCGGAGGAGGGTTTTTTCACTATAGATGCAGAAGTTGCTGCGTCGTTTTCAAGAACGCGCAAGGGCCAACTTTCCCTGGCGAAAGAGCTCAGAATATCACTGCCGAAAAATGCTGGTCAGATCAAGTCACTCACATGCACTCCAATCACCGATGTGAAGGACGGATTAGTAGTGAAACAATGCGGATAGTGGAGGCTGCAATTTTTCATTCAAGTGATCATTCAAGGTGCGTCCGATGCCTCTTCGTGATCGATTCACAGGTGAAGTGCTGTGTAGGCAAAGTGCTCGAGTCCCGGGACTCGCTCTATGTGCATCTTCCTTCACGCAAGAGTCTACCATGATGGTTGTAACAATCATCCCTGGTTTCTTCTCTATTCGCACTTTTCTTCCCTGTCTATGTTCGGTGCAGCATGTCGTCACTGCGTGCTGTACTGGGGGTCAGTTGATCTCAAAAGTTCCTTGGGATTCAGGTTCCTACAAAGTGGCTGCGTGTTCCAAGGACCGATGGTGTTTCGATATTCAATCTTCACGGGATCAAGAATCAACGCGAGCTTCTGGACTTCATGTTGGAAATTGATCAAACCTAATTATTTGGTGTAGATGCGTTTTGCGTCTGACTTTATCTTTATTGTGCAAACCGTACGAAGTGTGTACCCCGGATTAGAATGTGGCTTTCTTTTAAACTGTAGTCATTGGTACTGGGGGAGGTGCAACTGCACTTTTATTAAGTAGCTCCCAGCCTGTGACCGCGTCACCTTTCGGCCGGTAGTGCGCCATATCATGATCATCAAGCTAACCTTGAGCCAGCCTGTTAATCTTCAATTGCAGGAGGTCTGTTCGGAAACTCAAGCTGGTAAGTGAGCCGTCAGTTCTCCCTTGCAGAAGGGGTTAAATCATTGTACCCCTCAGACGGACTTTCGCATTTAGACAGCGCTGGTGAGCAGTGATAGACAGCTGTTTCTGGAAACTTGTCAATTGGACTGTTGTTAACAACGCTGCACTGTTAGAGCCTAGAGGTGGTACAGTAATAAATTTGTTTATTGAAACTCGCATATTTCACTGCCCGTCAAACACATCAAAAGGCAACTTCCAACCCATGCTTGGGTTGACCACTCTCTGCGGAGGGTGCGAAGCTGCCGCTTTCTCCAACAACTCAAAGTCTTCTTGTGGGATTTCAAACACTGGAAGGAGTGAGTGAGTACTATGTACTGCCTCACGAAAGTCTGGACTTTCTCACCTTCGAGGTTCTCGACAATGCGAGAAGCAGTTACGCTCTTCGGCAGGACGATCGTCTATCGAGGTTTGGAAAAGTGAGTTACGGCACAATGGTGCAGAAATTTCGACATACACCGCGCTGGACACTCCACGAGATAATAACCTGAGCCGGGGTGATTCCAAGTTTGCATGCGACATTCTTTACCTGTAAGAGTGTTTAGATGACGGAGTCCAGTCCTCGTGACGCAAAATGGTACTTCAGGGACAGAGAGAGAATTTCCGACTTGCTGGTTGCTACCCAGGGGAGAGTACGCCTCGAGAAGAAGCCCGTTCTCCTTCGACCACTGCGGATTGCTCGTGAACTCGAGTACAAGCGCCTACATGCCTGAACCGGAAACATACCTTCAATAATTCCGGTTGAGGGTTCCAAAAGTTGAGTTCAACTTGATTGACAGCTGGCTGGTACTTCAGTTTGTTTGCGGTCAAATTCTGGATCCTGAATTGTAAACGAGAGATTTGAGCAAGATTGACTAAACCATAAATCATTCGAACCTTCTGATATTGAAACTATGGGTACATGTCAGCACCCGTCCGACTCGACAAAGATAGAACTCACTTGCTAATACCAATGTTCCTTATTTTACCCTTGTCGACAAGCTCTTCGAGCTTCTGCCAAGTAGGATATGGATCGGCAGTAAGATCCTCGTCTAAAATATTATTTCCCTCCTTCTTAAATGCGATAGGCCTTGTTGTGAATCAGAAAAACGCTCAAGTGAGTGAACAACTACCGCACCAGTGGATCAAGTACAAGTCGAGATACTCGGTACCAAGCATGGAAAGTGACTGGTCAAGTGCGGCCTCAATGTCCTCAGGTGCATGGAAAGTGTTCCAAAGCTGTTGCTGGTCAGTGAGAAGTCGAACTAATTGAATCGATGTACTAGTACCTTTGACGTGAGCCAGAGTTCTTCACGAGGAACAGAACTTGTTTTAATAGCTTGGCCAACTTCCTCTTCGTTCTGCAACTATTGTTAAAGAGGTTCGTCGTGATAAGGGGATCAGACGCACACGATAAATCCAGGCTCCATCGATGTGTCTATAACCAGCCGCCAAAGCAGTCTGAAAGCACGTGAGCGTAAGTACTCGAGGGAGTGCGGAGTACGTGCCGTCACAGCATTGCCGACTTCGCCCTTGCTAGCCTGCCACACACCTGTATAATTAATAATGAGTTTAATACTAACTTGATGAGAAAATTACCAGTGCCGTACCCAACGCAACTGAGGGAATCTTGTCACCAGATGGCAAGGTGTAGTGAGAAGGCAGTTTAGCTAATGTCGAAGAGTGACGCTGCGGGCTGGCATGGCAAGCAGCCCAGAACCCCCTGGACCTGATCATACGTATACAGGGGAGGGAAGCACACATAATTACAATGATAGCGATGACGAAGAGAGGAAATCTCCTTTTGCGAGGGTCCTTGCGTTGCAGAGATTCCTGCTCTCCAGCGTCCTTATCGACGGTGGGGAGCTGTTGGTATTTCTGTGAGAACGACATGGCGTGGTGTGAAGCACGGCTCACCAGTCTACAGCCTGATATATGATAAGCGGAGAGGTAAGGCGGCCGCCGGCCGGCCCGTGTGATTTTCAATCATCTATTCTGCGGTTGTTTGGCATCATTTGCACCTTTTCCTCTTTACCGCGGCTACCTTCTGTCTGTCTCAGTGCGCGACGGGCCAAGGGCGCCAGAGTGGACTGGTCTTGCCCGTCTCATTGACCCCATGCTCTGATTTGTGCGTGCTAAAGGGGTTTTCCGACATAGGTGGCCTGGGCCAACTACGATAATGGAATAAGAGCTCGAGGTAATGATGTACGGCATGCCACCCAACTTATCAACTTTGCGGCACTGTTCCTCGAGCTTTTGCGAGAGATTACTCTTCGTCTCAATCTTAAATACGTCCTCACTCTCAGGATGGTATCAAACTTGAAGCTGCCATGGAATAGCTCCGAAATTCGATGGTGCTTCGCTATCCCCACGTCTGTGGTCATCGCCTGGTTGTCATTTGCAAAGAAAAACCAAGGTGTCTGCTATGAGGCTACCTTTTTTATATGCTGCATCGTTTTCTGCTGTACAAACCGGCACTCCTACTAAGTACGTGCATACTTGTTGGACTGGAGAGTGACCGGTTAAAGCACTTCCTTTTGGGGCCTTAACCTCAAGATTCAAGAACACGATAGTTGAGGACATATCCATATCGAAATCACGAGGGTCAATCAAATTCCGCTATCTACGTGTATACACAGCGATCAAACATAGTCATCTCCAGAAAAATTCAAGCCCGTTTGAAGAAGAAAAATGGGAGACCACAAATACAAATAAAACATAACAAGAATCAGCGCAAGATTGTTATCAGAACGGGGCATAGTATGTCAGAATGAAACCGTGCAGCACGTGCCAAATTCCTTTCAGCCTTAGTTCAGGTTGATGCCAGAAGTCAAAGGGACCTCATATTCGTCGCATGTCACCTCAGAGAAGCGAAGTTTCTGACCAACTTTGGGATTGCCATACTGATGGACAAAGAACAATCTTTAGCGAAAGGAAAACCCTTTGAAAAGCAGTAAAACTTACCAATGTCAGTCCGGGCCCGGGCATCGGGCAAGCATATGACAATGCACCGCCATTGGGACTACCATGCAGTTGAAGAGCGCATTCACCGCCAGCACAAGTAGGGATACCCGTGAATTTACCGACATGGGTGGTATCAGTGGTGAATTCCATGTGGGCGCCACCAGTGGCGTCATTAATCCACCCTTTCGTTGACAGTAGGTCTTTGTACAAGCCATGCTGATCTTGGAGGGAGAACACCTGTCCCATCTCAACCTCCTTTCCACGCGAGCAATCAGTGGTGGAATTGCAGACTTTGAAGGGGATATCGACGAAGAAACCGTTTTTCTTGTAGTCGGTGTGGTCCCGGTCGATGCCAAGCTGCTCGCCATCGGAGAAGGAGAGGATATAGCAATGGCCATATTTGATGCCTAAATGTTTGCCATGTCCACAGACTGGAGGATTCATGCACGTGCAAGAGGGTTCGACACCGCCATGTCCATTGCCACATGTCTGAGGGCAGGGACCAGTGAATGGAACGCACTGGCCGTCGACCAAGTGTGTCCCGCTCGGGCACAGATGAGGAGGGGGAGGAGTGAGTGGGACGCATTTGCCGTCGATCAAGTGTGTCCCAATTGGGCACAGGTGATGAGGGGGAGTATGGAATGGAATGCATTGGCCATCGACCAAGTGTGTCCCAACTGGGCACGAGTTATGAGGGGGACCATGGAGTGGAACGCAGTGGCCGTCGACCAAGTGTGTCCCACTCGGGCACAGGTGAGGAGGGGGATGAGTGAGTGGGACGCATTTGCCGTCGATCAAGTGTGTCCCACTTGGGCACAAGTGATGAGGGGGACCATGGAGTGGAACGCAGCGGCCGTCGACCAAGTGTGTCCCAATTGGGCACGGGTGAGTGGGACCGTGCGATGGGACGCACTTGCCATCGACCAAGTGTGTCCCAACTGGGCATGTTTGATGATGGAGAGGAGTGACTGGGGTGCACACCCCATTGTTCATGTGAAACCCAACCGGGCAGCACCCTCCGCGCCTCGAACCGCCTCCGCTGTCATGTGTCCATACGTGACCCTTGGCGCAGCACTGTCCCAAAATGTCAATAAACATGACTGATTGCAACTCATACCGAAAGCATACCTTGCCTAACTGTGCGTGCTTGTCGATCCATGTGAGACCACTCTCATCCTGACAACATTTCTTTTCTTTGGTGTCCTGCTCAGCTATTTAGTATTAGTTCCGAAGGTATGTGTACAGACTTACCGCGTCAAAATAATCAACACCATGGCAGATTTCTCTGATGTCTGTGCGACGGCACTTCGGTTGACCTTCGCTGTCATAAACTACCTCCCAACCATCAGTGGGCAGGCCTGGCGATACACATCAGTTGAGCATGCTGGTGAAGGTGGAATTGACCGCAGAATAGTACACCTACCTGCTTGCCTAGCATAATCTTCACAGGTAGAAGGACTATGTGGACAGTGACCATCGCAGTTCGAAGCAAGCTGGAAGGCGGCCTCGGCGTGTTGAGAAAGTACGACAAATGCTTGTGAGAGAGCTAAAGTGGTTATAAAAAAAAGCCGCATTGTTGTGGATGGCATACTAGAGAAGTTGCAGCGTGCATTTATACTGTTGCTAGCGCTTAACCCCTGTATAGGAGAGCTGGTGATTGCCATCGGAGTTCAAGAATAATGATGTACACGGCATCAAAGAAACCAGCTGCCCTGGTTCGTCTGATGTTCTTAATGTGGAAGCAGTATACCCCATGTAATTTCGGACCAGTCGTATGCCAGTAGCCGGAAACATACCGAGTAAGTTCTTTCTAAATTGGCAAGTCAGTGACGAAAACTAGAGGGAGAACCGCCTTACTTGCGCACCAGCGTCAGCTTGTTGTTCAGTGTGACGATAAGATGACTGTCCAATCTGTCATAAAATGTTGCCCTGGATAGAAATTCGTCCCGCGAACTATTTACTTGCTTGAGTTACTGCAGTGGGATGAGAACAAAGGGTGGTAGCAAGATACACATAGACCAGACCAGAATGATGTACTGAAGACAGGCTCGGTGCGAGTAACCAGCAACGTGCGAGAATCGCGATTGTACGCCCATTTGCAACCACAACGTAAAACTTGCTATGTCAGTGTCAGCGCCATGCGAACAATGGTGAGAAGTGAAGCTTCTGACACAGATAAAGATCCAAGTCAAGATGGCTGATACGCAGATCCAAATGTGCCGGTGATATATTCAGGAAGTCCGTAATTGATTTCAATCGATGGGGCGGCAATCACCCCACGTTCGTTGCCAAATGTCACCCGTGAAGAGCACTCAGACTTACAATTCTGCAGACGAAACTTGGATCCTCCTGTTTGACATCAATATTCGCAGATGGAGGGAGTATAAGGTTGACCTGCCATTACATGGGCGTTGAGATGATTCCCAATGATCATTTCAACAGTCTTGGAGAGCTTGGAATTTGGTTAGAACGGCGAAGTAAATTCAGGCCCAACACATCTATTACCTAAATCCGCAGCGAAGGATCATCGATCATCCCTTGACAGAATAACTGGATTGGTTCGCGACCAATCAAACAAGCGCCATATGTTTTAACAGAGGGTGCGCGCATTGAAACAAAACTCCAAGAACAATAAGCACTTCTGTCTCGGCCGTGGCTCGCTGCCAACTTGAAGGTTGAATTATTCAAGACTGTGCTATTCGAGTGACTTGCAACTTCTTGAGTAGTCCAAGGAATGCACTGCAAGCGCCAACAAGACTCTAACGTAAAGGACCCACCTGACGCGAACTTCTGCAAGATCTTGATAACGACATGAGTTTTTGGCTCATCTTTAAGACAAGCAATCAGCTGGATTGATCATGATGCGACAGTCTGACTCGGACGCCAAACCCAAAATTGAACTTACGTTCAAACATAAACTGGCGACCATTCGATATGCAACACATATTCAGCATGTACGCGCTTTTTGGAAAATTGCATAAAACAGTGCAACAAAAACACCAACTACAACAATCGTAGCATACGATTACATGAGTCAAGGATATTGAAGTGGTATAGAGGAGGCTCGACTGAAAACCAAAATTTTGAACTCCGCAGTACACCACGGTCTAGATTCCCCTAAATTTAGTGGGAGAGGGTTCTGTGGCACATGAAATTCTGACATGTTCGGGCTACGAAGTTCTTATCGCGGTGAGCACATATACGGCTAGCCGAGGAACGAGCTGTCATGGTTGTCATGCTTTTACCTGTACTAAGTCGTGATGGGCCGGAGTAGGTATCGGGGACTGGTACAGCCGAGCGCCGTTTCACTCAGATCTTACTCGGTTCCACTCCTCCTCCAACAAAGTTCCAGAAACGTACACCAGTACTGGACATGGTCCAGACTCGATATTCCAGCAGACCTCGAAAACCGCAAAAACTGATATTCTAGCCAGCTCCTTGGTTTTCTGCAACGAATTAAAAAATTGGGCGAGTTGTCACCTTATCGTTATCGTCTCACCACGCAAGTTGCACTCACCTGTGACCGGTTGACCCTTTCCCCGCTGGCAATTGACTAGATGCACGCAGAAGAAACTCGATTTCCAATCAGCATTCCTTTCCACGCTCGCGAGCATGCCTCAGGTGCACCCAGTTTATTATCTGCTTGTTTGCAGAATACCCTCCATCGCCATTCGAATCACAGGTGAAAGCTTTAGTAGCTTGACCAGACGAAGTTTCACTCTTTTGTCACCTGAGTCGCAATCCCCGTTCGCCTCTGGCAGCTTTTTCACAGAAAATACAACTATCCATTGTGCAGCAGCCCGTCGTAGCCGATGTCACCAGGTACCTTCTCCTCTCTTGCGCTGAAATGATTGGCATCGGAGTTTCAGAATAATGATGCACCCATCACGGAAGGAACGAGTCTGCGTAAGTTCGGAATACGCGTATAGCAGTAGCCGGAGGCATATCAGGTATGTTCTTTCTAAATTGACGGACCAGTGACAAAGGCCGGGGGGAAACCGACCTTACCTATGCGCTGGCTTCGATTTATCGCTCATTGTGACGATAAAATGAATTTCCAATCCGTCATCAAATACTACCCTGGATAGAAATCCTCTTCGTGGGTGACATAACTTGGGCAGCGGATATGGGGTGATTGCCACTCATCCATTCAAGATGAAAAGTAATCACGCACATCCTGGATATATCACTGGCGCATTCAAAGGATCTACGTATTGGCCCCAGGATCTCTATTGGTCGTCCATTGGATATGACACCTGGCCGTCAGAAGTTTCACTTCACTCCGTTGTTCGAGTGACGACGACACTGACATAGCAAGTTTTACGTTGTGATTGCAAGTGGGTGTACCAGCGCTGTTGGTCACTTGCTCATGAGTTTTGACAGAGGGTGCGAGCACTGAGATGAAAACTCCAGAACATTTCAGTGCCTTTGTCTCGACGGTGGCCCTGACACGAGCTTCTGCAAGATCATGAGGATAGCCTGAGCTTTCGACGCAAGTACTCATCTTTACAGCTGTGTGCAAAATGGTACGCTGATCACTCACGGTGACTCGGACCTGCCTGACTCCTCTAACAAAGTTCCAGAAAACATACACTAGCCTTGATATGTGTGACATTTGACTCGAAATCAACAGACCTCGAAGACCGCAAAAACTAACTCTATCTAAGTAGCTCCTCTCTTTTCTACTTGGGTGATTGTCATCTTGTCTCACTGCCCAAGTTGCGCTCACCTGTGATCGATCAGCTTTCAGCGACAACAGTGATAACAACGAAAAGGTACTACAGTCGTTTGCAGAGCACTAGTCCATTCCCTTAGAAGAAAACATAAGTCGGCAAGAAGTCAAGCCATGTCCCGATTGCAAATTACAATCAATCGCATTCATACCACTATTAATAGTGCTATAGGACGTTACATACCCAGATATCTGATTGGACATCGCAACGCTGTCCTGTTATTTTTGACGATCATCGGGTGAAAACGGCTACAAGTGGATGACTAGCGTTTGGGGTTCCAAAACCTTGTGTGCCGAGGAGCCGCCATCGAACATAGGTAGTTTCCAACTTCGTATCCCCTTCCAAATCAGGGGGTATCCCCCCTTCCATAATCTGGGGTATCCCCCACCTTCCAGTTTCAGATCATCGTTCTAAATGACATTTCAATGTCCGCGACGATCATTTAGGCCTTAGGGCATACAGCTCACTCAAGCTCTTTTACTCTGCGCCGTGCATGCACCAGTGAAGTACAACATGTGAGCAGTGACACTCATGAATTCAACTGCGGAACCGATCATCGCTTGAGGAGTCTGGGGTCCTTTTGATGTGAGGGTGTTTGACCGAGTAAAGATGTCGAAGGTGTCCATGGCACTAGGCACGCATACCTTTCAATGGCGGTGCATGCTTAATTTTGAATTGTTTTCGTTCGGTGGGATGTTGGTCCATAGTACAGATCATACGTAGCTTGGACCTGTCTGGCTATGGAAGTTCAGCTTTGGCGTAGCCGGGCTGGCTACAATCAGATTTGAAGACTATCGAGCGTCAATGAGAGGCATTTAGTTGGGGATAGTTTAGTTGTTTGCGGTGACGCGCTGCGGTTGAAGCGGAAGTGTTGATCGCGATCTACGGGTGCTGACCTCGTCTGTATGACCATTGCACTGGGGACGTAACGGATCTGACATACCAGAAAACCATTCGACTTTGATGAGCCTCGCCTATCTTTAAGTTTGATGATGAAAGGGGTCAAAGACGTAACGGAAGCAAATGTCCTCCGAGTGAACAGGAAGGCGCGTAAGCAACCTCCGGGGTTATGCTTGGCCGGAGATCTCTTCCACAATGTCGTGGAAGTTTTGCGGTGATCGCGGATTTATGTATATGTGGACGGGAAAATAAAGTTGCTGCCGTACGGAATGGGCCTAGGCAGTGGTACCAGTGAAATGAGTTTTTGTGTAACATTAAGGGATATCTTTAGCAAAGAGCATGACCGGGCCGCCGATCAGCAAAACTGCTAAAAAGAACGTTCAGGTTAAGCGCGTTACGGACGCTTACGACTCAGACTTCAGTAACGCACTCGTCTAATCAGTAGAGCTCAAACGCCGACTGGCAGGATAATGAAATGTCTCATTGTGGAATATGAAAACAAATACGTACAGCGGTATAGGATGCGGCCCAGGCCTATCAGAGAACAGCCTGATGTGAGAAACAAAGATCAGTTGAGTGCACGCTTTCCTTTGCTACAACATGTCTTGTTGTCTCAGTGCGCGGGGGGCCAACTGGAAGGGTGTCAGATTGGACTGGTCTTAGCCACCGCATCGACCTCATACTCCGATTTGTGCAGGTTTTCCGGCGTTGGTGGCCCGGGTCAACTGGCATGACAAATTGACAATGGAATGAGAACTCTGATGATGTGTGGCGTGCCACCTAACCTATCAACTTTGCAGCACTGTCTCTCAAGCTCTTGCGAGAGATCCTCACCCTCAGGTGGTATCAAAGCCGCTTATATTGTGAAATAGCCTCGATGGTGCTCCGCTATCCCCACATCTGTAGGCATCGCCTGGTCATCATTTGCAAAGAAAAATCAGGGTGTCTGTTGTAAAATTATTTACTTGCTTGGGTTACTGCAGTGGGACGAGAACAAAGGGTCATCTAGTAGCAAGAGACACATTGTCTTACTTAGACTTGTGATGCGGAGGCGCAGTTCTGAACTGCGGTTCGAACCAGACCTTGCGTGAACCGGACCAAGGTTTGGATCAAGGTTCAAAGGTCAATTATATGAACTCTTTCGAACGCGTCCAAACGCATTCAAATGCTGACGTGCACATTTGTCTTGATGTCATATCAAGACAGGTACGGGATAACCTGGTAATTATTGTTGTAAGTAAATATCGATCGATCCATAAATTAGAAGGCGAACTAGTTCTCATTCACCTTGCGCGCTGGCCTCCATACGGAACACTGCAATGATTGTTTCGTCCGTCCCCTGCAGATGTTGAGCCCCATGTTGTCCAGTGGCAGTGTGGGGCACCTGCGAGTTACAGAACGTGTTCTGTACATGTGTAAATCCCGCGGGCTTCAATGATTATATGTGGCTGCTGACTCCCAAGTCCAAGTTGCTTCCTCCCACACGCAAGTGCATGGAGCATAAGACTCGGAAGCCATGCATTGAAGTAAGCTTAGACCGGACCAGAATCATGTACTAAAGACAGACTCGGAGCGAGTAACTAACAACGTGTGTGAAATCGCGATTGTGCCCACTCGCAATCACAACGTATGTATGTGTGGGCGAGGAGATAAAGTTGTCAAAGTCAAATACTTGCACGGATCAACACGGGCAAAAGCAAATCCGCTGAAATGGGCGCTTAGCTTAAGCGCGTTATGGACACTTACGACTTCGGTAGCGCACTCATCTGATTGGTGGGGAGCTCGGACGCTGACTGGCAGGACAATTAGTAATGCCTTATCGTGGAATATGAAAAACAAACATGAACAGTAGCATAAGATGCGGCCCAAGCCTGTCAGGGAACAAGTGCGAAAACAAAGGTTAGTTGGATGCAGGCAGGAGTTACCGATTAAGGCCTTGGATCGAGCGTTTATCAGTGGTATATGAGTCAATCAGACTACAGTGAAAGTTGTACATGCCTGTCCCAAAGGAAGGCTCGCAAGTATCGAATCTAACTCCGGTAAGAACGTTCCAGGGAACCCGAGTTTGACATGACAGCGGGTGGATTACCATGTCTAATGATGAGTGTAGTTACGAAGTGGTGCACGGCCAATCAGGTGAACCTCATCCGTCCATTCAGATAAGGAGGGCTCATGTATTGGGCATCAAATGAATAGAAATAGTGCACGCACCTCTACAGCTTCGAGAAACTCGTAATTCCGACTATCAATTTCACCTTGATAGTGCTCAACCTCAGTAAGGTCTGACTGTGCTGGTAGCATCCAGTGTGTTGGGAAATGTTTATCGTAGTGGTCGAGAAACATCAATTAGCGTTACATAAAAATGTTCAGTCCTTGGAACATGTTTGTATATATTTGTCTAAACCTCTGAATATTCTTAAATATATATTGCGTGGTTAGGGTTAGAGGTTTCAGTGGAGGTATGTTCAAATTTTACACCACACAGGTTGTGTCCGGAATATTTTTATACAACACACCGTACAGTGACCGCTTTGCCCCGGGGTGCTTGATGAGACCACTATCTGTATCGATAGATTCAATAATCATCTCATCGAAAACCCGCATCACATGATGGTCAAACGGTCGGCATACGAAGCCAGTGTGGAGGGCTGCAGATATCACTCTTTTCCAACGAATCTACATATCGACGGCGAGCTGCAGGGAGGTTCTGTTCCCGAAAGGTTACGTGCGTCGCATTGTCTCGCGAAGAAATGAGCTGTTTTCTGAATAGGCGTCCACCAGATCTTGTCGAGTTCGGGTCAGGCTACACCACACACAAAGAATATACATGGGGTTCATATATATCTTCAACTTCTGATAGTTCCATATGTTTTTTCCGTCAATGTGTATTCATCTCCCACTCATCTAAGCCCGAGTTTTTAGCCTTCCTCACAACATTGCGTTTGTGCGGCCCGTAAATCCAGGAAAGTGCATCGTATCCCATGCTACTGGGCACAGGTCCCAGGATATTCAGCACTATATATACACACCTGCGTTGCCCTCCATCGTTGCCCACGATGTATACCACATCTTCTCTCTTCCTCCATACCCTAGCCCAGGTCGGCATTACTCATGCATTCGTTAACTGGGGCTCCGACCACCCTGCACTCCTCGAAGACCTCGAGCGCCAACGGGTCGACCATGGAGATACCGTTGTCGAAATAATCACTTGCCCCAATGAAATGGCTGCGTTGAGCGCAGCACAGGCATTTGTACAGGTTACGAACACGCCCGCTGCAGTCATTGTACATGTCGATGTCGGAACCCAGGTTGGTGTTGTGCGCTTGGCTTTCTAGAGACATTGCCGTCAAACACTTTGTGATAGGCTCTTGCTGGTGCCGTCCATAACGCGAGCAGAGGAAAGGTTCCCATCCTGGTGTTTGCTGGTGCATCCCCGTCTACTGTCGAAGGAGAGTTGAAGGGGTCGAGGAATGAGTGGATTCATTGGATGCAAGGTAAATAACCACTTGTTTGGTTAAAGATAAACCTCAGATTCTTTGTGCGTAGATATACCTGACCAACCTGCCATTGTCAGGCAATACATGCGTTTCACTGCACAGATCAACGCACCTGAAAATGTCCCTCATCTTGTCAGACGTGCCCTCCAAATGTAAGCTCCTTTCGTTCATTCAAAGTTAAAATTGGCTGAAATGTGCACCCGCAGTGCCACAAGCGAACCAAAAGGTCCGGTATATCTCTGGGCACGCAGAGAAGTACTAGAAAAGGAGATCGATGAATCACTTTTCAACGCTCCAGCATCTTTCTACAGATGGCCTTCAATCGAGCCAAGCGGGCTCTCCCCCTCAGGTAAATTACCATAGTAAATGAGGACACTGGATTTTCTTATCATGCTTGCAGCCGTGAACGTAATTGGCGATGCCCTGGCTCATGCAAACAACCCGCTTATCATCACGTCATACATTGGACGGAATCCTGCAGCCGTAGCTGCCCTGGAGATGCTTTCCCGGCTGATGGCTATCCCTATATTCGTGACTTGCCCTAGCGCTACCAACGTCTCTCTCTCGCATCCATTCTTCGTGGGCGTTTCCTTCCTCGCACCTGGCACACACACTCCGCTGCTCAGCACAGCAGATGTAATCCTCGTCATAGACGCAGAGGTGCCATGGATCCCAATGAACAAAAACAATCAAGGCAACTTCGAGCGCCCCAGCGATGAAGCTCGCATCTTCGTAATCGACTCTGGCGACCCTCTTAAGGAAAACATCGGCATGGAGCACGTCGCCGGCGTCGCAGAGCTTGTTTGCTGTGCCAGTGCCGACGTCATGCTTTACCAACTCCTGAACTCCGGGCGCACAGGCGCGGCGACAGGATTCTACACGCGTTCTAAGAACATACAGGCAAAGCACGATGCGTTTATTGCAGACATGCGTAACGCAGAGACACTCACGTCCGAACCGAATGTGCCGTATTTGCCCTCGCGCATCTTTGGGGCGCTGCGTACGGCGGTGGAGAATAAGGTACCGCACCCTGCGAGCACGCTTTACCTTAACGAGACCATCAGTAACTACCCGCTTTCATGGTCACACCTGCATCCCGACACACCTGCGGGCATGTTGAGCTCCGGCGGCTCGTCACTCGGCTGGGCATTGGGTGCGGGGGTTGGTGCGGTTCTAGGAGGCGTAAATGCGAGAAAGGGCGCAGGGAAGGTGGGATACGAGCTGGTAGTGAGTGTGGTGGGTGATGGCACGTTCTTGTTTGGGGTGCCTAGCAGTGCGTTCTGGATGGCGAGGCGGTATGAAACAGTGAGTACCACATACTGATATTTCGGGTGACGGTTCTGAGGAAGTCTTGAACACCAGCCCTTCCTGACCATCGTTTTGAACAACGGGGGCTGGAAATCACCAAAACTCTCCATGATGGGTGTGTACCCCGAGGGGTATGGCTCTAAGGCTACTGGCAACCAGCTCACTGTGGGTTTCGGGCCTGCCATGCCAGATTATGTGGGTATCGCGGTAGCTGCGACCGGGGGATGGGCGTGGGGAAAACGCATCGCAGCGGGTGATCCCCTGGAGGAGACGATGGCGGAAGCTGTGCGAATCGTTGTCGAAGAGCGGCGGTGTGCGATTGTGGAGTGTGTATTGGAGAGTATTTGAGTGACGAGAACCCAGAAGGTGTGCTAGTGGGAATTGGGTCTACGCTGTAAGATTGGTCAGATTTGTGCTTATACCCATAGATTTTAATGAGTGTCATGAATACACTGGGCGTTGGGCGTCCCATCATCGATAGATCCATAGATCGACCTTCTTGTCTTTTCACTACATAGTTTAAAACTATTCAAAATGGCAATAAATGACGGACATTTGTAGAACAATTGAGCTTATCTCTGTCGCTACATGAACATTGAAGTGCCTCTAAACGAGTCCCTTTCAAATTTGATATGATTCAGAACGGAGGGAAAGGTTCGCGAGACAACAAAATCAATGATATCAATCAGTTTGGAGGTGGCAGAGAGAAATTTTGTTGAGGAAGGCTATCATATATCGGACAGAGTTGTTTCGAAGAATCTATCCCTGATCGTCAGACTAACTCTAGTAGTCCGCGGTGCTGTGTACTCACTGCTGAGAGGTTGCGAAGCCGCTACATCATGAGAAGCCTCTGCAAATACCAAAGCCATCCCGCTGTGGTCATATAAATCAAAAACCCATTCAGGCTCGGTAAAAGGGACAAGCAACTCGAGTCTCACGTGTATAGATGCAATCATATGACTACACAAAGTCCCAAAGCATCAACATCATTTGCGATGAGTTATCAAGAACGATACTTACCAGTGCAACAACCACGGCCCAGGATTATCGGTGATGAAGCGGATAGTCACGTAGTCACCAAGAAAACCAGTGTTCACGGTATCGCGCAACACGGGGTTGACGTAGTTGTATCTGCTACTGCCAGCACTTCTGATGACAGCGAATTTGTGCTAAGAATCATTTATTAGTACGGGATGTGCATAGACGACATGTAGAGATATACCCCATGCAGGTGAAATGGATGCTGTTAGAATTTCAGTTGAGGGCATGCAGGTATATGATATTTTGGGACTTACAGGGCGGCCTGGGGAAAACCAGGAATCCATGAAATCTCGATAACCTTATTCCTTGGTAGAGAATATATGGAGTCATTGGGTGCCATTTCCGAAGCCGATATATCACCGTTCAGCAACTGCAGTAGGATAGGGATACTAGGAGAAGTGTACTGCACGCCGTTGATGAGAAAGTTGAAACTGGTCGCATTTTTTCCAAGAACAATGTTGAGCTTGACGTCTGCGCCATCTTCCTGAAGCAATATTGGCAGAGGTGGATACGATGGGTGTAGGTCAGTCTCCTGTAGAGCGACTGGGTTTGGAGTTATCCTGATCTTGGGGTTCACATCGGGAGAGCCTACATATCGTAAGATAGCCCTGGAGCTTGTACCTAAGTTGGGGACTGCATGCACCCAATAGTTGTCGACAGGCCGGCTTGTTTCAAGAATGAAGGGGTACCTCTGCGCGGCGTAGATCTGGATAGAGTCGACCACGAGCGATTCGACGTATTGACCATCAGCTTCGATTATGATAAGCTTATGGTGATCGATGGAGAAAATATAGTTGGGCTTGCACGCCATGTTTAGTAAGCGGAATCGATATCGCTTGTATGGCTGAACGTGAATGACGGCGTAAGACGTATCTGGTCCGCCTGGATAATTCCCGATACCGTTGATAAGCACAGAGTCTGGGACCGCCTGTCTCTGGACTCCATGTGAAAGAACCGTTGACTTTAGCTCACCAGTCCATCAGCGTGATTATGGTAGATTCTTTACTTAGGTGTCAGGACCGAAATTCCACTTTGCCTGGCTCACTGACCATTGTCAATATCGTACAAGAAGCGGTATGGATCGTGTGGGTCATAGATGATTAGTGCACCTCGTAAACCGTCACAGTACTAAATTCAACTCAGTGATCGGTTGTAAGTGCATAAATCAGAACACGAACTCCATAATGAGAGTGGTACCAGTAGGTTCCTACTTGATCGCCGGTATTGAACTCGTACAGAAAAGAATGACCAGGAGAGATCGGGCATTGCGTCACAAATGCCGTGCCATCCATTTGATTGCTATGGCGCTGGAATAGTCCATGCCAGTGCTGTCCAGGGTAGACTATCATTGGACGTCCCTATGTTTCAACTAGTTGGTGCTTACGATGCTGGTACCTGTGAGCATTGTTTCGTCATTTAAATGATTGGTGACGTTAATTTTGAACGTGTCGCCCTTTAAAAAACACATGAGATCAGAGGATTTGTATACATAAAGTAGTCTCACTTTCTGACCCGTGATAATAGGCCCGGGGAGTGTGTCACCAGCAAGAACCGCCCTGCAATGATCTCAGTAATCAAGTAGGATGAAAAATACACTCGAAACTGACGACTTGACAAATCCGTCGGGAGACACTTGAGCATTTACAATGACTAGGTCAGCAACCGGGCCAATAGTAACGGCGCAACTTGTCAGGACGCACAAGAATATATAGTGTCGAATCATGACGCGGAGGATGAGCAAAATGCAGTACATCCTTTAACTTAAGTAGTGCACTTTGTAATCGCCTTTTGGATCTGAACCTCGTTCTGCTTCTTTTCCGGGTCGTGGATTGTCGATTGTGAAGCGACCATCCCCAGTGGCGATATCCTAGCAGTTTCCCACCTGTAAGTCAGCACCAATCAGCCTGAATAGTAGAGTGAAATGCCAACACTACTCTCAAAGTCCTCCGCTTCAGATTTTAATACGTGAAGTAGTACAAGCTCTTAGATCTTACGACTTTCTTGACGCTGGCTAGCGTTTACGAGTAGCGCATGGATTCCCCGAAGCATCAGAATAAGGGTTCCAGCCTCTTCGGAATATTCTTGCGACAGATGAAAACTTAGCATACCGTGGAGAAGTAACAATTACCAAGATGAACATGCTTCGGGGAATATTTCAAATGTGGAGCAGCGGCGATCACTTGTGTGGTAGTTGCTTCTTAATGACTGAGCATGGGTAGCAGACTCGTCGACTTATGTTGGTTGTTATGGTGGATGTTTGGTTACACTTCGACTTCCCGGGATGCCGCACGGATTTTCAATGTCCGATCGGTATTTGGTTTCAGTATTATCCTTTCTTCAAATTTATTTAATGTATACCTAGTTATATTCTACTACTAGTAGAGTGACTTTGTGATAGGTTGAGGCCACCTGATCATGTTCTTCACTGTCCTCAGTTGTTGTCTAATTTTAGTTCATTTCCTCTTTCTCTTGATCCAGTTTAATCCCTTCTGGAGGCTCCCGCCTGCAGATGATGGCCCTGAACTCTGGTTGGACTTTAAACTTCTTATTTCTTTGATTTCTGACTGCTCCACTGGATATGAAGGTGTTTCCTTTCGGTCAGTGTCCTTTTTGGTTTGCTTAAACTCCCCTCCCTATGAAGTCTGGTATGGCCCATCCTTGCCCTGAGACTGAGTAGTGGAGCACCACTTCTCCTTCCACCACCTCCACCTATTTCAACCATTTTTTTTGCTCATTTTCTATCTAGATTGTTGTACATCCTTGACTGATCCCTGCACCTCACAGGGAAGTGCTGGATTTGCACCTGGTTGGTCACACAGATTGGTCATCCTCATTAAATAAACTTGCAAATCAACTCTCCACTTGCTTTGTCTTGCACCATGTGAGTTTACATTTCCTATTACTGTTGTTTGGTCATGACTCTGCTTAGACCACACTTGCGGTTTTAGATACTTTATCCCTATTCTCCCATTTGGCGGAGTCTGCTCAGACCACATGCATGATCCTTTTGTCTAGTAGTCTAATTTGAATATACACCCATGGGTTTACCCTGTACCCATCCAAACCCATTTGAGGACTCCTGGTGCTGAACAATGGACACCATTGACTTTGGTCATCATAAGCTTGCACTCAGACTCAGGATTCAGTCATCAAATTGATCAGACATTTTCAATTGAACAAGTAACATAGGGTTCATACTATGAGGATCACCTCAGCATGAGGGAACAAGAATAATCATTGGCACAGATATACAGTAAGAACGATAGTGCCAAGTACTAAAACTCTAGGTATTGAAAGGTTGCAAGCCAAAGGTGTGACAGAACTTATTACATTTATGTGTGGACCTGAAACTGTTAAAAGCAGATGTGCAGTTTCCTCCACCAAAATTGTTCATGAAAGCCCTGGATACTTGTGTTAGTGTGATGGTCCAAGGCTTAGTAGTAGCACAAACTCACGACTCTGTTAGGACTTGACAATTGGTAAGGAGGTTACCAGAACCTACGCCAAGTACAGTCTGTTAGCTGTGGGTGACAGTCAGGTGAGGGGTTGAGCACTCACCCTGGAAATCAGACAGGTAAACCATGTTGTTAGTAAGGTGATACTGGACATGTTGCATGAAGCATAAAAACAATCCAATGACTGCTTCTCTGCCCTCTAGACTATGGGCGGGGATGGTGGAGTTGTTGTTGATGTACTTGACAAATTTTCTGCTAATCTGCTCCTTGACAAGATAGTTTGCACCAAGGTCATTGTTGGGGTCATCGGGAATGGCTAGTGCCGCACAAACCAGCCTTAGACATGGTAACTCAACCTCAATATCTTGGCTCACATTGCCCATCTTGAGCATCTCGTCAACAAAGGTATAGGCCATACTGAGTAAGGATGTGCCCCAGTAAAGGCAGTTCACCTTGTCAAGGGTCTTTTCCAGTTCATCCTCCCTTGCAAAGCAGCAATGTCCCATGCTTTGGCCCTTCTGAAAGAACACACGTTTAGCCACAAGTTGCTTGACCGACAGAACTGACAGTGGTAGTGATGTAGATGTGGATGGGACTCCACCTGTGTTCAAAGTTAAGACAGGGTGACATGTTTTGAAGCTTCCTGCCAAACCAATCATAGATTTGGAGCTGGTGTCGATGGTGAGTGTGGCAACAGTGTACTTGCTGTCAGCAGTACTGAATGGCGTAGAAATGAGCTCTGCAAAGCCAATAGAAGGGATGTTGTAGAGACAAAAGGTGATAGGGATACATCCAGCACCTGTCATCACATAATGTGAGCTAGTTGACTGATTCTAACAGTTCAAGGCACATACCTATAGTAGAGGAGGCTTGTTTTTGTACATTTCCCTGAGCTTTCATGGCCGCTTGTAGCTGAGATTGACTGGGTAAGAAGAGTTGTTTTGATATGCAAGTGCTTGCAGCCAAGACAGGTTGCAACTCTTCCAGATTTGAAGGGCCACCACAGACATCAAATTGCTTTGAGACATCCAAGTCATTGCCTACCAGGACCTTGCTAATTTCAGATATCAGAAACTGGACAGCTGAAGGTGAGCACTGTGGTATCAAATATAGTTAGACCCGCCAATATACAAGTGCCTCAACTTACCTTCCTGGAGCATTTGTGTGTAGGGCGGCATGGTGGTGATGGACTGGAATCATTGCTGCTACCTTGACTTCACGGTACCTTTTTCTTTGTGGGGATACTAGATGCTGATGCTAGTGCATTTTGTACATCAACATTGACACTCAGTACAATGTTTTGTGAGATTGAGCTAAGTGTGAAACACATCACTGAAAACATGAAGAAAAGACCTACATTGACACATTGCTCTTGCCAGAGTAGCACATCCTCGAACTGTGCATTTGTCATTACAAGAAGGATGGTGACATGAGCATTTGCATAAAATTTGTGTGTGGGATCCTTGGGCGTTGCATGCATGAAAAATTCTTGTAGAACTGGTTCATTAGCACCAATGGATGGTTGCCTTGGGTCATAAAGAATCATCTTCAGCGATTTGTGCATCTCCAGGCTGTAGAGGCATGGCTGCGTGACCACTCTATCCATAATGGTTCAAGCTGGTTGATTACCTCAGACTGAAGCTGAGCTAGGGTGATGTTGAGTGCAACATGCACATCATGTTCAATATTCTGTAAATTTCATAAGTCAAGAACAGCACCAGTTAGAATTGATATAACCTACACCAACTAACACAGTGCCCGACTTTCCCTCTGGTTTCAGGTGATGTAAGGCGACCTGAATCATGACTTGATGGAAGTGCCCTGATGATGCAGCCTGAGCCATCTTGCTGTGATACAGGTGGTGCATGGCATGATTGGGTGTATATCCCATGCTCACATGTGCAGGAACTGGAGGAGGAAGCATTTTTCCATGATCACCTGCCAGTGTGTAGGCTGGATGGCTGAAGCGCTGACTGGAAAAGATGTTGTCTATAGGTTGGAAGATAATACCATTGAGCTTTGTACACAAACCAGAAGCCCTCATATGACAAACCTCCATGTTGCACTGCTGACATTGCTTTTACCAGCTCATGTCTTGAGGGCTCAACAGCAGGCTGAGCAGCTGTGAAGTCTGTGATATGAATGATAATGAATTTGGTTAGTATTGGACTCAGACTCATCAAAGTTGGACTCACCAATGCTTGTAGCTTGCTGGCATCAAGCCTGTTCTATAGCTTTATGTCCCTCATAATGCTTTGCACAGCTTGGGCAACATGTATGGCCTGAGCTGTCTTTACCATGCACATATGTAAATTGTACAGTTGATTTGAAACGTGTATTGCAACACTGACAAAGTCTCCAGCTATTTGCATTTATGGGGGTAAAGTCTGCCATGGTATGAATCAGAGGTATACTATAGAGACGGTGGATTCAGAGGATGAATGAGGGATGCTGGGGGCTTTTCAACCATGTTAGAGATATAATGGTCCAAGTGATTTGCAGTTGTTCTTTTGAAGTGTGATTCTCAAAGTATGACAAGACAGCGGTTGATCTACACTACTTGAGTTGCCAGATCTAACTTTCCTCCTCATCTGTCCAGGCAAACTCGTAGAAGTCAGACTCTTCATCTGATGAGTTGACTGCCACAGATTCACCAGTGGGTGCATGATATCCAGCCCCTTCAACAAATAGTGGTAAATCCAGAACATCCATCTCCTCAGACCAAATTAGTTTTTCACTGTCGCACAGGATTTTTGGCTGTGCAGTGATGACACTTCAAATTGGATCCTCATCTTCAATGGCTCAGAAGCACATGAGAAGATTTGCATATACATCCCAGATATTGTCACAAGTCAGTACAGTATGACCAAGCTTGGACATGAATGCTGTAGCCTTCTGGGAGAATTCCTGGGGTACCAAGAGAAAAATGGGTGATCAGAAGGAGCATATGTTTTCCAGACCTGCTCAAGTGATGAATTATCCACAATCACCTGCAAAACATTAATATATTGACAAGAATGTGTCTAATGGCTTACAGATAAGTCCCAACAATCAAATTTCTCAGGGAAATCAAAGATATCATTGGGGCGACCATGTAGTAGTATTTTGTGCATATTGAAGTGGGGCTTGGTATTGTTGAACTTATCAGCAAAAAGATTGAGCTCATGCTGGAGCCACAGAATGAAAATAAAGTGAAATACAAGTCTATGTTCCACACAGCATTAGTGCAAGAAGCTATTGAAGACATAAAAGAAGAACCTTTCCAGTGCATCATCTGGGTTATAGATACCTGCACTCAAACTGAAATCAAGAATATCTTCGAAACCTGGTGTCCAGCAATGGCACAATTGACTCCAGAAAATTTCTGGCTTTATATTGTGATGGTCGCCTCTGAACTTGTGCTGCAGGGTGCATGCCAGACCCGGATCTTGAAGATGATGAAGCATGGTGTGACCATTTGCAATCCCATTGTTCTCTGTGCTGGGGTCGCTTTGGGTAACAAGAGGCATAGCTTGAATGATTGCATTACTAGATTGACAATTGAGACCAGACATAAATAATTACCTCCAAGGCTTTGGACTGTGTCACAATACCATCCACAGATCAAGTGCGGATTGTGATTAGTCCACCAGACCTTGAGCCAGAGGACTCGCCCTGAGAACAGCTTGATACCAACATGTAGGAAGAGCTGAAAATGACGCCACTTGTCATGCTGGTCAAACACCCAAATGTCATGAAGACCTGCAGTCCAGAAAGTACTGTGTTTAAGCCGGCGACTCTTCCGGCACTGAACTTCATCTGTACAGTAAGCAACAAAACTGTTGCAATGTTTGTATGAGATTGATTACTCTGGCTATATCATTACAGGGATGGCAGCTATGCAAATGTGGATAAGAGCAATATTGTAGCCCTACATCCAGGCTACAATAGTTGTACTACACTGGAGATGTGAAAACATTTCCTTAAAAGGATATAAGCAATTTACTACATGGTATGCATTGCAATGGTTTTGTTGCTGATATTTTTAAACATCAAAATCCTATCAATAGACATCAGTTATGTTATTTAGTATGTCTTATAATGTTATGTGACATGTAAAAGGGTCAATATGATATAAACAAAGCCAAATGGTGAACTTTCTCAACATTCATCATCATGAAAGCCCTCTCTGCTGACAAAACCAACCAAATCCTTTTTTACCTTGATTTTAACCAATCTACAAGGGAGATCTCACATGCTACTAGTGTACACCATAGTACCATTATCAGAATTCACTCAGAACTTCATTATGACCTTCAAAAGTCCTCTGGTGGTTGTCCTTCTGTCCTTTCCTCTCCCAATATTCAGCATGCTATTTGGGTAATCAGTACAGATAAGGCTAAAAATGTCACTCAAGTCACAAGAGCACTTCAGGATATCAAGAATCAGCCTATGTCCTCTCAAACAACCTATCATTACTTGATGAAATCTGGTATGAAGCTTGTAGTGAAGCAAATACACCCTCTTGTCTCCTGCTAGCCTGATACTCAGGCCCTCTCCTGTCCTTTTCCAAGCCTATTGCCTTTCATCTGGCCCCAAATAATTGATTTTGGTTTCATATGACCATATGACTCTTTTCAAGTCATCCACTATCCAGTGCTGGTGACTGATAGCAAAGTATAGTCTTACTCTCCTATGACACTTGGATAGGAGAGTGTTACGGTTCTACTCTTTTCACCTCTTCACTTATTCACATTCTATCGTACAATTCTCTTTTCTCTTTTCTGATTCATTATTTACTTTCAAATCTCTGATTCATTTATTAAAGCTCCGCTTTAATCCCCTTATATATACTCTATCTCTTATGCTTGTATTCTTTAACTTGACCTATGCAGACCAGGGCCTGCAATATACTGCTTAACTTGCACGACTCGTACATAGGTGTACGCTGAGATCATTTGTTTTTGTCTAAGTCGTTCTTACGAACGCTGAGCGTAACAAAAGGTCAAGTTATTACTCTACCATACAGTTCCCTTGAACTTGTATCCAGAACAGACCCCAGAAATACAACAGAATTTGGAAATTCCAAATCCTCTTGATTTCTGCGCAGCTCCCTAGGACTTGCGCCCAGAACCAGACACCAGACCACCGATCGCCCTGACACCTCCTGGTTTCACCTGGGACGACGAAGAACAAGAGTTCTTTCAGATAGACGCCAAGGGCACCAGATATTCCTTACCCAAACCTACGAATGACCCCAGACCACCACCATGCCTGAAGAAATCGGCAAGATCCCCTCACCCTTCAATGGCGATACCAGCCTTGCTCAGGGATGGACGCTTCAAGTCGAGGCGTACCTAGACATGAATGACGAAGTTTACAATAACGACAAGAAGAAAGTTATCTTTGCCCTCAGCCTTATGACTAAAGGCAAGGCTGCTAAATGGGCCAAAGGCCAACTCAAGACTGCTGTCGCAGCAAAGACTTACGGAACCTGGGAAGGTTTTGCTAAGCAATTCAGATCCACCTTCTTTCCCAAGAACGTCGAACAAACTGCGATCCGTTGCATTTCCTCCCTCTGACAGACCAGCAGCATAGCCGCTTATGCATCCTTATTCTGTACCATCCTGGCCGATACCGGCATCTCCGAAGAGAACATTAAGATCATGTTCTTTAGGAACAGGCTTAAGCATGAAATAATCTCTGCTATATACGCCTTCGAAACGACCCCCACTACCATCGAAACATGGCTAGAGAAAGCCCTAGACGTCGAGGTCCGAAGGACCTTAATAGCACCTCCCTCCTATACCAAGGCAAAAGATCCGTA